GAGTGGTTGGCTTCAAATAGGAAGTCCATTTGAGGGGAAGAAACACGGAGCAAAAATTGAAGAAATTGGACACAGTTTTTAAGCTATGGTCACGACCAAAAAAAATAGCCTGCTCGGCGGCCGGGCGGCGAGTTTTTAACCAATTTCGCCCGTTCACCGAGCGGTGGCCGCCCGAACAATGCTTCTTTTTAGGGCATCGCTCAATTGCCGCTGAAGTGACTCTCACACTCTGCCGTGTAGGCCTACCGTGTGCCACCGTGCGCGAAAATGTCTGCGGACGGTGGAGAACGGCGAGGGCACACGGTGGTTCGTTATCAAAGCGGGCAACACGTTAATAGGGCGTTGGCGCTTATTTACACCCGGTGGGACCCGGCCAAAGTTTTGGGCATGTTCAAAACTTTGGCCGGCTGGCACCGGCCGCAAGTAAGCGGCAAGAGGACGGTGTTGAACGGAATGAGGACGGTATGAATACGTTATGAAAACGGTCACACTGTATGAACACGTTCACAACACGCTCATAACCCGTTACAGAACGGTGATGAACGGGCAAAAAAAAATCCACCGTCTGCAACGGGTTGTAAGCGGGTTGTGAACGTGTCATGAACGTCAGCGGTCCGGGGACTCGCTCACAGGACGCTCCGAGCGGTGAGGGGACGCTAAGTGACTGGTAGGTGGCTGCTACATACCCGGTGCACACGTTCGAGACCCGGTATGGGCCCGGTATAAAAACGGCCAAAATTTTCAACAAAAGTCAATCTGGGCGGTGAAGACGGTAGAAGCACGTTCAACACCCGGTATGCGCCCGGTGAGAACGGTCAGAAGATGGCAACGAAACGGTGAAAAGATTAATTTTATGAATTTTTTTTTGCGGCCGGGGACAAGTTCGCTCAAAACCCAACGTTCTGGACTTTTTTTAATAGCCCGGCAGGTGGACGGTAGGCCTACACGGCAGAGTGTGAGAGCTCCATAAAGTTTTCGCGCGGAGGTAAAATTCGGCGCCGCCTGCTCACTTTTTACGCCTGCCCAAAATACGCTCGGTTCCCGGGCGGTCGCTACCCAGGGACCGACCTAATCGAGCGTTCGCCGTCGAGCGATTTAGGTCAAATATCGAAGACGCTAGATCAAAGGCGCCGAGCGGTCGCCGCCCGGTCGCCGCTTGGAGATCAGTCGGTCACTGGGCGGCGAGTTCAAAATCGGTCGGCAGTCTTTGACCTAGCGGCGTCGATTTTTTACCTGAATCGCTTGACGGCGAACACTCGATTAGGTCGGTGCCCGGGCGGCGACCACCCGGGCACCGAGCGTATTTTGTTGCCCCGTCGATAACCGGCCGGCAGCGGGCAATTTCTTTAAAATCAACCGGTGGCCGGTGGGAGACCGCTCGAGAATCGGTGGGTCATCAGTCGGTCAATGCCGGGACGCCGCCCATAGAAGCTCTCCGATTTCGCCCAGTTTTGACCTAAAATCGACCGGCGACCGACGGGAAATCGACAGGCCACCGCACAGTCTTCGCTGGGGTTCTACAGCCTGCTGGACTTCTTCATAAATCGTTGGGCGATGCCCAAATTCCAGCGGCGACCGAGCAGGCTATAAATTGGACGGTCGCCGCTCTAAGTTGTGACCATAGCTTTATAGTCAAGATCGTCAAAAAATAATATAACATTATATCATTTATCGAAACAAAATAAATTAATCCTTTCTAGGATGAAATGCAATCTGAATCAGACCATTCATGCATGAGTAAGCCTAGCCATTTAAAGGGACTTGGTAACATTGTTCAGATGAGAGATAGTGGTGTTAAGGTAGTGACTTCAATGCTATATGTACAATTAAAGATAATCTGAAAATTTGAGTGAAAACGGACCATTATTCATGGTACAAATCGGGAAAAACTGATCTGATCGATTCCTTAATTCTCCCAACTATATTAATACAATTTAATTACATTTTAGGTGAATGGAAATCGTCACAAAGCAATACAATGGCTTTACATTCCATTCCAGACATTTAAGTGTTGACAAATTTTTTATAGCCTGTTTTATGTCTTTTTTCCATGGAAAAACGGTTGGAAAAATTCAAAAATGATTGGGAGAATTTACTGTTAATCACTGTTAGACGGTGTCGTACATCGAGGCCTTCAAAGAAAACCATAGATATCTTCGTGGTTTTGAGAACTTGTTCAGGATTTTTTGCATGTCAGAGTGTTAGTACAGTAAAAGGAATATAGTAAGTAACATTTTATACAAAACAATTAAGCAATTTTTTCATCAACCTTCAACAATGTTACCAAGTCACTTTAACAATATTGATGATAAATGAATAAATGACTCTCTGAAGAAAAAGAAAGGGGGCATCTGGCCATTCAAATGTTAATGAAAATGGGACGTAACCTATGGCTCTTAGGTGAACAAGAAGGGCGTTATCTTTCCCATGCTGAGACTACAACTCATCCAGCTCCATCCTCGTTGTTTCTTAAATGTTGTGTTCATTGTTGAACAAGAAATATCATAGACATCGACAAAATGAATGGAGCTAATAAACTCCATGGAGTACAGTGGCTTCAATATACTGCTACATCCCAAACAAAATGACAAATAAAACGAACCGTGTCGTTGTCTTGGTATTCAACATAACACAACGACAAGATGGAGCCATGAATTTTACAATCCGTGTTTCCATGGTAACCAATGAATTATAGTAAATATATTCAAATAGATATTCAATATAATCGTATATCATATATAGAAATAAACATTAAATCAATCCACTTTACAGCCCCTTTAAATTGTTGGGCGCCCGAAATTCGCCAAAAATTTGATGGCTAAATTTTACTTAAATTGTATCATAATGTGTAACAATTGATGTTGGTAGTGTATGAATATTTCTATAATTAGACATAAATTTTAACATATTTTATTGACGGTTTAAATGAAAGGGTTGAGCAATAAAGAGTGTTTTTCTATTTTTGCTGAATGTACTTAGAAAATTCAGCCATTCAGTTAAAGATACGCACTCAATTATATTATTTCATATTATTTTTGATTCTACTTTTATAGAGCGCATGGTCTTTTATAGCAGATCCTAAAATACATACAGTGAAATCTGCTTTAGTGACCACCTTCACATAAAGACCCGAGTACCACCTGCCTATACAGATCACATTTTTTAGTTTCCCTTGACGACCTTTTCTCATAGTACCCTATACTAAGGGAACCTGTACATAAAGACCATCTGCCTACAGAGACCAATTTTCTTGTCAACCTTGAGGGGTCTTTATATAGAGGTTTCACTTAATTGAACTTGTTACCAAAGAAAGTGGTAGAAAGGGTGCCTTTGTTATTCCTTCCTTTCTGTGCTTCTGTCATTTGTCCTCCTTTCTTTCCTTCTTTTTGTTGTTCTTTCCTTTTCTTGATTTACATGTTCATTACCCAAACGGTCAAGAGTCGGTTTGTTTGGAGGTCGTACGGTAGTGTACACGAGGTAGAGTATATTCTTTTTAAAGAAATTTTTTCTGAAGCCAAAAGAATTGCCTAAAAGCTACTTCATCATTTCTATTACGATATTTTTAGTGATCTAGTATTCAGTTATCAATAACCCTACCACAATAATAGTAACATGTTGATCATATTTATTTTCACTCTTTTTGAACACACAGAGCAAGACAAATATGTTATATTGGACGTTCATGTATAGCTTTGCATCCTGCTTGACGTTAGGTATGTATTTGATGTTGACATCGTGAACATGCATGAGTCTAGATAGAACGCCTTAACGGTTTTAAGACTATTTTCATCTATCGTACAAGATTTGCAGTTATACTGCCAAATATGTGTTGGAGAACCACGATAGGACATTATCTGGATGCTTCCTTCCCAGGTGTGTGTGGTGATGAAGCATTTCATTCACTTGCTATTATCCTTTGTACGACAATTGCCAGAACGCAAATTGCATAAAAAGGTTGGTGCTTTTCTGGGGTGAAGGTTTCTAAAGTTTAAATTGATTTGTCAGATGCTATATTTCTTTATTTTAAAAATGTTTGTTTCAATTGTCCCTCAGTTATAAATTCTTCACCAAATATAATTTCTTTCTTCTCAGCTATGATTTTTCTTCATTAAAAAGTAAAGGTTTTGTTATTGATTTTAAAAGTCTTTCCAGCTAAAGTTTGGTGCATGAAACATGTTAAACTTCCCCTAGTACGTCACATTTTCTAGAAAATAGTTGCGTCCATGTCATGTTAAAAGGTATCACATCATGCAAAGAATATCTTCATCTATATATCTCTTGTAGGCCTAAATTTTCGTAAGGAATATTGCACATCAAAGGACAGGAATACATTTAATTTTTCAGGATACCTACACTTATATTTTGGATTTTTGTTCGAGCTTCGTATACAAAATCCGGCACGTTGTTTGTTTTTGATATTTAATGTCTTGTAGTCATAGGGAAGGAAAGACAGTCACGTATTTATTGGCCTTGTTGAGAAGTGCCTTTAGATAATTGCATAACTGCCTTGTATAAGACCGCCATAAAGTCAATAAATTTGAACTTTATCCGTGAATTCGAGAAGAAAACGATCCTCTTTGATTAAATCAAAATGAACCTTTTTTTCGGAAGAATGACATCAAAGAGAATAACAAAAGTGACTGGACTGGAGATCGATAGAAGCCATCTAGTGCCTATAAGTTCTTTGAAATTGCATAAATTTAATGGGGAATTTGTGGAGGACACCGTCTTTATAGTTTAAAAAAGGCTGAAGCTGATGACAAATAATGTATTCGTAATGTACTGTATAAAGAGAAACCTTTCTCATGTGTGCCATATGTGGGGTGTATTGTTTTCCTACTTCTTTTAGAAATCACCCACCCCCAATAAATCATGGTGACGTTTGAGATGCTTTTTGTTTAGCTGCTGACGTTGTAGGTATTACATAAATTTGCCGTCGACCTAACTAACTGAGGATTCCGCTGTTTGGTACTTATCTGCCTTATTTTACTTGCAGTCCTACTTGCTTCATCAGAAGTAACCAATGTGACAAATTCATGCTGTTCAGACGGGCTGGGACTGAACTACACAATACCAATGTTCTTGGAGTGTAAGCCGAAACAGCATCCAAATGGAACCATGGTACAGACCATCCCAAAGCTCATCTCTCTCTCGGCTGCCGTGGGACGTGCACGTGGGAGTACTCACACTCACAGAATGTGCAGATTTCCTGGTAATGAGGTTTTGCTTAAAATAGTAGTAATAGAAGTAGTAGTAGTAGTAGTAGTAGAAGAAGTAATACTAGAAGTAGAAGTAGTAGTTGTAGGAGCAGCAGCCGCATCATCAGGAGCAGCAGTAGCAGTCGAAGTAGAAGAAGAAGAAGAAGAAGAAGTAGTAGTTGTAGTTGTAGGTGTAAGAGTAGTAGTAGTCAGGCGGGTACGCAGGGGGAGGGGGTTGGGGGTCGAACCCCCTCAAACTGTTTTAATGTTTGTGTTTTGGAGGAAAAAACCCACTCCCTCAATTTTTTTTATTTTTTATTTTTGTGTGTGTGTTAAAGGGTGACCAAAAAAGATTACCTTACCCCCCCCCCCCAACTGAACGAAATATCGGTAAGCCAAATTTGCAAAATTTTAGGGACCAAAAAAAAAGTGTGCTCTTATCCCCCACCCCCCCCCCCCCCCTGCGTACGCCCCTGGTAGTAGTAGTTGTAGTTGTAGTAGTAGTAGTAGTAGTAGTAGTAGAAGTAGTAGTAGTAATAGTAGTAGTAGTAGTTGTAGTAGTAGTAGTAGAAGTAGTAGTAGTAGTAGGAGGAGGAGTAATAGTAGTAGTAGTAGTGGTAGACCGACTGGGTTAGACTGTTGGATAACTTGTTTAGTTGGCGCAAGTTCTGTAGACCAGGTAAATTTCAAATTAAAAGAAGACCCACCAAAAAAACTTATTTATCCCAATCATTACATATAGTGCTCTGTTTCATTTTAAGTTGATCCAGCTTCATTGCGAGTTACAGTTAGATATTTGTACCTGGGTAGATTACCTATAAACAGGTGAATATTATTTATTTATCTATTTATGAAAAATACCAAAAAAATGTTTTTTTTTGCGATCGAAACATAAAGCATGAATACATAAAGCAAAGCGTCAATTCCATTTCTGCGAAGCAGGTTTGCAGGTTCGAAATGCCGTATTTAGAACCATTTCAATAGGCCATTTTCATAACGTTACCAAATGTAATGCATCCGTCTTTGTGAATAGCCTCAATACGAATGATTTCATTCACATGTTACGAATCAGAAGATACAATGCAAATACTATATATTACGGCGTATTACGGCGTGTTCTTAAGCCGTCTAATTAAGCTGTTTCCACAAAATGTTACATGGCCAGCTGGACATAGATGCCCGAACCCACATTAAACCTAAACCAGATCGTAGCAGACGCGGGCACTCAAGTCAGTTTGAAATACCATTAGCCAGATTGGATGTATACAAGAACTCATTCTTTCCTCGCACAACCGGAGCATGGAATAATCTCGATCCGACCTTAGCATCCCTGACTGACTCAGCAAAGTTTAAAGTAGTACTCCTTCCGAAATAAGTCCACTCTCTGCCACCACGACCCCCAGTTTAAATTCTACCAGGAATCTTTTGGAGAAACAACAACCAAGTACCAAGTAGGGAAAGCCATAATATTCGCATTCTGGCTATTGAAATACACTAATTCGTAAGAGGTAGATGCAATAATTTGTATCAAGGCACCTCACAAAGACGTATTCATTAAATTTGGTTTTGTAACGGTAAATTGTATCCTGGAAATTAGGAAAAAAAAATGGGTTCGTTTTTTTCTGTCAGGGAAAGTCAACAAATTTGGAAAATCACTGAAATCAGGGGGGGGGTATCAGGGGGAGGGGTCTTTTGGCCCACGAAGAAAGAAGTATGACTCTTTTCTTGTGTTCACGAGCATAAAAATGTTTTGAAGACATTAAGTAGGTGATTTGAATAGGTTACAATGGGAAATAAGCTAGTATAATACTAGAACTTTTAATAATAATAATAATACATAAGATATATAAGGCGCCAAATCCACTTGTTAAACGGACAACAAAAAGTTCAGAAAAATATCATGGAATATTTTTCTTTCTATAAAATGCTTGTAAACCTTTCAGAGCATCATCAGTATATCTCCATAATGCCTATCAACCACGTTTCTCCAATAAATTATGCAGGATATTTGTATTTTTACATGACGGAATTGATGGATAGACTGTATTTGACGGGAATTTTCTTATATTTCAGTCAGATTAATGGCGACAAAGACTATTAATTGCACATGAACGAAGTATAGCTGTTTAGCATAGAATCGAATCCAGGGGCGTCTTCACGGGGGGGGGGGGGGGAGGGGGGGCACAGGTTAAAAATACCTGAGACGTAAAAAGGGGATATCACATTTTGACGGGCATTGTTGCAAATTTGGGGCCTTAAAACTACTGCCGACGGGCAAGAGTAGGGGATTATTTTTGTGTATTTCACTTTGGATTTGAGGTTTTCTTTTATCTCAATGTATAATGGACATATTAAACAGGACATTTCCCTTTTCAGGAAGCCCATGTCCTATTTTAGTGGATTACGAGGAATTAATTGCTTTTGTGGTCAATGACTTTAGCTTGATTATACACTTCTTCTTCTCATTTCCCAGATTGTGAAAGGAATCCATGTGAAAACGGCTGGTGCGAGGAAACTATGGAAGGCTACAAATGCCACTGCCCAGCTGAGGTTCAGGGGAAACATTGCAACGAACGTAAGAAAATCCCATTTTCTGGCTACGATACTGCATTTTTCTTTGACCAAAAAACAAACCAACTATATAAGGGGCCTATACACAAACCATTTTTTCCAACAGGGCTTATTAATTTTTTTTATTTTTTTATTGTTGTTATAGCCTCTTCTTTGTTTAGGTCAAAATTTCTGCCCAACAAATATTGCTACATCGTGGAACTGATGAAAATTCAATCCACACAAAAACGGCCAATACTGTTTATACAATCTTTTTTAACTGAAAACACAGACTAGACAAAGGAAAGAAGGGGTAGAGGTGTCGTAGTTGATCGGTATACACCGTATACTGGAAATGCAAAGGCCATGGGTTCGAGCCCCATCGGGGCACTAATGTCCTTAGGCAAGCCATCGATCTACATTTGCCACTCTCCACCCAGGTGTTGAATTGGTTCCAGTAAGAACGCAATCTTGTATTTCCAGGTTTCCTGGAGACCATAACCCATTGACAGTTGTAAGTACTATGAATGGATTATTTGACCCAAAAAATCTAGGTAAAGACACCGAAATCACATTGTTAATTCAGATATACAATGGTTTATGGTTATTCTAATCTACTGGCGGCCATCTTGGACGCCATTTTAAAAATAACCACTTTTCGAGGGTCCGTTTTCTTAGATTTCGAGTTAGTTATTCCTGATGTCAAACACTACCGGAAGCGGATGGAAACCCTTTGGTGCAATTTGGGGGGTCAAACCCTATATTGACCTGACTAACATGAGATTTCACCAAGACGAAAAATATAACTGGACTCTTTCCAGCGAAAGCAACTGAGGCAACTAATTGGTATTCGATGGCCACACCGCATCTCCAACGAAGCGTTTTACACTCACTGCAATTCTTGGCCACTTTAGATCCGCATAACCAGATCACTGAAGTACAATGACGGGGCCATGTTCTGCAACTTTTCGAGAAAAAAATTCCTGCCCAGAAGTTCATTGATGAGGGTAGCACATGTAATTCAATGTCGTTGTTTTTTCAAATGACACTAGTTTCGTGGCAGGGATTCCAACCTCGTTCCATGGGTTTTATAGTCCGATGATTTGTTCCTTAGACCATCAAACTACCCATCCCCAGACAATGATACCCATTCTTGCCCACGAAAGGATCAAGATAATCCCAAGATTAATTCCATAATCTATAGAGCAGATTAGTAACCACTTTATTAACTCTACGTTTAAAAAAAATCATTTCTTTTAATTATCAGATGATGACGAAATAAATAAATGAACTTTCGAAAAACTTTGTGTTCTTATTAAAAGATGTTGACGAACCGCCAGTGAACTCATTGACAGACGATGACGAAAAGCCTGTGGTAACTTGTCCAGATGACATTATTCGGTATGTGGTACCAGGAGTAACATCTCTGAATGTCAACTTCCCAAACGCAACAGCAACAGATAACTCAGGCAAGGCATCTCTGATTCGTGTCACACCTCCTTCGGGTAGTTTATTCCAACTCGGTACAACCGAAGTCCATTACGTGTTTGAAGATCCAAGTGGGAACGTAGGAAGTTGCCGTTTCACTGTTACAGTCAACGGAACCGCGGGTAAGTTGAGCAAATTCATCGAACCTATGGGGTCTTGGTTTGATATTCACCATGTACAATCTTCGGCTAAAGCCAACGAGGCCAACAAAAAATCGGTTCGTTGGCCTTCTGACAACTTTGTTTAGGGTTAACGTAACAGAGAGCCCTCGAGACTGAAAAAATACAGGTAAAGAAGTACACAAGGGAAACAAGTTAGTCTTGTGGGCTGACGGTCCCATGCGCCGCGGTCGACTTATCGAATTCTTTTATTATTTATGTCTGTGGTTAGTCGGTCTTGCGTACCGTTGTTCCCGTAGGCCATCGCTCTCGTACCATCAGTCTCGTAGCATGTCGGTCTACTGAAATAACCATGCAATTTCCTCTAGACAAATACATTTGCTAACAACTTTATGAACTCATTGACAGATGATGACGAACATCCTGTGGTAACTTGTCCAGATGACACTATTCGGTATGTAGTACCAGGAGTAACATCTCTGAATGTCACCTTCCCAAACGCAACAGCAACAGATAACTCAGGCAAGGCATCTGTGATTCGTGTCATACCTCCATCGGGTAGTTTATTCCAACTCGGTACAACCGAAGTCCATTACGTGTTTGAAGATCCAAGTTGGAACATAGGAGCTTGCATTTGCACTGTTAGTGTTACAGTCAACGAAACTGCGGGTAAGATGCATATATTCCTCACGAAGTAATGATAGTTTGTTTAGTACTGTGTTCGCAGCCAACTGCCAATTACAGAATTTCTTCTAAGAATAAAAACATCGTAAAGAATTACACAAATTTGACAGTATTGAAAGTGAATCAAATGGCACAGAGTCTAGCTAGAGGATCGTACTTATACAGTGCGTTAAAAAAAATTATAACCAACTTTGGTAGCTTATGATTAAAAAGTCAAATTCATTGTAGCATTGAAATTTATGTCATGGTAAAGCGTATCCTGTTCCCTGTGTTACGATACACTATTCGTGGCATATTTTTCCTACCTTCAAATCTCGCCAAGAATTGTCATAACAAAGAGAACTTTGTATGCCGATCCAATGCATTGAGCCCACGCGTTTCCATTTTGTTGTAAAACTGGAGAAACGAACTGAAACCAATCTTGGACTACGTGATCGACAGTGCACAGGCCTGACACATTTGGGACATGTTCAAAAAGAATTATTCGAAGAAGAGTCGATATGGCAACGGATCTATGAATACGGCAACGAGTTTAGATTGCATGCATATAATTTTTGAGAGCTGCGAGCTTTCTTCGATGTCATTTCAATGTTTGTTCGGGGTTCTTCGATGTGACTCACATAGCGATTCAAATAATAGCCTAATCGCACCCTACGCTACGTTATCACTTCGATATCAATTCAAAAATTCATGTTTACTTCGTTTCCAAATCGGTGTCAGTTCAATGTCACTTCTATGTATCTACGGATGATGCGTTTGATCAGCATACTTGGTTCGGAGTGTGCGTTGTTTTCGAACAATGCATTTTAAGTTCGGGTTCACTTCATTTCTACTTCAAAGTGGGATCTATATCGGTTCGATGTATTAACGTGTATTATGCATTGCCATGGCGGTGTTACTTCGATGCAGGAATGTCTTCTTTAGTTTCATTTCGTTCCCACTTTGTTGTCGGAGGCTTGCGTTGGCTGCGTTGTAAAGGCAGCGCTTCCGTACCTGGCTGCTGAAGAAAGAGCATCTCACTAGTAGAGAGCGGCCCTGCCCCCTCCCCCACTCCGTGAACGGAGGGATACCATGCGTGTTCCCAAAATGTCCGGTAAAGGGGTACTTTTTACGCACCAAAGTCCGGCTCCTAGTACACAAAAATCCGGCCCGTATTGACTTTACATACCGGACTTAGGGGGATGTTTTCAAAGGAGGGAACATGCATAGGCCTATGCGTATTCTAAATAACACTGAGTGGGGGGGGGGGGGGGGCGGGGAGTGGCCGAAGTGCGATTGAAACTCGCTATTTCGCTCTTCTCCAACGCAAAAACAGACGACATTGTGCTGGATTTTTATGTTCTTTCTGACAAAAGTACAGAGAAAAAGCCAGAGAAAGTGCCAAATTATTCTCTTATATTATACATATTGAAAGGTAACCCAAGTGACTCCCGGGCAACCCAATGCTGGAAAGAAACGCACTTTTCAGAAAACTTCACTTTTTCATGCAAGAATGCTCATTTAGTTGTTCTATGCCCGCAAGTCAGATAAGGCGGATGATACAACGTTTCCATATAGAGAAGACATTGGGCATTCCAGCACCACGTCCCCTACCTGGAGATAACCTACATGTACCCATGACATACTTCATAGTGGGCGACATCTCAGGAAGTCCTACACTAGGAGGAATATGTAGCGTACCCAGAGGATCTTCAACTACAAATGTTCCCGAGCTCGTAGGGTGGTTGAGAATGCCTTTGGAATACTAGGTAACCGTTTCCAGTGTCTCCTGAGTACCCGACCACAACACCCAGAGACTGTAGATGAGATTGTCTTGGCATGTATCTGTCTCTAAAACATGATGAGAACCCGTTACCCTGGTGTGCACAACAAACCTATTGAACAGGGAGGATGATGACCACAACCTCATTCTTGTGCCTGTACACAGGGACTGCTGAAGCCTGATCTGGCTCATCATGTGGGCGGCAACTTTGGCATCAGAGGGACCAAGGAGCAGAGGAACTACCTCAAGACCGACTACAACTCCCCAGCTGGAAACGTGCCGTGGAAGGATATGATGATCTATTTTGGTTGGTGGCTGACCCACATAATATCCGCGCAGATCCGAACTGACGCCGAGATGTCACTGATCTGACACCGCGTGGCTTGACTTGACATCGAAGTGGACTTGCAACAGGGTATTCTGTACGGATCACAAGGCAGACACAACAGATTGACAACGAACTGACACCGAAGTGACATTGAACTGGCACGGAAGAGACATCTAAATTGAAACACATGCTTCGAACCAAGAATGCATTGTAAGGTAGAAATGCATGGGAAACGTATGCACTTCAAAAGTCGAGAAATGAACTAACATCGAAACGAATAATAACAGATAAATTGCACGTATGTCACAATTACTGGTGTTTAACGAACTTAAGTATATTATTTTATAGACTTTGCTAAACGCATGATTATGAGTAGTTCAAGCCATTTTGCCTAATATGTGTGTATCTAACAGTCAAAAACATTATCTTTTAACAGAGGTTGCGAATATGTCTTATGCTCTCGGCATGGAGAATGGAATTATCCCGGGTTCAAGCCTTTCAGCTTCTAGCGTATTTGACTATTTTCATTCCACCGCTAGAGCGAGATTGAACCTTCCCCGATTAGCACCCTATGCCGGAGCCTGGTCTGCTAGGAGTCATGATGTCACTCCATGGATACAGGTAGAGTTGTCTTTAAACGGAAATCCAGTCCTAATCAAAGCATACTACTCTAAAAGAACGCACTAAATTCAGAGAAGCAGACTAGTGAAATATTGAACGAAATCGGGAATTTGATGTTACTCAACCTATGGGCACTTCAAATTGACTGAATCGGTAATGTTACTATAACTAAATACCGGACTTTGTTCTAAGTAACACACAAACGGACTAAATATTCAATGTTTGAAAATATATGACTCCGAAGTATCTTTTCTCTGTAGATAACCTTCAATAATATGCTATCCACAATATCTTTTGAGTAGTCCCCTAAGACAGAAGGCGCTCTGGGGAAGAACAGAAATTTATGGTATTTTCGTACACGACAAACTGAAGAGTTATCCGTGACAATGTCACAATCCAGTAAATTGCCAATTCGCATAGCTTTAGTGATCACATATTTCAAACACACATAACTTTCTTATCGTTTTTCCGATTTATTTTAAAATTTCGCCATTCTGTTTTTCCTTTTTTGTTACACTTTCATACATTTGAAATTATAACAAAGGTTGGATTGCCCTTTAACAATCCCAACTTCCATGCTGAGTTTACATAAACCAAAAGAATAACGATGCTTTGTTTGATGATCAGTTTTTTGTTTAACCTGACTGCTGCAAAAGCATTGTTATAATGATGATTACCATTCCCAGACCCCCTCCCTCACACAAAAAAGGAAACACCAAAGTATCCTTTCACTGACCTCTCCAATGGAATTTTAGTGTCGCCGATAATCGTTTCTACTTTCAAACTTTAATAAGTCAGAATGTTTCAATTAAACTCAGTTCAAATCAAGAATATTTGTAGTCCGTTTAATTTCATTAATCATTTACGTTATAGTCAGAATAGTATAATTATGCTAATACTAGTCTAAACCTAGACTATATATTATCACTAAATGTACATCGTTGTGTAATAATTCATATCATCCACCACCTTTTCCCACGCATAATAGAGGACCGTGCTAGGAACAAGTATATGTTCCATGCAATACCTCTTTCTTGAAATGTGATATTTATGTGTTGATAACTCATATACCTAGAAAATTCCCTTGTTTTGCCTTGTCAAAGAAAGTGAAGATGGTCAGTGGGTCTAAACATCATCATGTACATGAAATGATAACTTACAGGGTCAGTTTAAGAAACAAATAAAATTTTCACGATTGAAGGCTTTCGGTAATACCATATGGTAGCAATACTGAAGACTGTTTGATATATTCTACCACCCGAAGAACCCGCTAATGGGGCTTTTAGAAGAATAAAAGAAAAGTAAAGGAATGGGAGAGAAAGGGGAAATAAGGAAATATGATGAAGTTTAAGTAAATAAACAACCTACACGATACAATATTTTTGTAATGGTTTTCAGTGCTTGGTTAACAAAAAAGAGGTGAAATAAAATATTGAAAAGTAAGGAAATTGAAAAAGGAAATAATACCTTCACCATACATAAAGCTGTTGTTCAATATTATCATTATTCATTTCATTGATAGGTTGATCTGATTACAACATACCGTATAAATGAAGTGGGTACGCAAGGCCGCGAAGACTTGTTCCAATGGGTCACTAGCTACAAGATCAGTTGTGGTATAGACGGTTTTAATCATCATATAGTAAAAAACAGCTCTACAAAACCTAAAACTGACAAGGTATGTATATCCACTGAGGTATATCTATGGAGGTATCCTGATACAGTGGTTAATTTACATGACTCTTAATCCAAGGGTTGAGGGTTCAAATCCCAGCCTGGTACTAGTTAAAATCCTTTGGCAAGACATTACTCCAAACTTTGCCCTTCTACACCTAAGTGTAAATGACTACCTGGCAAATTGCTGGGGGTAATAATATTTGGGGGACATTGAGGAAGAGAAACGGTCATGCTGATGAGGTTTCGCTGAGTAAACACAATTGTTATAAATGTTATAAGCGTTTGTCCTAACTATGTCCATTCATCACATAATCAAAAGTCAGCTCCGGCCCCAGAATAACAGCTCTAACATGATTGAAGGAAACGGGTGGAACTTAAAAATGGCTCGGTCGGCGGCCGCCGTCTAGCTAGCAATAGATCGCGCTGGTTCGAATTCATCCATATTCAAAGACCAACAGTCTTCCTCAAGTTTGTTATTATTAATCTACTTATCGCCTACGTGAGACAGTAGATACGGCGAGTCCGCACTGACTCTTCAACACCGGGGGTCTATGTCATCTGGTTTTACTCTGCACACTAAGAAATAAAGGTACCAATTTGCACCCTTAGGGGTGCAGATATTTGCTTTAAAAAGCAGCACCCTATATGGTGCAATTCTTTGGGGTGCAAACCTGCCCCCTAGAGGGAGCACATAACCTAGGCAAGGCATCATATTAATTTATCAAAGCGGCTTGGAAAGAGGTCACACGCAATTAGACTTTGAATTTTTGCTTTGCCTCACTATTCATGAAGGCAAAAATAAAAAGGAACCATTACTGGGTTTCGAATCCACTAGTCTAGGATTGTCATACGCTGACCTTACCGATTGAGCTAACGATGGGTTGATAAAACAAGGGTTTGCATGATTATTATAACCCTAACCTTAACCCTTATAAAGTCTGTATAGGAGATGTACCGACTTCAATTTGTTTCAAATGATAGTAAGCTTATTGCTATTTGTATAATTATATTATAAAAAGGTGAAATAGTTTTTACATTTTAACATGTTTAATCATGTCCTTCGAATATAGACAAAAACTTGAGGACATATTCAACTTCAAATTGTTACTGTGAAAGTAAATTTCGTCACTATAAGGTTTGTTCTCGGGCAAGCGACGTCATCTCCCAGCGAAGTATGCCCGTATATATATATGGTTCTAAAATTATATGATTCTATATTTCATTGCCATTAAAGGTGTTCATCGGTAATATTGATCGCAACACTGTGGTGCGCAACACTTTACCTGTTCCCGCGGTGTGTCGTTACGTTCGTCTGGTACCGATCACTTACCATAAACACGTAAGCCTTCGTATGGAGCTCTATGGATATGGTCCTCTCACAGGTATGGAACAAATCAATGCAGCATTTTATGCCATTATAGGATCGATGTCAGAATGATGGATCTTTTATAACTTTTAAACCAATCCTAGTTCGTTATGCAGTGCCTCCACGACCCAAGCCATGTTAGGTTCAGTGCCTATGACAGTGTTTGAATGGTCCATGTAGACTGCACGGTCTACTGCCACCCACTGACTCTGCAGTACAGCTGCTTTCTACAAAGACAGTGACTAACAGAGATCGTCTCTGCTCAAGACTTTATTACGCTTATGGAATTGTGTTTAAGTGTGGAAGAACTTCAATATATATTGTGCTTTTGTGAGTCGATTGAAGGGTGACTGACTTTCACTGTTGGATTGGCCAAACACTGTATTTGATCTTAATAACCTTTTTTTGACTGATCCTTTGAAGGTAAAGACCAGTTTTGGAAACGCCCCCCCCCCCCCTCTCAAAAAATGAAATGGAAGCTCTTATCACCAATCATGTGAAAGAATATGTTTTGACTAATACATGATGGTACAAAAACCGCCTACTAATTGTTATATTTGGTAAATTAGTTTATCTATTTGGACGTGATAGATAGAACGCACATGTCTCGCACGTGTGCGTAGTTCTATATAGTCCTACATCTTTTTGTGTACAGTGCTTGTAACTTTGCGAAGACTGGGCCAAATTTCTTATCATTTTGATGATTCCAGAACCTTGCAGTTCACACCAATACTTATATGCTAGATGATCAACCTTTTCTGATCGATTCCACAACGTTTCTTTCACAATGCAATCGAATGACCATAACTGGTCTTTATCTTTAATGATATTTTGGCGGGTGATCATTATGGCATTGAATGCGCGCCATAGACCTACTGTTTTAGTGGCGTATTCTGAAAAATATTATATTACATTTCAGGATGTGAGTTGTTAGATGTTATATGTCATAACAAACTGCCTAGAATATATATCCCCTATATAGTCCTTCTACTTCTACGTTTATTATTCATCCGAACTTCGACATTTTTAAATATCATGAAAAGGGCCCAATGGGTGTACAATTCATTAATGTAAAACATCATCCTGTAAAAAAATAGGGCTACCAGATTTTCATTCCGGATGAGAATTCTTTCTGATAAACCCCTCCACACAATTTACTGTATACTTCGGAGCTGTCACCACATATTCAGGCAGCAGAGTGGCATGTGAAAGTCAGAGCAAATTCTGATTAAAAATAAGACAGTTATGAATTGGTAACTAGGTGACTTATCTTGCATAGTCCTCTCCCATTTATATATGTATATATATATTTTCCCTCAAAAAGTTTTTAATAATAGATACACCCTTGATATAATTATTGCAAATATGTTTCTACATATGCTTCTTGTTTGGGGGTGGAAAATATTCCGTCATCAATAATTATGATAACGAAATTAAAATATTATGAACAGAGCAAATGGGAGAGGACCTCGCAACATACGCCACATTATTGCCAATTTATGTTTGATTGATCGCAAATTCAAAATGTATAACTTTCTTATTTTTAATAGGAGTTTGCTCAAACTTTAACTGACTATCCCTGCAGGTTCCCCCTGTAAAAGACTTGTACGGTTTGTGTGGTCGTGTGTGCGCATGAGAGTGAGTGTGTATATGCGTGTGTGCGTATGCGTGTGTGCGTGTGTGTGTGTGTATGCGTGTGCGTGTGTGTGTTTGGTGGGTGCTCGTACTTATATGTGCGTTTACGTGTATTTGTTGTGTGTCTGTTAGCTCTTTCCCCCTTTTCCTCATACAACATAGGACAAATATTAACCCGTTATCTATCGCATGTTTTCATATCGGGATGTAGTCGGTCCCGAGTGGCGTTGTACTCCCAAGAAGTGCTACCACGTTGATGCTGGCTTGCGGAACTGGACGGAAGCGTATCACTTTTGTCATGATCTTGAACCCGTGACTACATTAGCAGGTGACAAGCGTCCGTCCCTCCTCTTCATAAATACAACAAAAGAGTACCAGGTCGTGAAGAGGTGCTCGTACTTATATGTGCGTTTACGTGTATTTGTTGTGTGTCTGTTTGCTCTTTCCCCCTTTTCCTCATACAACATAGGACAAATATTAACCCGTTATCTATCGCATGTTTTCATATCGGGATGTAGTCGGTCCCGAGTGGCGTTGTACTCCCAAGAAGTGCTACCACGTTGATGCTGGCTTGCGGAACTGGACGGAAGCTTATCACTTTTGTCATGATCTTGAACCCGTGACTACATTAGCAGGTGACAAGCGTCCGTCCCTCCTCTTCATAAATACAACAAAAGAGTACCAGGTCGTGAAGAGTTATCTTCGTTTGTCTGGGTCAAAAGTGACGACAACTAAATTAACGACGTTTGCCTGGATCAATTGTGACGACAACCAACGCGAAGGGTATTTCATCTGTAATAAAGACATAACTGGACGTGGACATGTTGCACCTGCATGTAAGTGTTGACCTAACATTCCTTTAAATATTTGCAAGAAAATATGCATAAGCATTTCTTAATACTAATACTTCGAGTACTAAATAGTCATATCAAATATATATGCCTATACGTAAACGGGCCAAATAATTAATTGTCAGAAGACGCAGGCCCACACAAGGAGTTAGGAGTTTCCTAATTAATGCGAGCGAGCGATAATGTTAACAAATCATAATAGTGACATTGAACTTTTGTCATTAAAAAGATATTAAAAGGATATTAGATTAGTTGTGATGGCCCAATTTGTATAACATCCTAACATCCAAGCCGATACTTACAAGCAGCATCTATCCTAATATTGTGGGGGTGGAACCCTCTCAACTCCACCCCTCCTACACCTATGATTCTTATTTCGTATTGTTCATGCCTTTGAACAGGAATCTCCTTTGATCGAAACTCGGTAGGCGGTATTATTTTTTTTTTTTTTTTGTATCTTGAAGGTATGCTATCAAAAATACAAAAATCCACCTTTTGACGGGTCCTTTTTTTTTCAATCGTGCTTGGGGTCATCCTCCTCACCTGCGTTGCCTCTGGGTGGATGAGTCGGTTAAGTCGCCGACCATCTGACCATGAAACAGGTAGTACTGGTTTGACGTAGTTACAAGGGAGTTACACGAAGCAGGACAAAATCTGACCGGATTAATTATTACAGTACATTTTGAAATATCGACGAATCATGTCAAAAGTCTGTTTATTATTACGTTTCAATTATAGACAATCTTTATGGATATAAAAAAATTATAGTGCCTAATTATGACAAGATAAATTATGAGAAGTGGTTTCGCATGAAAATGTAAATCGAATATAGGCATTGTTTGCCTTTATTAGTCAAGCACTTTTTGGTATAACCTTACTAAGGGTGTGTCATGGTTGACTTTTCCAATACGCGGTCGGGTTTCTTTTTGATACAGTAGTCATCATCCACCTGTAAAAATTTGATAAGTTTCTACGAACAAAATGATCTAAATTGACATTAATCTTTATCAGTTCTTTGCCAAATGACTCCCACTTTTTTGGCAAAATAATAGTAAGGATTATATTGATAATATAAATGATGATGATGATGATAATGATAATAGTAATAATAATATTGATAATGATAGAGCATTTTTATTAGGACCCAACTCCACTTGACTAATGTAGTCAAAGCGCAATGTTGAAAATTGTGATTTTATCTTGTGTTTTAATTGATCTGTGTTTAGATTGGCAACCGGGTAAACCTGATGGAGGTAGCGATGAGAACTGTGTGGCAATGGATTGGAGAGGCGGTTTCTGGGATGATTTGGCCTGCAATCAAGTTCACGAAACAATTTGTCAGATAGTGCTGAATAATATCTAAAGTTCGCATTAAGACCTCAGTGCCATTGACTTCAAACAGACACAAATAAACAGGTTTGGACCCCATCTTGTAAACGAATGCGATTGATCCAAGTCGATCGCAACATGATATCAATGATGTCAGAGGACTTTTTTTTATTTTTCTTTTGGTCCCCAAAAAATCGCAACGACTCAGCCAGCCGCTGAATAAGCGGGGGGGGGGGGGATAAGAGGACACTTTTTGAGGGGGGGTCTGAAAATTTGACATTTTGCTCCGTTGTGGGGGGGTGAGGTAAACTTTTTTAGGTCAGCCATTGGTATAATATTTTTTTTTATTTTTTATAATTAATAATTAAAAAAAAGGGGGTGGGGGTTCATCCAAAATACACACATTAAAAATACCAAAGGGGGGTTCAACCCCTAACCCCCCCCCCCCCCCCCCCACTGCGTACGTGCCTGTTGATCTTTTATTCAATTCGATTTGCATGAGTGTCAATGAAACCACTCTCGACTGTTATATATAAACCCTTTTTTACAAAGTGTGCGGGTTGAAGGTTCACTCTACAGTGAGGATAAATGAAAAGTAAATATGATAATAATAATAGTAATAATAAACGTTTTTTGTAGAGCGCATAACACATAGCCATGTCTCTATGCGCTTTATGGAACAGAATACAGAAGGAGTGGAAATGTTACACTGTGTTCTGAATTGTGAGATCTAACACATGTTGTCAAATTAATTCCGAGCTTTTCAAATGTTTTTATATTTCTAAGGTGTTCCGGCAAGTTCTATTAATCAGTGGTTGCATATAAAAATGACCTTTCCTCATTTATATGGAAACGAAACGTTCGCATTGACCTTAGGAAATCAACTTTAGTAGCCTATTGTATATCCCATGGAAATCAAATTTCGAATCATGTAATAAATCTGTCATTGTAATCAGTCACAAACAATTTAGGATTTGATATCAAATTAAATGTTAATGTACATTTTGTTGCTTACAAATACATTTGAAATGAGCAGATAGAACTTGATATCGATTTGTAAAAATGACATGAGATTAACATCAAATTGCATCATATTATACTTCGTATGTCTTTGCGTAATGTATATATATTCCTTGTACATTATATAATTCAGTAGTCGAACTGCCGTGCGGTTTTTAGTAGATAACTTTTTTCACTCAAGAATTTCATTAAAAAAATGTTAATGTACCTTTTCTTGCTTAACAGTTACTTTTAAAATGACTAAATAGTTGCTTTGTGGTTTTTAGTAGATATCCTTTTCAATTCAGGATTTAAATAACGAATAAAATGTTAATATACATTTACTTGCTTAAAAGTTGCAGTCGAAATGAAAAAATAATTGTCATGTGGTTTTCATTAGATATCCTTTTCAATCAATTTAATTTAATGTGATTCAATATAATATCGTAACTTCAAAAGTATCTCATGAAGTATAACTCATATAATCTTTAATGCTAAATATATTACTCATTACGAAACGTCGTGATCTTTTAGATTCCTTATTGACCACATTGCGAGACAAACGAATATCACTAGCGATATTATTTTCCATATAATCTTTGTTGAAAATAATAATGGTTTAGAGTACGGATCATGTGATTTTTATGTGACAAATAGGGGTTGTAAAGCTGGCTACATTTGTATTCTCTCAACTGTAAACGTGTTGCTCGGTCACACCGCCAAACCGACTATATTAGACCGACTCTTTAAAATGTTCCTCCATACAGATCTATTCTTAAAAATTCGGGATTATCATTTTTGGTTTTTCTATCGTCGTTAATTGTATCGGTCTCGCCATACTGACTCCATACTGACTCCATGCCGACCCTAAACCGGCGATAAACTATTTTATTGAGTCTGTCTGATCATTTTTATTTTATTGTTCTTTTTGTTTTTGTTTTTCCTCCACTCAACACAGAAAATACGAATTACAATTATCGCGCATAATAATTTTGTTCACAAACAAAAATACAATATAAACTATAAACCCAAAATATGAAAACAAATTAATAAAATAAACAATTATCTGAAAAAGTCACATTATGTTTGTTTGATTTTTAGAAATGAAATAGTAATGTAGATAGAGACTACCTTTGTTCTGAGAGGGGAAGAAAATTAAAGCAAAAAGAAGGTGAAAAAAGAAAAATAGTTAAAGCCCTAGAATCTATGGAATAAAAGGATTTCAGTCTCCCTCTACCCTTCCCTGCAGAAGAAAATATACAACACCCAGTACGAGAACATGGATAGCTTTTGCAGGTCTTAAAGCTTAGTGTACCATTTTTTTAAATTTATAACACAAAAAAGGGATAAATTATTCCATTGATCTAAAATTCCAGATTCAGTTCAGCGTCAGTATAGTTATTTCTTTTTAAAAACACTTTACAAGATGGAGGAAGTTTTGCAACAATTTTCTTTAAGATGTTATTTATTTCAAATCGATCTAAACCCAGTTTTTGAAACTCTTGACAAGATTGTAGATTTCCTTCAGTGTCAACAATATTGTCAGTAAATAAATGTAATGTTTTGTTCGGTCTGTAGTCGGTCTGGTGTCGGTGTGATAAGCCGACTCCAAATCGGCTCATTCCGGCCAATCGAGATACTTCAATGTAATGTTCGGACCGCTGTCGGTCTCAATTGTGTGATTGAGGTGTAAGGAATTGTGGATATTCGTTAAATTTTAGTAGCACGTTTTGAAAGCTCTGCTTTGTAGAAAATGTAGTGATTGTTTTCTTTTGTTATTATACAATTTTACTAGGGCTTTTTATAGAATAGGTGGCATTAATGGCAAGAAATAGCACTGATTTAAAATTCATTATCGATTTATCTTTACCCTTCACATGAGGATTAATGTATTTAAAACATTTATTATCATACACTTAGACAATGTACTTTTTTGTGTGTCAACAACAATATGATTGTCAACAAAATATTAAATATTTGCTGAAGTTTAAATAAAGCACTGTTGCAATATTTTAGTATAAAGTATAACATGTGCTTTTAAGTCACTTAACGTTTCTTTTTCTCCATTTGCATCATTTGCATCATTTCTTATACTATTGTAATGGTTTACCACAGTTTTCTCATCAATCATGAGTGCTTTAAAAATTCAATGTTGATACTTTAGCCAAGATCTTTAAAATTTCATAGGACTGTCTTGCAAATATGAGAATTTGTGTCTGAATCGTAATGCCGTCACGTGATATTGCCTATGGTATGGACTATTCTAAACCAAAGAAACACATATGAAGTTGACAGAGAAAGTGTGACAAGTCACTTTCATCTCCACATTTGCACTGTCACCTCTGACATTTTAACACCGATCTGATTTCAGTGAATGTGTTAGTTTATTGTTCTGCCAATTATAAGATCCCAATAACATGTTGAATATTTGGTAAATTCTTGATGATCACAAATCAACGATAACAGATGGTATCTGACACGAAAAGTGGTATTCTGCTTGTACTAAAGTGTGATGTTAATATTCTTTTTCATATCTAATTAGGAAACTTTTTGGATCTTCAGCTAATATGTTGAAATTATTTTATTTGTACAGTTAAAACCATTCATGTGTACTTTATGGTGGACTAAAAGTTTATTTCAACTTGCATGTTCTTATATTTGCCACACACATCGCACATGAATAGACGATTTGTGATATGCGACAAAAATGGATTATTCTCACTTGTTTGAAAGAGATTTGCTCACTTATTACGTGTACCAACTATTTTTAAAGTATGATTATGGTTTTCCTGTGGAAACTTTTACGCTTATTTGATTAGATGATCTTGGCAACGTTTGGTGTCTCCAGATTGCCTTAAACGAGAAAACCGCTGAGTTTGTATTATTTACAGCAACGAAACGAAAACTAAAGGGCTTCTGAAATCTTTTCTTTAGTAAAATGGTTATAAAAGATGAATTTGAAACTTAATATGCTTTACTGAATTGAATTTTAGTATTTCTGTGTAATGGTATAAACAAGCATGAAAAAAAAAATTGTACGATTTTAGGCAGTGGGAATTTGAGCCGGTTTCGGAATATACATGAATGAGCATAAAATGGTAACGCATTAACTAATTTCACATCTACTTTCGGTATATAGTTTTAATAAAGATATATCACATTAATGCACTAAATACCATGTGTCGTGTGTACTTCATTTTGTGGTGCTATACCACTTGTGTAATTTTAGCCATGTGTACTTTATATTTCGAAATTGAAGTTTGAATTTCAAATTTAATTTGATGTTTTTCTTCATTCAACATGATACAAATGAAATAAACCTAATTTACTAAATGATACCCATCATAATGCACTAAACAAGCAAATAATTACGTAACAGAATGTACGCAATATAGATATGTGATGTACATATTAAATCATAATCAAATAGCACTGGAAAACAGACTGATTGAGAGTGTAATATATTCAATTCAATTCATTTATTTCCACAAAAGTCATGAAAACAGCCGGGTAAAATAACAACGCGGAAAAAATCGGAATACTACAATAGTAACATAAACATGCAATAAAGAACGATACGTACTAATTATGATGATTGAGTACATGTGGGGGGACTAGCAAAGTTTAGTATATATATTTATATATATATATATATCCCTTGTGTAATTCATCAATTTAGGATACACACATGACAAATGTTATATGTCAAAGGAAATGTTTAAAGAGAAACCCAACCTAGTTTTGAGAAAGCTCTAATTTCTCAACTCAACTTTCTTCCCCTAAAACAATGCTAATTAAAATTAGAACAAATCCGTGAATACATCATTACCACCGCATCAGGTTATATAACATGATAATATGATTTTACTTCTTAATAAGTATAATCTATGATATAAAGTATAAAACGTATAAATTAACCGTGCTTAGTCCGTAATAGATTTATTCGTTATTTCTCATCAATAAACTTCAAAACCAAATGTAAACCATCAAATTGCAAAAGCCTTGTCTTTTGTATAAATGCACAGAGCACAATCCCAAAATCAATTGAAGCATTTTTGAGACATAAACTCATCCAAAATTCACCAAAGATAGACACCGCTGTGTCACTGTGCATGCATTCCGTGCGCTCATCCGCAGAGATCTGCTGCTAAACATAGTTCAGAACAGAGCAATAAAGAAAATCTTCTATTTTACGATTAAATATATACAACACTCGGAATGGAATATCAGTTGCACTAAATATTAACAAACTACATTGCATAAACAATTTTTCCATTCGATTTCATGCGATATATACTGAGAAATAATGAAAGTTTAACATAATTTTGTAAGCATCTCAATAATTCTCAATAATGGATTCAAATGTGAAGCGCTCGTATGCAAATCAGTTATACGGTATAGATCGACTTTGCACTGTATTCTCTTTTATGAATGACGCGCTTGAAAATAGCAGTCGATGCCTCATTTACATTCATTTACAATACATGAAGTGATTAACGGTAATCTGTTCTATTGTCAAGCAGAATTACAAAGAAAATTAGGATTGTAATAAAGTCTTAGAGAAGACGAAAATTTTAGGAATCCAAATCCTCAAGTAATTTTAAGAAACAAATTAATGATCACGTCAGGCCTCTCATTACGTCACGGCCGCGCGGGGTCGTTACTATATATACAATTCAACCAGGTAATAATAACATAATGAATGCAATAACTACACATGTGTGAAAATAGCCAACATTGTGACAAATGCACCTACTATGTGGAACAAGCTCCCAACAAACCCAGAGAAAAACACAAGCAGAACCGTCTCATTACGAAAGTCGGTCAGGAAGCCCATTCAAACAAGATAGCTGCTGCGACTGAAAAGGCACGATCGCCATATGTTTGAGTGCAAGTGGTCGGAACAGAAAGTAAAGTTTTACGTGAGGAACGTAGATTTCTACTAGGTACATATGGAGTAATAATATAAAAAAGATAAGATGGGTATTTGTGAAAGATTACTTTGTGGCACAACATTATAACTTTATAAATAATTTTATCTACTATGGGTAACCAGTGAAGGCGTGACAACATGGGTGTAATAGGGTCCCCCCCCCCCTTTGCGCGTCTTTCAGCACTGTTTTTGCACTATTTACAGTTTACTCCTTCTCAGCAAAGTAATAAAAGGAGAGAATTGCATAAATCGATCCCAGAAGAATCACATGAGTGGATCAGTTTCTTAGTACTTAGAAAATTCGTTATCTGAACTTTTTACAGACATTACACGGTCTCTAAGTTGTAAATTTGATCCATACATACTCCCAGGTTACTCGCCATTGATGTTTCTGGGACATTTAAATCACCAACCGTTAAACAAGCAGGATACAAAGAAGTATCGAACCTGGATGAAAAGTGGATAAGCTCTGTCTTTGGGGCAGTATAATGCCTGAAATATGAAGGCACTTAGAAGAAAAAAAAATTAATAAGTGTTACTTTTATACTCGACAAACAGTTATCCGTCACTACGTCACAATCCAATGAAAAAAATGTCCATTTGTGATACGCAAATTTCCAACATTCATGAACTTTTGGATTATTGGGTTGGATTGCCCATTAACTTGCCTCACAACAGCGCCCTCTCCAATACAATAACAGGCCGCTACTAAAACGCACCTAGGTAAGTTTACCTTGTCGTATATTCTACGAGAAATTATTCATCGGCATTACTAGAACCAAATATTACAAATTGAGCAGCTATCTTTATGGGCTTTTATATATGGCTTATCTTGGATATTGTCTGACAAACTTAACTAGGCCAAGGTATGAATATTTTTAATTTTTTACGCGAGGGTGTAGTACAGGTATACAATCGCACCAGTTAACATAAAATTCTACCCCATCCCCTAATGACATCTCCTCTCAATTATTTTCCTGAATGTTCAAGACATCAAGGCGATATTGGTCAGTGAGGATAACAGAATCTTCCTCCGTTGGTGGATGAAAGATGAACTTTCTTTCCTGAAGTCTGTCTTTGATGCCTGGTCCCAGCCTTACCTCAGGTAACTCTAGACGGTAAACGACTCTGGATTGGATCAAAGAGAGTGAGAAGGGGAGGAGAAGGAGGAGGAGGAGGAGGAGGAGAAGGAGGAAGAAGAAGGAGGAAAAAACGATAGGAAGAAGAATAAAAAGAAGGAGAGAAGAGGGGGAGAGGAGGAGGAAGAGAGGAAGAAAAAGAGCAATAAGAAGGAGAGGGAGAAGGAAAAGAGAAGAAGAAGAGGGGTAGGGGGACGAGAAAAAAGAAAATTATTATTATTAGAAGAAATCCTTCTAGACATTTTTAGTGATAAAGGCATTGTGCATTGATGAGAGACTTTTCTAATCAAACCAAATTGATAAAAGGACAATCCAACCCTAGTAATAATTGTATTTATATAAAAGCAGAAAAGCCAAGAAAAACAGAATGGCGAAAGTTTATAATAAATCGGATCAATAATATTTAAAAAAGCTATGAGCGTTTGAAATAAATTATGAGAGCACTATGTCTATGCGAATCTCAAATTGGCGGGAAGTGGATTGAGACTTAGTCGTGTACACAAAATTAATACAATTTTGTTTTCTTTTTTTGTCCTTAGTGCCTTCTCCTTTGGGGCACTACTCATAATATATCATGGATATCGTATCATCATACGTTAACTTTTACACATCTGCTTTTCTGATTTTTCTGCTCTCTTTAGTAGCAGTTTACTATTAAGGCTGGATTGTATGGTGGGCCAGAAGGGACATCGCGAATCGTGAAACCGCAAATGTCGTCGTTAACTATTCGCGATGTCCATTCTGGGCCACCATAGGATTTCCCATTCAAGATATTAGGAACATGGTAAGAAAACAGATAAATTCAAGCGAACCTACCTTGGGTTATCATCTTGAATACGAGTCTTGATATCCGAGAGAACAGCTCTAAAATTCTTAATGCATATCTTCGGGTTCCAGAAGCCCTAAATACAATGAAAGTGAAAAAATGTATAACAGGACTTTTTAAACAACGTCACATAATGAGAAAATCAAGGAGAGTAAGAGTTTTCGTAGATGGGCTGTTAAACTAAACAAAATATATAGAAGGGAGTCTTTCGTTTAAAAAATGAATCACCGTTATTTCGTATTTTGTGTGTAAATGACTGAAGTACTATACATTAAAATAATAATTTACACTTTCTACTGTATGATGATTAAAGAACTTACATCTGACATTTCTGGAAGCTGCTTGACCTCAAACGTTTTCACCGAGGTGATTTCATGCCTCCTGTCATCTCTCATACCGCATAACACCTCAGGGATGCCTGCTATGTAGGCCTGAGACCACCACTCCAACGTCTTGTATCTGTTGGAAGAAGAAAAAAACTACCGTCGAAGAAGTAGCGAAAGAAAATCCAAATGTCCTGTAACACAAAGGGGTGCGATTAATGGCAAATTTGAAATAACGGTTCTAATGGCTTGATAGTCAGCCTTGTTAACACTATGTGCATGCAATGCTGATCTAGATTGGCCATTATCATTATGCAATTGATTAACGGAAACTCACTTTTTGAAGTTGGTATTGCCAACCAGATGGGCCTTCCTACTTCTGATGCACACATAGTTTCCTGGTGGTGTCTGAATCGAGTCTATACGTTCTGCCTGAACGTCGGTACTGAGAATAAAACTGTGATCACCAAGCTGTCTCTTCATCACGACTACGTACGTTGCATTAGCGTTTACTGGTTCGTCAGCGGTAGGCACTCCTCCCTCATCAGCTGAGGAAGGAAAATATACAGTGCGTCCCAGAAGAAACCGAGAATTATCGATGTTTTATCATAACTTAATCACAATTATAATTGATAAATGACACATATTTGGAAAGCTTAGATACTCCTCTTTTTCAGACTGTACACTTTCATTAAATTAATAAACACTTTTAAGTCACTGTACTTATAGCACTATTAATCTAATACAATATTATATCCACTACCTCACTATAACTGCGAATTTTCTCTCCCTATTTCTTTCTCTAAATCATTCTCTATTACCTCCTTTCTGTATTCTATTACAATTTAAATCAGGATTTGATAAAAAGGACGTAGCCTAAAAAATCTATTTCTAAAAGGGCAGTCTTTCCTTTGGCACTATGGGTTACCTGAGGCAGTCTATGGTCTGTTCTCTTCCTCTCAAGTTCTTTTCCTCTGTTTATCAATTTCTGACATATGCCACCGCAAATGGAACTTGGTACTTCTTAGTCCGCTTCAGACATAAATACATGAACTATAAAGAGCAAAATTGATTGAGAGCATTAATCATTGGCTTACTGCTTGTGATACTCGTTGCAAACTTCCTCCCAGCGTATTTCATCTCACTTAGCTCGTATCGTGCTGGCGTCGTTGCGCTCGACCGTTGGTATTTGCGAGGGCTTGATTCGATGTAGTAAGTTCCATTACAGCGTCTAACAAGGATCTCCAAACGATCGATGCATTCACATGCCCGAAGGAGAAGACTGAATACTTCTGTACTCCCGACGAAGTCAACGTTAAGTCTAAATTAAACAGAAAGAGAAAGTAATAAGACTGTCCAAATGAATAGAAAAGGAACCTTGAAAAGGATATTTTAAAAACTAGTTCAAGGTGTTGGTACTTGATAGGAAATTGCTCTCAAAGAAAGCAAATAAATTATAGAGGCGAATTGGTGTAAGTATGAACGAAATTGAACAAACCATAAGAAAATTATCAATTTTAGAAAATTTGTAATCACTATACGTTAGGGAATTACAACTTGGCGCAATCGGCAGTGTAGCAGCTAGTGCCGCAGTGACGGACAACTATCCATCCCATCTGTTCCAATGCCAAAATTTACTAAAATCTTATTTCTTCGACATTGATTACCCAGGATGGTCTTTTCTGTTTAGACAACCTATGATAGTATGCTATCCATAATGATAGGAGACCCTATACTCTAAAAATAGAGTGCAAAATCGCTGTTTAACAAAGTTGGGTAAAGTATTACCCAACCTTGTGCCAAACACCAAGTCCCTTCGAAATGTCATTACACTTGCCATAGTGTCATATCAAAATTCGACTGCGCGCATTTCCGGGGTAAGAAAGTAACGATGCAGATTAATATTTGAACCACGCGTTGGGTAAACACAAGTTTTGACACCTAAACGTTGGTATTATGACACAACTGATGTTAAAAACTATGATTGAAGCGCTAGCGTGGTCGGTCGTTCCGAATTAGCTGTTCATTGAATTAATCGTGTTCAAGATCGACAGAGGATGGACGACTTTGTTCGAAATAGACTACGATCATGCACTTGTGTCTTTCCGCAGCATTTATTTGCATGAATGCGTGTAAAATTTCTCAATATGGACATGAAATTCCTAAGCGAAAGACTGTCTAGCCAAGAGAGAGAGAGAGAGGTCTGCTACTTATACACTACATTACATATAGCATGTACTTTTCCAGCCAACTCCTCGGACAAATTTTCTTTTTTATCCAAATCTGTGTAAAAATAAAAAATCATACAATAAGGTTGGGTTAAAATTTTACCCAACTTTGGGGTAAAAAATTACACAAGAACAAAGTAAACGAGTACCCGGGATGAGTTGGGTAAAAATTACCCAATGTTGTGTCAAAAAGGGAACATGGTTGTCGTTGGGTAACATTTTACCTTTTACATTGGGTCAAATATATTGCACATCAGTTGGGTAAAACATTAAACATTTGCTGGGTAAATTTTTACCCAACCACCCCTGTGTCAAATTTTACCCAACAAACATGCATGTTCCCTTTTTACCCTCGTAAAGTGTAAAATTTTACCCAATATTGGGTATCTTTTTTTTAGAGTGTAGACGCAACGTACTATAGCCTCATAAATAATCAACATAACAAAAATAGTACGCCATAGCTAAAACGTAGTTTTGTAGGCCCACATCTAGACCGTTATCGTCAATATCTGCATTCCCCCTCTAAAAAAGCAATTGTCCATTAGTATGCCACTTAGCGGTCATGCGGATTTTGTTCCACCCCCCCCCCCCCCTCATTACGCGATTGAAAGCCTATACAAATTACGGAGACATTGCAGAAGTGTCGTCATGTTCGCGATAACGCTAGTGCAGAATGTGAACGAAACATATCATCTACATCAAGCCATTCAACATTTAAAACATGTAATGGTTGCCTGAAGTAATGCAAAATATTAATGAAAGACATTAATTAATGATTTCTTCCGCCTTGACCTAGCATCCGATATTTGGCAATTTTAACAAAACCACTCCCAGATCATTGCGACAACCATCACCCACATATTATGTCAACAATACTCAACACAACATTTTAATTATAAAATACCACGCATGGATGCTCAATCTCAGCAACGTGTGGCTAGTGATTACTCAGTTATTGCGATGGATTTTACCCGACCAACATTGGTAAACATAAAATGCAATATTTTGTTAATGACGTCAGGTACTTTTTCACCAACGATATTATTCATAACAATGACAATTCAGTTATTACAATGAGTTTTACCCCGCCATCATTGGTAAACATAAAATGCAATATTTTGTTAATGACGTCAGGTGCTATTTCACCAACGATATAATTCATAACAATAAATTGACATCCATGTGGGTGGAGCCCACTTAGGGCGAGGCCCTGTCTCTGTTTCAGTAACAAATGCGATATATTTATATATGTATTTGTAACTTATTTATTTAAAGATACTAAAATATATTTCATTTATGCGAAACTTCACCCCAGAACAGAACCAACCTATATAAAATTTGCGCTCTGGCAGCCAGTAATCTACTGGTCCCAGTAACAACTGGTATTTTATTTGTCCGACTTCAAACTGGTATTTCTACTGGTTTTAACTAGTATCAGTTGAGACCAGTAGATACCAGTTAGGATTCCTTACCGGTTTCAACTGGTATTAACTGGAATTTTGCCCCCACACTCTCTCTCTTCAGCTTAAAGCAAAACATTAATATTTCTTTCTCTTTCATCATTTGATGATACAGATATAAAATTGTGTGGAAATGTGTGGAAATATATAAATTAACTTATTATAAAAGATCTAGTCAGACACGTTTTTTTACTTTGTGTTCGTTAAAAGTAAGGCAGTTTATTTGGCCTGGTGTTTGTGCCCCCTGTACCTATTGTCCCTCGCCCCCCCCCCCCCCATTTCTAAAATTCGAGGAAAATATACATACACTGTAAAAAAATAATAATCGAAATAACTCAATAAAATTGAGGAAAAGAATTGTCTTATTTTTATTAAGTAAATATTACCTACGGCATCTTAAGTAGAATTTACTTATTTTGCTGAATAAATTTCTACTCAGTAAATCGAGTTACATTAACGTAAATAATTTAAGTATTGTAATCATTTTAGATAATTAAAAAAAAAGCTATGATAGGATTACATATTGCACGATTTGGTACCCATCTAATCTAACAAGTAACATCCACTAATCATTCACTACTTCTATTTAAGATTAATCACTAATCACTAACACTACTTCTATGTAAGATTTACATACGCTTCAATTCGACACATATTGAATGGCTCCAAATTTTATATATACTTGATCGTAGCATCTTAAAAGGAAAATTGGTTGACAATTTCCTGAAATATCAAGTTTTGATTTGTTTTGAACTGGGTAACAATTAAAAATTGTCTTGTCTTTGCTTAGCCATGTTAAATGAATTATTAAATGTTTTAAAGTCCTTAAATTTTCATTCAACCACAAAAAAGAATTGTTTTATTTAAAAAAGAGTTTAATTTGGTCTTAATGAATATTCATAAATTATGTAAATATTTCTATTACGCACTGCATCGGTCCTTACTTTAAAAAGATAAGAATAATCAACATAAATTGTTTGAGTAATACGTATAATTTCTGATTTTGAGTTAAAATTACTAAATTAATACAAGCTGAAATTACTTAAAGTTTTTATGTATTTGATTTTACTTAAATATTCCACGTATGTTCTACTAAATTGAAAGTTTGAGTTAGCAAGACTTAAATTTAGTGCGTAAGTGGCAAAACTAATGTTTTCAAGTAAATTCTACATGGAAAAAATACGTAAAAATTACCAATGAACAAATTATTTTTTACAGTGTACACTGGACGGTTCTAGCACAACTACCCCATATAGGGCAACCACCCTCTAAGACGACTTTCCCAAGGGACAATTATCCTCTAGGACTATTACCCCCAGCTAACTAGCCCCTAGAACAACCACTCCTAGGACGATTATCCCCTGGACAAATACCCCCAGGCAACTACCCCCTACACACTAAGAAAAAATGGTGCAACTATGCACCTTTAGGGGTTCAAACCGATGCAACAATAGCAGCACCTTTAGGGTTAAATCCTGCACCCTTTTTAAAGGTGCAATCCTGCACCCTTCAAAAGGGTGCCAGATTGAACCTTTTGGGGGAAATGTTAGTACCCTTTATGGTTCAATCCTGCATCTTTAGGGGTGCAAACCGAGGCAACAATAGCAGCACCTTTAGGGGTTAAATCCTGCACCCTTTAGGAGGGTGCCAGAATGCACCTTTTAGGAGACATGTTAGTACTCTTAATGGTTCAATCCTGCTCCTTTAGGGGTGCAAACCGATGCAATAGCAGCACCTTAAGGGGTTCAATCCTGCACCCTTTAAAAGGTGCGATCCTGCACCCATCATCGAGGAATACTCGTGATATTTGCTCGTACACATATACATATTAAACATGCATGATGTTTCTTGGTTAGTAAAAATATAATCAATATATATATTGCTAAAACGTGAATGTAATTGTAACATGATCAGACAAAATAATCTATTGGTTAATGATTGCCTAAGGAAAATAAAAATCACATAATTGATGTGCATTGTCATAATTTGCTTAACAAATCATATGATAAATGTATTTTTATGTGAATACGTGGAAAGTAATCATGAATATGCATGCGATATGCAAACATTTATTTTGCACCTTTAAGGGTTGTTAGGGTTCATTTTTGTGGGAAGGGTGCAAAATCTTATATTGCACCCTTTTTTGAACCCCTTTTCCTTTAATAGGGTTCATTTTTATGTAAAGGGTGCAAACTCTTATTTTGCACCCTTTTTTCTTAGAGTGTAGGACAACAACCCTCTATCACAACTACCCCCGGTATTAGTTGTCCGGGGGTAGTTGTCCCAGAGGGTGGTTGTCCTATGGGGGCAGTCGTCCTAGAGGGTGGTTGCCGTAGGGGGTAGTTTTCCTAGAGGGTTGTTATCCTAGTGGTGGTTATCCGGGTGGTTGTTTAGGGGGTAGGTGTCCGGATACAACATTAAACATTCATGTTTCTAACTTACTTTCTAGTTCCTCCTCGTTCTGTTTCTAGAATCTTCCGCTCAGTCAACTCTTGCATGTTATCATGGATCCAATCTTGAACTGACGATAAGGATGCGTACCTAACTTTGCGTTGATTCTGAGCGATGTAATCGTCGATCCCGTCACGCAGGTCGAATTGTAGATGGTCATTGACGGTTTCGACGAGAAAGCGACGTTGACTGGAATCGTTCTGGTAATTTCCCTTCTCATCGATAGAGAAGGTCCCGAGAACCTCTATATCATGTATATCGGGGCTATTACTAGCCATTTCCCCCTCTTGATTTCTCACAGATTAATAGTTTCTCAGTAATTGCAAAATATCAACACAATCACTTTACAGATTTTAGCCAGTCCGAGGTTAAAATATATTTGAACCACTTTCCCTCGCTCTATGATGTCTCAAACTCAGCTTTTCAGCAATCACAAAATATCAGCGCAGTCATTGCGTGAAATGACAAACCTTTTCGACAACAATATGACTTTCTAACAGCGCTCAAAATACACGGGGGTGATGGGCGATTCGCCCCCGTGAGCCACACAATCGCCTCTGTCAGAGTGCTCACGGGGGCGATTGCAAAATTAAAAATCGCCCCCGTGAAATATAAATAAATAATAAAATTAATAACAAATATAAAATAAAGATTATCCTTTTTGTTATAACTTTCACACAATATTGAGTTCAACTTTCAAACCTTAAACCAATTAAATGGAACTATGGAAGTTATATTTTAAAAGCGTGCAGGATTTCTCGCTCGAATTTTTCGATGTCTAGAGGCTGCCATATTGTAAAGAAATAAACGCCTTTTTACCCGCAAGATTGCGCTAGGCTATATTAGGCTTTATATTATCACATGTTTGTCTTTGTTTATATTATCTTATTATGTTTATCAATTTTCATGTTATCACATGTTTATCATTGTTATACTATTGTTATATTGATACTATGTTGTAAATATGTTTGTACTCTCATACCCCGAGAGGGGGTCGATAGAGTCAATAAAATCTTACAATCTTACATATTATATCACCATATGAGGCAATATTGAGTAGTCATGGGAGTGTGTTATATATACAAGCTCCTCCCCCCCCCCCCCCCACACACACACTCTCCCTTCATCCTCAAGCCTCAAGTCTGCAATACTGCAATACATTCGTGTGACAAATTGTACACATTATACCCAAGCGGGGAGGGACTTGTCAATACTTTCTCTTTAAACGTTTGCCCTCTTTCCTCTCACCCAGTAATTCTACAAAAGTGTTTGTAAATCTTGAGCTCTTCGCCCTACAAAGGATTTACCCGTAAAACATCATGATAACATTTCTATTAAAAAGGGACAGGAAGGAAGTGCCTAGCTAGTTTCTCTTTAAGAAAAAATTGCAATTGAAAACCGTATAAATTACAAATACACACTACTTCCGCGTTGTGTGCAAGGTAACAAAGTTCACAATATGTTTTCCATGGTCGTACATAATATGTTCTCATTCGATTAAGATAATATTGAGTAGTCATGGGAATGGATTATGCAATGTTATTACATGTTATTGTCACAAAATACATAACTATTTTTGGCCGGATGGTTGATTATGAAGTAAATAATAGAAAGGATTATGTTTAGGTTGAGGTTGAGGTTTTGGAACAATGAGGTTTTGTTAATATGGTGGTGACTCAGTGTAATGGAATTTTTGGAAATGTGCAGATTGCCTTACGGCATGAATGTGATGGTATATCTAAGAGGCTAGGGCTGGGAATCCCAGGATTGTTGACTTCTTTAATCGGGAACATTCTCATTCTTATTTACCTCCTTATACAGGAACTCCACTGTGCACTGTATTTGATTAGCATGCATTCATGTCTTCATTATTAGCAATAAAACTGATCGAGTGGTTTAAGGCGCTGGACTGGAGATGCGAAGGTCGAGGTTTCGAATCCCGACACGGCACTAATATCCTTTGGCAAGATATTAACCTGCACTTGCTACTCTCCACCCAGGTGTCAAATGGGTACCCGGTAGGATGCAGCCGTCATTGTTGGTCAAACAGTTTGTGAGCGTCAAGTAACGCCCGGCTGGAATGCTCCCCAGGGAGTGTAGATTGTGCACACAATGGCCCGATTTCACAAAGGAGGTTTGTCGACAAACCTCCTTTTGTTTCGTCAAACCCCCTTTTGTGTTTTACAAACCAGGTTTGTAAAAAAAACGCGTCAAAACGCGTCATATGACGTACATAAACCTCGGTTTGTCGACTAACCTCCTTTGTGAATTCGGGCCAGTGTGTGCGGGCAAGCACTGAATCCAATGGCCGGGGTAATAGTATATTTGTAAAGCGCTTACAGACATGTGTATTAAGCGCTATATCAAAATTAAATATTATTATTATTATTATTATTATTGTTTATGAACTGCAACTGCAAAGTGTGACATTCAAACTGTATCTTGGACTTTGTAGAGAGAGCAATAATAGAATATTGAAAGTATTCCTGATAATATATTGATCACAATATAGGGGTGTATACCATAATGTCTAAAATTGCGTATTTTGCGTAAGGTTTCCTTTTGTAGGTGTCCCTTTTTCAGAAAGTGCCCTTTTTGGCGCCCCACCTACTTTGTAAGACGCCCCACTGCTCCTGAGCACAATGATAATGAAAGGTAACGGTCTAGAAGGGGCATAACTCTGACAAGCAAGTGATGAAGGAGGAAAAAAGGAAGAAGAAAAGAAAGAAGAAGAAGAAGAAGAAGAAGAAGAAGAAGAAGAAGTAAAAGAAGAAGAATGAACACACATTTTTTCGTCATACTGACTGTATTTTTATCGGAACGTTTATTACAGCTGAACAGGATTATCATACTAAAACTTAAAGTGACTCGGTGACATTGTTGAAGGTTGATTTTAAAAACTGCCTAATTTTGGTATGAAATGTTACTTATTATTATATTCCTTGTACTGTACAACCCTCTAAAATGCACAAAAATCCTGACAAATTTTCAAACCTCAAAGATATTTATAGTTTTCTTTGAAGGCGCCACTGTGCCATACCCTCTAATAGCAAATTCTCCCAACCGTTTTTGAATTTTCCCAACCGTTTGTCCATGAAAATGAGACATAAGACAGGCTTTTAAAATCTGTCAACACTTAAACGTCTGGAATGGTATATAAAGCCAATTCATTGCTTTTTGATGATTTACATTTACCTCACATGTAATAAAATTGTAATAATATAGTTGGGAGAATCAAGGAATCGATCAGATCAGTTTTTTTTCCAATTTCTATCATTATAATAATGGTCTCTTTACCTTCAAACTTTCAGATTATCTCTAATTGTACATCTAGCATTGAAGTCTCTACCTTAGCAACAATTTCTCTCCTCTGAACAATGTTGCCAAGTCCCTTTAAGATATTTTGGTACCAGGAAGAATCAGACGAGCATAGTGCTGACCATGGTTACCATATTGTTCACACGTATTGTTTACGGTATAAATTCTTGAAATGGTTATCGGAAAGTGCAAACACAAACCCAACGTAGTAAGCTACCAAGTCAATATCTATTTTTACCAATACCAATAGCTACCAATAGTTATTATACAAATTGGTTATATTTGAAACTACTGAAATTAAGTCATCGTCTTCAGTTTGCATTGAATGTTATAATTATATATCCCTTGTGAAATTCATCAATTTAGGATACAAAACATGACAAATGTTAAATCTCAAAGGAAATGTGATGTCTTTAAAGACAAACCCAACCTAGTTGTGAAAGAGTTCTATTTTCTCAACTCAAGTTTCTTCCCCTAAAACAATGCTAATTAAAATTAGAACAAATCCGTGAATACATCATTACCACCGCATCAGGTTATATTATACAGTTATTGACTGGCAGGGGGTGTAATATAACATTATTTGGACTGCTGAAGAGAGTTATATTTCCCAAGTGGTTATATTTTCCCGAAGCGCGCAGCGCTGAGGGAAAATATGGTCACGAGGGAAAATATAACTCCCTTCAGGTCCAAAGAATGTTATATACCCCCTGCCAGTCAATAACTGTTATATTAGATAGCCTTGGTTTTTTTTTTTGTAGGGGGGGGGGGGGTCCATTTTTTTTTTGCCCCCAATTTTTTTTTTTTCGGGGACAGTCAAAATTACGGAAAAATAATCTGTCGAGATAACCTTACAACAAACAAAAAATTATAAAAAAAATTTTGGGGAAAAAAAAAAAAAAAAAATCGAAAAAAAAAAAATTCTTACCCAAAAAAGCATTTTTTGGGAAAAAAAAAAATTATTAAAAAAAAAAATACTCAAAAAGCATTTTTTGGGGAAAAAAAAAATGTGGAAAAAATAATTTCTAGGGAAAAAAAAAAATTAATGAAAAAAAAATATTGAAAAAATAAAATGACCCTCGATAATGGTGTAATGTGTGTAATTGGTGACATACATTCCTCAAGAGGGCGACATGCATTGATTAAAAATATATTCATTTCACCAGCCGGTAAAATATAACACTGAAAAGTGACCGGCCGGGAAAATATAACAATTTGGATCCTCGCAATTGATATCACGTGACGAGCTCTGGACCAATCACATCTCGGCATCTGTCTAAGCTATCTAATATAACATGATAATATGATTTTACTTCTTAATAAATATAATGTATAATATAAAGTATAAAAAGTATAAATTAACCGTGCTTAGTCCGAAATAGATTTAGTCGTTATTTCTCATCAATAAACTTCAAAACCAAATTTAAACCATCAAATTGCAAAAGCCTTGGCTTTTGTATAAATGGACAGAGCACAATCCAAAAATAAATTTAAGCATTTTTGAGACATAGACTCATCCAAAATTCACCAAAGACAGCCACCGCTGTGTCACTGTGAATTCCGTGCGCTCATCCGCAGAGATCCGCTGCTAAACATAGTTCAGAACAGAACAATAAAGAAAATCTCCGATTTTACGATTAAATATATACAACACTCGGAATGGAATATCAGTTGCACTAAATATTAACAAACTACATTGCATAAACAATTTTTCCATTCGATTTCATGCGATATATACTAAAAAATAATGAAAGTTTAACATCATTTTGTAAGCATGTCAATAATTCTCAATAATGGATTCAAATGTGAAGCGCTCGTATGCAAATCATTTATACGGTATAGATCGACTTTGCACTGTATTCTCTTTTATGAATGACGCGCTTGAAAATAGCAGTCGATGCCTCATTTACATTTATGTACAATACATGGAGTGATTAACAGTAATCTGTTCTATTGTCAAGCAGAATTACAAAGAAAATTAGAATTGTAATAAAGTCTTAGAGAAGACGAAAATTTTAGGAATCCAAATCCTCAAGTAATTTTAAGAAACAAATTAATGTTCACGTCAGGCCTCTCGATACGTCATGGCCGCGCAGGGTCGTTACAATATATACAATTCAACCAGGTAATAATCACATAATGAAAGCAATAATTAAAAAAATGTGTGAAAATAGCCAATATTGTGAGGAATGCACCTACTATGTGGAACAAGCTCCCAACAAACCAAGAGAAAAACACAAGCAGAACAGCCTCATGAAGTCCTTGAAAACAAATAAGTTTTCAAGGCCCTCGCGAAACCCTCAATGCCCGTGACCTCCCAAAGTCGGCCAGCAGCACAAGATAGGCGATCGCCATAATGTTTGAGTACAAGTGGTCGGAGCAGAAAGTAACATTTTACGTGAGGTACGTAGATTTCTACTATAGGTACATATTATATAAAAGAGATAAGAAGGTTTTGTGAGAGATTACTTTGTGGCACAATATTATAACTTTAAGAATAATTATATCTATTATGATTAACCAGTACAGGCGTGACAACATGAGTGTAATGGCATCTCGCCCCTTTGCAAGTGCTACAAGTCTTGCAGCACTGTTCTGCACTATTTGCAGTTTTCTAATATTTTTCTAAGCCAAGCCCAAAAGGAGAGAATTGCATAAATCGATCCTAGAAGAATCAAATTAGACTAGGCCAAAGTATACATTTTTGTTACGCGTGGGTAGAACAGGTATATCACTGTGAAAAGGTTGGGCAATATTTTCCACATGTTGTGCCAATAGTCAACCCAACCATCTATTGGGCAATATTTTGTAATTGTTTCGTATTTCGCCCAACAGCTGGTCAAGATTTTCCCAACAAGTGGGCTACCGTAGTCGGGCAGTTGAGGGGTCATTCCTTTGCCCAAATTTCGGTCCATATACGAAACAATTATGCACGTGTGAAGTAGGGTACTTAAGTTTACCAATACTACTGGGCAAAATGTTGCCCAATAGATGGTTGGGCTGACCATTGGCACAACGTTGGGCAAAGTGTTCGAAAAATATTGCCCAACCTTTTCACAGTGAACGAGTGCACCAGTCAACATCAAATAATAACCTCTCCCCTAATGACATCTCTTCTCAATTATTTTCTTGAATGTTCAAGACATCAAGGCGATATTGATCAGTGAGGATGACGGAGTCTTCCTCTGTTGGTGGATGAAAGATGAACTTTCTTTTCTGAAGTCTGTCTTTGATGCCTGGTCCCAGCCTCAACTCAGGTAACTCTAGACGATACACGACTCTGGAGGAGGGGGAGGAGGAAGAAGAAGATGAAGAAGGAGGAGGAGGAGGAACAAGAACAAGAACAAGAACAAGAACAAGAACAAGAAGGAGAAGAAGAGGGGGAGGAGGAAGTAGAGGAGGAGGAAAAAAAGCAAGAAGAAGAAGAAGGAGAGGTAGAAGGGGACGAGAAAAAAAAGAATTATTAGAACAAAATCCTTCCAGACATTTTAAGTGATAAATTGATTAAAGGGCAATCAACCCTAAAGCAGAAAAGCAAGAAAAATAGAATGGCGAAAGTTTTTTAATAAATCGGATCATTAATTTTAAAAAAAGTTATGAACGTTTAAAATTTGGCGAGTAGTGGACTGTGACGTAGCTGTGTACACAAATAATAAATTGCTATTTTCTCCTAAGTGCCTTTTCCCTTAGGGCACTACTCAATATATATCATGGATAGCGTATCAGTATACGTCCTCTTAAGATATTAGACCCTCCTGAGTCATATATTTTTTAGAGAAAAATTAATTTTAATCATTTTTTTTTTGTGCTGTACCAAATGGGAAAGTTGTCCGGCACTTCGTCACAGTGACACTGCCGCTTCAGCCAATTTGAAGGGCCCACACGTATGGTGATGACAACTTTCACAAATAATCATCTTTTTAAATTATCATTTGCTGTCTGATTTCGTTAAAACTTTCACACATCTGCTTTTCTGATTTTTCTGCTTTCTTTAGTAGCAGTTTACTATTAAGCCTGGATTGTGGCCTAGCAGGGACATCGTCGAGAACTATTCGCGATGTACATTCTTGGCCACCATAGGATTTTCCTTTCAAGATATTAGGAACATGGTAAGAAAACAGATAAATTCAAGCGAACCTACCTTGGGTTATCATCTTGGATAAGAGTCTTGATATCCGAGAGATAGGCTTTAAACTTCTTACGGCATATCCTGGGCTTCCAGAAGCCCTAAATACACGGTGAAAAAATGTATAACAGGACTTTTTAAACAACGTCACATACTGAGAAAAATAAGGAGAGTTAGAGTTTTCGTAGATGGGCTGTTAAAACAAAATATATAGAAGGGAGTTCTTCGTTTAAAAAATGAATCACCGTTAGTTCGTATTTTGTGTGTAAATGACTGAAGTACTATACATTAAAATAATAATTTACACTTTCTACTGTATGATGATTAAAGAACTTACATCTGACATTTCTGGAAGCTGCTTGACCTCAAACGTTTTCACCGAGGTGATTTCATGCCTCCTGTCATCTCTCATACCGCATAACACCTCAGGGATGCCTGCTATGTAGGCCTGAGACCACCACTCCAACGTCTTGTATCTGTTGGAAGAAAAAAAAATACCGTCGAATTGGTAGAGAAAGAAAAGCCAAGGGTCCCGTAACACAAAGGTTTGCGATTGATGACAAATTTGAAAAAGCGGTTGTAATTGGTTGATAGTCAGCCTTGTTAACACTATGTGCACGCAATGATGATCTTGATTGGCCATTATCATTATACAATTGATTGACGGAAACTCACTTTTTGAAGTTGGTAAAAGGTTTGCCAACAAGATGAGCCCTCCTAGCTCTGATGCATACATAGTTTCCTGGTGGTGTCTGATTTGAGTCTATACGTTCTGCCTGAACGTCGGTACTGAGAATAAAACTGTGATCGCCAAACTGTCTCTTCATCACGACTACGTACTTTGCATTAGCGTTTACCGGTTCGTCAGCGTTAGGCACTCCTCCCTCATCAGCTGATGAACGAAAATGGAAATATTAGGGGGGTGTTCAATAAATTCATAGTCCAACTATGAAGGAGCAGATTTTCGGCGACGTATTTATGTCTTATGAATATTATCTTTCCAATTACAGGGGATAAGATTTAAGTTCAGAGGCACTACACCTAGGTATTATAGAGCAGCCCCTCAAATATGAGTACCTCAGAATTTAAAAAAAAATGATTAAGTCAGTGGATGTGCAGTGTGCAATCATCAGTTTCATGGTGCTCCACAAGAAGGAGCTGAAGAATATTCATGAGATGCTCAGGCTGGTGGCAACATTAAGGGGAAAATTATACATAATATTGTCTGTGTGGTATGGGTCATTGAATCCGAGTGCCAGGGGCAACTGACATTCCCCTCTCACCCCTCACCCCCACTTCCATGATGATTTCAGACCGTACCATTTCATTAAATTAATAAACACTTTAAGTCACTGTACTTATAGCACTATGTCCACTACCTTACTATAATTGCCAATTTTCTCTCCCTTTTTTCTTTCTCTCAATCATTCTCTTTTACCTCCTTTCTGTATTCTATTACAATTTAAATCAGGATTTGATTAAAAAAAAGGACGTAGCCTGAATAATCTATTCCTAAAAGGGCAGTCTTTCCTATGGCACTATGGGTTACCTGAGGCAGTCTATGGTCTGTTCTATTCCTCTTAAGTTCTTTTCCTCTGTTTATCAATTTCTGACAATTGCCACCGCAAATGGAACTTGTTACTTCTTAGTCTGCTTCAGACATAAATACATGAACTATAAAGAGCAAAATTGATCGAGAGCAATAATTATTGGCTTACTGCTTGTGATACTCGTTGCGAACTTCCTCCGAGCGTATTTCATCTCACTTAGCTCGTTTCGTGCTGGCGTCGTTGCCCTCGACCCTGTCGACGTTCTTCTGCTATAAGATTGTCCCGAGGTTCGTGTTCTATTCGATTCCCTCGCTGACCGCGGTGCTCTTGATGTAGCTACGGGACGTCCTCCGCCGAACCGAGGACGTTGATTAAAGTGACTCGGGAACATTGTTGGAGGTCGATGAAAAAACTGTGTAATGTTTGTATGAAATGTTACCTATTATATTCATTCTACTGTACTAACCAAAGACGTTTAAATATGACCCTCTAACATGCTACAAATCCTAAAAAAAAATTCTCAAACCACAAAGATATTTATGGTTTTCTTTGAAGGTGTCACCGTGCAACACCCTCTAACAGTGAATTCTCCCAACCATTTTTGAATTTTCACAACCGTTATTCCATGAAAATAAGACATAAAACAGGCTTTTAAAAACCTTTCAACACTCAAATGTCTGGAATGGTATATAGAGCCAATTCATTGCTTTGCGAAGATTTACATTCAGCTAAAATGTAATTAAATTGTAATAATATAGTTGGGAGAATTAAGGAAGCGTTCAGATCAGTTTTTCCCAATTTGTATCATTAATAATGGTCGTTTTCACTCAAACTCCAAGATTATCGTAATTGTACACCTATGATTGAAGTTACTAAGCACCATTCTCTCTCATCTAAACAATGTTACCAAGTCCATTTTAAATGCTTAAAATTTGAATATGGCACAAAACGTTAGTAATAATAACGGAAGATGAATACAATAATCGCCTATTTCAATTTTTTTCTAGGAATCCTAAAAACAGTGGCAGATTTAAGGGCACAACCGTTCCATGCTCTCCCTCCCCCTTCCTTGCATTTAAACCTAACACTGCCTATTTGTATCTCTTATAAGTACAAAACATACAAAGCGGCTGCATAGATCACTAATATCCTATCATTATGTTGATGATGTTATAATAATAATCGCTTATTTGTATATGTTTTATGTACTAATCTTAAGGAAATCATGCAAAACCAATTATTTCTCTCAATTCTTCGAATGGTTAGCATTATTTTTAGAAGTAACCCTCCCCCCCCCCCCCCCAAAAAAAAAGGGGGGTTGACATACTTGTTGTGGTGCGGGCGCTGGTGCTGGTGCTGGGGGTGGGGCTGGTCGGGGTGCTGGTGCTGCAAGAGGAGCTACTTGCCTCCTTGGTTGGCTTTTGCGAAGGCTTGATTCGATGTAGTAAGTTCCATTACAGCGTCTAACAAGGATCTCTAAACGATCGATGCATTCACATGCCCGAAGGAGAAGACTGAACACGTCTGCACTCCCGACGAAGTCGACGTTAAGTCTAGAGTAAACAAAAAGAGAGAGTAAGAAGACTGTCCAAATGAATAGAATGGAACATTGAAAAAGAGATTTAAAAAACAAGTTCAAGGTTGCTAGTACTTGATAGCAAATTACTCTGAAAGAAAGCAAACGAATTATTGTGGCAGATTGGTGAAAGTATGAACGAAATTGAACAAACAATAAGAAAATTATCAACTTTAGAGAATTTGTAATCACTACATAATTTACTGTTCATAGATGATTTCAAAAATAATTAGCAATTTTCTAGGTGTAAAGTTTTTTTGACTCACACTGTATACGAAAGGGAATTAGTATTTGGCGCAATCGGCAGCTAGTGTAACAGTGCCGCAGTGACGAACACCTCCCCCATCCCATTTGTTCCATCGCCAACATTTACTAAAATGTTATTTTTTCGACACTAATTACCCAGGATGGTCTTCACATAGATATACTAACGTAAAAACAGATGCGTATGTCTAAATTGAAAGGTTAACAAGGCAGTCATCTTAACACAGTAATCGGTTTTTACTTTGACACGTGCTCCTTTTCTTTTGTAATAAATGTAATTTTCCGTTAAAATATGTGCCCCTTTTTTCCTTTCACCATAAAATGTGCTCATAATTTAAAGCAACTAAGAGTAGTTTTTTCATTAATTTTACCCAAAACTCGCTTGCTACGCTCGCTCGCATTTAACATTAACGTAATCTTGTTTCTTATCTAATATCTTTTCCGTGTTTCATGTTTATTTTGTCTTTAAAACCCCGTTAGATTAGGGTTTTTCCTCTTTATAAGATTTAGTTTTTCGCACTGCGACCAATAAAATCTTAAATATATTCAGACCATCACATCCAGCTGCAAAGTACGATGCTAACGCAGTATCCTGTGGACCATGTAAGGAGAGAAACTAACATTAAAATCATCCCTGGTAATGTAATCACAACGAAGGGTGTATATAAAATGTCCAAAAATGGCATAGTTTTACTTTGAGATTTCCCTTTGTACGTGCCCCTTTTCCCAGAAAGTGCCCATTTTGTTGGTGCCCCCCCCTACTTTACGAGACGCTCTACCGCCCCTGGATAATGTTGATTGGGATATTAACTTATCAGCTAATTACTCAAAGTGTGAAGAACAGTAATATAAGCAATCAAGTAATTTGTTTTAGTGGGTAGATGCAACGTACGCTAGCCTCATAAATAATCAACTAATAAAAAAACAGTACGCCTTAGCTAAAACGTAGTTTGTAGGCCCACATCTAGACCGTTATCGTCAATATCTGGATTCCCCCCCCCCCCGATTCCCCCCTCTTAAAAGCAATTGTCCATTATGCCACTTAGTGGTGATGCGGATTTTTTCTGCCCCCCCCCCCCCCCTCATTACGCCACTGAAATCCAACAAATTACGAAGACATTGCAGAAGACAGTGTCGTCATGATCGCGAGAACGGTAGTGAAGAATGTGTACGAAACATACACTGTAAATGTACACCAAGCCATTCAACATTTAAAACATGTAATGGTTGCCTGAATTAATAAATTTTATTAGTGAAAGACATTAATTAATGATTTCTTTCGCCTTGACCTAGCATCCGATATTTGGCAATTTTCACAAAACCACTCCACAGACTAAGATCATTGAGACAACCATCACCCACATAACTATGACAACAATACTCAACGCAACAGAGCATTTTAATTAATACAGTGATGATAAAACACCACGCATGGATGCTTAATTTCTGCAACGTGTGACGAGTGATTACTCAGTTATTGTGATGGGTTTTACCCGCCATCATTGGTAAACATGAAATGCAATATTTTTTTAATGACGTAAGGTACTTTTTCACTAACGATATAATTCATAACAATAACAAGCGGAGCCAACTTAGGGTGGAGCCCTATCTCTGCTTCAGTAGCAAGTGCGATATATATATAATATGATTATATAAAACTTATTTCTTATTGAACACCTGATGAGAAATGTATGGAGCAAAAAGGAAATAGACTAGATAATAAATTTCTTGTATCTCCCTTTTTATCCTCTCCAATTTGTTTCTCCCTATCTATCTCTTTTTCCAACTATAACCTTAAGTGGAACCATTTTTTTCTAACTGCACGTCATCCTCATCTCGCTTCCTTTTTCATTCTTTCCTTCTCCCTCTCTGTCTTTCTGTCTTTCTGTCTTTCTTTCGTCACACTTTCTTGTATATTTGTTAGTAAGTTATTTAAAGGAGAGCTAAACTAACCCCCAAAGAATAAGTGTAGGTATTCTGAAAAACGAGATAAATTTCTGCCTTTTGATGTACACCTGTTTGGATGTACACCTGTTTGGCATTCAGGTTTGACTAGGGCAGACAAGAAACTGATAGAGAGAATTCAGAAACGAGCGTGTCGCCTCATGCTTGGCCAAAGATACACGAGTTATGATGATGCCCTCAATGTTCTTGACCTTCCCACACTGGAGGAGAGGAGGGAAAGGTTAACAAAGAAATTTGCGAGTAACCTCACAAAGGGAACGTCCCCCTTCTATCACTGGCTCCCCCCTACGCGAGCTTCCCGCACTTCCCGCAACCTGCGCAACGCTAATGACTATTCCGAAATCAAATGCAAAAATGAGCGCTACAGAAAGAGCGCACTCCCCTTCATTGTGAGGTTACTCAATTCAAACTGGAATAATGTAAAGACAGATCGTTTGTTCATAAATGCTGAGCAGGGGCGTAAATCCCGGGGGGGATGGGGGTGCATCCCCCCCCCCCCCTGGCTTGAAGTAGGGGGATGGCCTGTACAAACATCCCCCCTGATATTACAACAAAAAGAGAGAAAAAAAAAGAAGAAGAAGAAGACCAAAAAAAAAATGTGATTTTTTTTCAATTTCAGCATAATGCATGAGAAATGAGTTATTTTTTTTATGTATGTATAACTGTATAGCCTACACGTATACAGTATGTCACTATCATTAAGAATAGTTGCGCGACGTGCGCGAACAAGCACTTCATAAACTTCAGAATAATAAGAATCCCACTTTTTTCCAAAAATGCATCGGGCCGCGCCCCGGCCGGCCGGTCACGCAGTCTTCTGCATATTGCACCGCATGCATGCTCCGCTCTCTCGCGCTAGCAATGCAGAACTTTATGAATGTACTATTTTTAATGACTTTGTAATACTATTGTATTTTGTGCAGTATCCTTGTGTTAATACTTATGTAAATTGCACTCAATTCAGCCGAAAGGCTGCCATGTACAATGTTTTTTTATACCACAATAAATAAAAAATCTTTACGAACGTGTAAAAGAGATAATATATAAATGAATATTTCTTGGCATGATGTAATGCCTTCTAGCATGATATGGGCGCAGCCATTTTCTTACAAATTTGACGTAGCCGGCGGAGTTGTACATGTATCATGCACCAATCAATAACAAAACCTTTTCTGTTTAATGAGAAAAAATCATATAGCCGAGAAGGTAAAAATTGAATTTGGTGAAAAATATATTATAGGGTAGCAATAGAAACTCATTGATTTAAAGCTACTAAAATATAACGGTTACGAAATCTATTTCATTTATGCGAAACTTCACCCCAGAACAGCACCAACCTATTTATGCAATTTGCGCTCTGGCAATTGGAGTACAAAAGATAATAGCAGGCGAATGAAATCCTTCAACACCACAAACACCTGGGAAGGAAGCATCCATACATATGAATATATTTAGTTGATAAACGACTCCGCATAGTAAGTCATACAATCAAGAAAATGGCGATGCCCATGTTTTGCTGAGAGACTGAACTTTATTCATGCTTATGCCCTTCTCATACATGGGGAATCTTGTAGATTGATGGGCAAGAATGCAATGTAAATCAACTGGTAATATCAACTGGTCTCAGATATCAACTGGTTTTTCAGCTGGTCCCAGTTGGCGGTGTTTCAATTTCCATATTAAAAACCAGTTAATATACTGGTTTCTACTGGTACCAGTTGAATCCAGTAATCTACTGCTCCCAGTTATATTGGTATTCTACTGGTCCGAGTTCAAACTGGTATTTCTACTGGTTTTAACTAGTATCGGTTAAGACCAGTTCACACCAGTAGATACCAGTTAGGACGGTTTGACGCCTACCCTCTGGACAACGACTCTCCGGATAACCGCCCTAGGATAACCACCCTCTAGGACAACTACCCCCTCGGGGCAACCACCCTCTAAGACGACTCCCCCCCCCCCCCCCGGGGACAATTACCCTCTAGGAGTATTACCCACAGCTAATTACCCCCTAAGACAACCACCCCTAGGACAACTATCCCCCGAGCAATTACCCCCAGGCAACTACCCCCTAGGACAACAACCCTCTAGGACAACTACCCCCGGTAGTTGCCCGGGGTAGTTGTCCTAGGGGGTGGTTGTCCTGTGGGGAAGTAGTCCTAGAGGGTGGTTGCCCTAGGGGGTAGTTTTCCTAGGGTTGTAATCCTAAGGGTGGTTATCCGGGGGGTGGTAGTTTAGGGGGTAGGTGTCCGGATACGACCATAAACATTCATGTTTCTAACTTACTTTCTAGTTCCTCCTCGTTCTGTTTCTAGAATCGTCCTCTCAGTCAACTCTTGCATGTTATCATGGATCCAATCTTGAACTGACGATAAGGATGCGTACCTAACTTTGCGTTGATTCTGAGCGATGTAATCGTCGATCCCGTCACGCAGGTCGAATTGTAGATGGTCATTGACGGTTTCCACGAGAAAGCGACGTTGACTGGAATCGTTCTGGTAATTGCCCCTCTCATCGATAGAGAAGGTCCCGAGAACCTCTATATCGGGGCTATTACTAGCCATTTCCCCCTTTTGATCTCTCACAGATTAATAGTTTCTCAGTAATTGCAAAATATCAACATAATCACTTTACAGATTTTAGACAGTCCGAGGTTAAAATATATTTGAACCACTTTCCCTCGCTCTTGATGTCTCAAACTCAGCTTCTCAGCAATCACAAAATATCAGCGCAGTCATTGCGTGAAATGACAAACCTTTTCGACAACAATATGACTCTCTAACCTATTGATGACATTACAGGGGAAGTCCCAATCAACGATATTATATTTATAGTCTACTCGCAAGTTCTTTCTTTATTTGTTTTTGTCATTTCACCTCTTGGACCACCTACATTTCTCCCATTAGATAGTTTATCACGTATGAGTTATACACAAAATGTGATTTAGTAATCAACTATTTGTGTTTATCATGAAATGATTTATTTTTGTTCTATATTGCAATGTAAGAAATGAATATTACACTGCTTGAAAAGACTAGTTGATGTTGACAACGCGATCGCAACTACTATTGTGTTATACGTCAATTTAAAATGTGTGTGCATAAATTACCTGGGAAATCCCCATGATACTATTTACGTATTGTGGCGGCCCCCGCCTTCAATCCCGACCTTTTCGTCAGGATTGATCCCATTTCCAGCTGGGGAATTTGATTCTTTACTTTACTTCATTTCTAACTCATCAACTCTGTCAGGATTTTTGTCAGATAAGATCTTATCAATAACACACTACTGTCGCGTTGTGTGCAAGGTAACAAAGTTCACAATATGTTTTCAATGGTCGTACATATATTATTATATGATTGAGATGATATTGAGTAGTCATGGAGGTATACCAGCCCCCCCCCCCCCTCTCTCTCTCTCTCTCTCTCTCTCTCTCTCTCTCTCTCTCTCCCTCCCAAAGCCCCAAGTCTGCAATACTGTATACATTCGTGAGACATTCGTGTACACATTAAACCCAAGCGGGGAGGGTCTTGTCAGTAATTTCTCTTGAAACCTTTGTTGCCCTCTTTCCTCTCACCCAGTAAGTCTACGAAAGTGTTTATAAATCTTGAGCTCTTCTCCCTATACGAGAAAGATTTACCCGTAAAAAATATGATAATTGGAGTATATGCAGGAAGGAAGAGCCCTAGATTCATTTTAAGATAAAATTACAATTGGAAACCGTATAAATTACAAATACACACTACTTCCGCGTTTCGTGCAAGGTAACAAAGTTCACAACACGTTTTCCATGGTTGTACATATTTATCGTACGAACAAGATAATATTGAGCAGTCATGGGAGTGGATTATGCAATGTTATTACTTATTGTCACAAAATACACTTATTTTGGCCGGATGGTTGATTATGAAGTAAATAATAGAAAGGATTAATATGTTTAGTGAGGTTTTGGAATCATGAGGTTTTGGTAATATGGTGGTGACTCAGTGTAATGAAATTATTGGAAATGTGCATATTAGTTGCCTTACGGCATGAATGTGATGGTATCTTTATTTTATCCCCCCCCCCCCCCCACCACCTACTTTGTAAGACGCTCCGCTGCCCCTGAGCACAATGATATGAAAGGTAACGATCTAGAAGGGGCATAACTCTGACAAGCAAGTAGTGCTGAAGGAGGAGAAAAGAAAGAAGAAGAAGTAAAAGAAGAAGAAGAAGAAGGAGAAAGGGGGAAATATATTACATTCTTAGGTGCCTGTTTGAATTCGCCACTGAAGTTCACGAGTTTAAACAAATGGGATCATAGTCCAATTCTCAACAATACATGGTTGGAAATTCCACCTTGACAAATACGTCCGATTATTATCATCATTATAAGTAAAGAAGGTTAGAGCATTTAGAGGAGGTATATATTCCCCACTCCTCTTGCGTAGCAAAGACTTACCACAATGTCACCCTATACAAAAACAAAAATCGAGCTACAGAATGGCTTATTTCGCTACTAGGAAATAAATGTGAAGTCTGAAAGGTTGTTCCGATCTTATATATTTGCTGATCATGGACAAAGTTTAGGCGGAGTAAACCCTCTCCGCAACCATCGCCCTTGGTACACACCCACACGGACAGAGACGAATGCGATAATAGAATGATAGGACAAGATTAAAAAAATAGTGCATCGAGTCATTCATCGTGTATTGCGCGACTCGATTAGGAAGGAAATAGACAAACTAGCTTGAAGAGATAATGTACTCGTACAGGGAGATATTGATTGGTTTCTACTTGTTCACCTGTGCTACACTTTCATGGGGTGACGGTGAGTTGTTAACTGCAATAAATTAACTTTAGTCGTATTATATTTTCTGAAAACAGTTGATCTGTATATACTAGAGTAGTAACTGTTGATACGGATGGGTAAATAGAGTTTGCAGGCACGATACTTAGTAAATACTGTGACTCATATAGAGTAGTTCATTTTTGTAGTTATTATGGTGCTAAGATCTATTATGTATTACTATAAATGTAAAAAAAATTCTTGATATTAATATGTGTCTAACTGAATATTTTCAGATTGTCAACCTCTTATTCCCTCCCCCTGTTGTCTTGTGCCTGTTGTGTGCTGTGCCTATTGTCGATGTGCTGTAGTCTTCTATTATTTCTCATATTTTCCCTTTTCTCCCGTCTTGTCTTTAGTCTCGTCTCTCGTTTTGTGTAGTTGTTGTTGTTGTTGCTGTTGTTGTTGTGTGTGTACACTTCTTGTTTTTTTTTATACCCCTTTTCCCTATTGTATTCTTAGGTAGTCACAAATATCTATTCATCATGTTTATCCGGCTCAGAGGGGACCCTAATAAGTACAAGCTCTGCTTTTACCAGGGTCTCCTCGTCTTTCTTTTAGTTAACTTTGTTTTTATCATTGCCAACTTTGTTTTTATCATTGCCATAATTTGTTATTTTTCATTGTAAATGTGTAATGATCTAATGTTATGCTCTATGTGTCTTTTGAATGAAAGACGAATACATATCATATCTTATCTTATCTTATACCTCCCTATCTCCCTTTCGCCCACCCCCTCTCCCTGTCAATTCAGAAGGGAACTTTCTCCACATCTCTGATGTTCATTACGACCCTTTCTACGGGGATGGGGTGTACCCGACCTCAAGCTCCTGTTCAGAGGCCATCGATCCCGCCCAGTACCCCTTGGGTAATCATCATTGTGACAGCCCATGGGCGCTGGTAGAGAGTGTGTTCCAGGCCATGGCTGATACCATGACAAGTGAAACGGACTTCATCGTTTGGACAGGGTAGGTGACTAATTACCAGCGGGGTGCCGGGTTGGAATGGGGTAGGATGGCATGGGGGACTTTTTCATACCCCCCCCCCCCCTCCCCACCCATCACATGGCTAAAGTAACGGGGGAAGGAGAGAGAAAAGGGATATGTGAGGGAATGAACAATGAACAGTTACACAAAAAAAACATCAAACGCAAGGTGTTATTTACTGAAGTACTACTGCGTCAGGGACTGGCGCTGTCTATGATGCAACACGTGACAGTGGTATGGGCGTCAAGCTACGCCTGGCTGGAATGCTCCCCAGGGAGTGGAGATTGTGCACACAGTGCGGACAAGCACTGAATCCAATGACCGGGGTAATAGTATATTTGTAAAGCGCTTAGAGCCATTTGTATTAAGCGCTAAATAAAAGCTAATTATTATTATTATTATGGCACAAAAAATAAAATTTCAAAATAAACAGTGTCAAAATTACTTCGATTGATTTGCATTTGAGGGTCACTTCACAGGCTTGATTAACGCAATCACAATGACGCCTTTGTGTACTACGGATATAAAGCCCGTTGTACACCCGAGGTGTCATTTGCCTGACCTATAATACGGCGTCCGTAACTGGTGCGACCTTTAATGGGCTAGGTATAGGGTGATGTCGTACAAAAAAGAGTGATTGCAAATTGAACAATAATCTCACACGAAGTATTAGCTCAGGTAAGTAATAACGCACACGAAATGACGCCTCGTGTGCAACGGGTAAATAAAAAACTTGAAAGATCTTGAAACATTGCAGTTCAATGTTTATACGTGGTGAAATCGGTTATACTGTCTATGGCAGTTCTCTTGCAAAGTCAATAGAGCATCAGGTACAGATCTGAAAAACTGGGTCAACTCAAATATTGAAATGGTGATGTATTTGTTTACCCAAACCCATGACAGTAGAGATATGTTTCTACTTCAAATCTCTCCATCCGTGGGAATAATGAGCTCCCCATAAAGTCAAATATTTCACTTCGAAAAACCATTGTTCCTTTCCAAAGCCCTCCATTGTCAAACGCCAACAAAAGGTTGCCTTAGATTTCACACTCCATCGTCTTTCTTTCCTTTACGGACTCATTCATAACCAAGACCCGTAACAAAGCTGGTAATTATCGCAGGTAACTGCATCAGAATGGGACAAAATACCTTCTTTCAGCACATTAGCGAATCTCACAGACCGTCAAACTTAACAACCCATCTCTTTCCTGTACTTAAAAATGTAAACTAGTTAAAGCTTTCAGAAACTTTCCTTGTTTTTTATGTCATAGGGTATTCATTGCGTAAAAATTGACCCTTTTATGCCCAAAACAGGATGTAATTTAGAAATCCTGAAAATGTCCATAGTCTACACCTTCTGTATTACACCAAGGGGCGGATCCAGCCGGCGACAGGGGAGGGGACCCAAAAGGGGGCTCAATTCGTGAGAAAGTATTTAGCGGCGAAAAAGCCGGCCGGTGAATAAGCAGGGGGGGGGGGGTAAGGAGCACCGGCCGATAATTCGCTCAGTAGGGGGGGGGCTTGAGGCCCAGGGGAGGGGGCCCGGGCCCCCGGCCCCCTCCCTGGATCCGCCACTGATTACACCAAGAGCCATTCAAGCCAACGTAGGCCTAGCTACATTAAAGCATTGTTCACGAAATGGCTCTGTGTGGACCCAGGTTCGAAACTAGTTCGGATGGTTAGCTTTTAATAAAGTCGGTTCCAGATGTAAAAACATCATATTTGATTGAAATGTGTTATAAAAACACAATTACATAACTACATATGTATATTGTATACGAGCGCTAAGATTTTCTTTCCAAATACCAATGTAAGTTAATATACATAGCCTTGTCCGTTACCTATTGATATGTATTACGTAACTACAACATGATTTTCATGAGATATACAATAGGGTAGTGACAGTGGCCTTAAATTAATTCTCAAGAGTCTGACCGCGTGTTCAGTTCATTGTCGGTTTCTTCTTCCATCCACCCTTCCACCCCCTTGTATTTTTAACATGTTTTATTTTCGCCATAATATACCAAGCAACACCCACATATTAGTTTTATGTTTCATATGATAATTACAAGCATAAATAGGATTTATAAAGCTCTTTAAACCCTATACACATCATGACCACGTCTTGGACAGAGCTCCCATGCATAACAAGGCGCGGAAGCATTTCACACCCACCGCACACTAAACATCCCAGACTATGATCCAATTTTGGAAGGATTTGCAATCGCATTTGAAATGAACATTCAAACTTCTAAATTCTTAATGATCGATGATTTGAATATGATTAATAAGATTACAATTTTCAATAGATTTCACGCATTCTTGGAGATGGAATAACTAAATCGGCTCAGAATCGTAGTGACGTCATACCAGTAGTGCGAAAGTCTACGATTTGAAGCCAAATCGGCTTTTATACTGATACTAGAATGCACAATGACTCCGGTTATCAGCATCCTTATCATTATTTAGATATACATCAGAAAGATAATGTTTTTTTGGATTCTTTATCTAATATAATTGTCATTTCCCCGACAATCGGATCGCAGGGAGACCTCATAGTGTGCGGTGGGCTTTGGGAATGTCTTCCTACCGGTTACCATATACAGCGCTGTTCAATGGTACTTATGCAATAATAATTCTGAAATTATTTTATTGCTTTGCAAAATATGGAGAAAATAACTTGAAGTACATACAAGTTATTTGAAATGATTTGAAATAAATAAAATTATTTATATATAAATTAAAAAAGCACCGTCTTGGATAAGCTGAGTTATTGGACAGGTATTCTTTTTCTATTTTCTGAATTCTCCTTAAATAAAAGATCCCCTGTATTTCTCAGTCTCCGTTTTCAGCACCTCTACCCCCAATTTGTAATTCCTTCTAATATCAATTATTTTTTACGACATGTAATATCGATGGCTATTTAATGATTCCTATGGTGCCTATCTTCCCACAGGGACACCCCGGGTGCCATAGACCTGAGTCATCTTAATACCACCAAAGTACTCTCCATGATCCAAAATGTAACTTCAGAGATGAGAGAACGGTTGCCTGCTGACATTCGTGTCTTCCCGGCTATTGGTAACCATGACAACTATCCTCGTCACATCCTCGATCCCGCGCCCAATGAATTCAGGGATAGCCTGGCCGAGGTTTGGGACCCGTGGCTTGCAAACTACCAAGATGCCAATGATACATTCAAATCAGGTTGGAAAAAAAAATTAAAAACGATTTTATATTGTCATGGCACAATAAGTGTCAGTTGGTTTCAGATCAAAGATTATGATCGTGATGATGATGATGATGATAACAATGATATGAATTCTGTGAGATTAATAGTAAGAATGATATTAATAACAGTAATGATAATAATGATCATAATAATAATAATAATGATCAATAATAACAATAATAATAATAACAATAATAATAATGGATTCTAGGACACCTACCCCCTGAAACACCACCCCTAGGATAACCACCCTCTAGGACGACTACCCCCTAGGACAACTACCACCGGAAAAACAACTACCCCCTTGGACAACTACCCCCGGACAAAATAATATCCTAGGGGTAGTTGTCTCGGGGGTAGTTGTCTGGGGGTAGTTGTCCAAGGGGGTAGTTATCTGGGGGAAGTTGTCCGGGGGTAGTTGTCCTAGGGGGTAGTTGACCTATAGGGGTAGTTGTTTGGGGGTAGTTGTCCTAGGGGGTAGTCGTCCTAGAGGGTGGTTATCCTAGGGGTGGTTATCCGAGGGCGGATGTCCAGGGGGTAGATGTCCGGATACGATAATAATGATAATAGTAGCTCACAAATTATTTTTCGACTTTACCAGGGCTCTGATATCAATAATATTCTGGCAACCGGTACCTCATGTTTGGGCGCAGACCACCGCATTTTCGGGCAGAGAGAGTTGGTCTAATTGTAGTCTAGATAATTATGTTAGTAGGATTTGTAGCGATATAGGCAATGATAAGTTGATTTTTAAAAAATCGATTGTTTCGCTATTCTCAAACATTAGAATCTGGAATATATTCCCAATATCAGCGACGTCAACACATTTGGCAATATTGCGAAGAAGCAACATACCATGTGCTCTTAAATGGACAAAAGCTATATAAAGCATGCTTTTTAAAATGATTAAGTCGAAGTTTAACTATAATGCTATATTCGCCTATCTAATGAATGGTAAATTTGTCGTTTTACACTCAACCAGGTGGTTACTATGTAACTCCAATAAACGGTAATCTATGGATGGTAGTACTGAATACTGCTATGTATTACTACAAGGACCCATTAACAGAAGGCATTGCTGATCCAGCAGGGCAGTTCGATTGGCTAGAAGACACTCTCGAAGCTGCACAGACCGCCGGTAAAAAGGTACAAACGCTTTGAAAATCTGAATCATTTACAATTCAGTTCAATTAATTATAATTCAAGCCAATGCGGGTTATCAAAATATTAGCAGTCTAGGGACTAAATATTGTACATTTTTACCCTTTTAAAATGCACATAAAATATAGGATAATCGAAATGCACAAGGTTACGTGCTGTTATAGGAATAGACCGAATTTTGAGAGCCGACCTTACCCAAATCAGAGGCTAACGAACGAAAGAGACAGAAAAATTCGGTCTATTATAGGAAGGGCAAGACATAATGTTTGTCATATGGACTAAGTCATATAATTTGCATTTTAGGATTGAAATTTATCCATAACGGGTGAATTAATCGTTCGTATCGACTATTACAAAGAACCATGCATTAAATTTGTAAACATTACGAGATGGATCGAAATTTAAATCAAAGGCATCGTTCAACAATATTAAATCTGAGATGCAGGGCCGTACGTGTTTCCAGTGTCTGTGATATGGTGTTATATTGAAACCGTAAAATATTGCGCTTTAAAATGATCATGAAGTGCCTCAAAACCATATTCCCCAATAAACTGTAGTGTTATAAAAACCGTTAGGAAAACGAAAAATGGAATTTCGATTTCCAATCATATCTTGATATAATCAGACGATCGCGGCTTGTAAAAGTCATGGGATTCCTGACTGACCTAAAGGTTTGATTACTGCATGATCTAAATCCATGATTTTCTTTCAATCCGAGACAATGTTGTTGCCGAGTCACTCAATGGTTTGCTTCTTTCCCAGACGTCACAAGTTATCTTTTCCCGCTCAATGCATCCTTGTTGTTTTTGTAGGTATTCATCAATGCTCACATCTTACCTGGTTCGTTGGAGGGAGAAACGAAGATCTCTTTTCAAACCAGCTTTAACGTGAGGTATCTAGAAATCAATCGAAAGTACAGTAACGTGATTAAAGGACAATTCTTCGGCCATCATCATTACGATAGCTTCAGAATACTCTATGATGACACAGGTGAGCTCATTTTCTCTCTAAAGCCCCACTGCACCACGTATAGTTACTTGCGCCCTCTATATAGAAAACAATGCCTAATCGGTGCCTGTTGGTCCCCCATGATCCCCTTTTTCTTATGTTAATTGAGAGCTGATTTGATGAGATAACTACCGGTCAGTGACCTTGCAGGGAGGTCTAATTTCCCCCTGGCCAAACTAGGTTCATTAACTGATTGAAAAAGGGTAGTGTCACATGACCAGATAAATTAAATGTTAATAAATATTAAGGAATGTTTATCACAGGCAAAATATAGTACTTATAGAGATTAGTTTTCCAAGGAACAAGATTTCAAACTTTCCGCCAACTATCGTCAGCTTGTTCTCTGTTGAGAATGTTCTTGAAAATTCTCTGACAAGCAAAGGGGTTCTCAGTATTTTGACAGTCCTTCAGACGATCTGAAAAGGGGGTGTCTGCCGGACTGCCTTACCATGACAAAATGCTAGTTTGGCATATTTATTTTTCTAAATGTGTGGGGCAACGACCCTCTCGTCCCCGCCCCCCCCCCCCCCCCCCCTCCTGGATACGCTTATCTAAAAGTGGCGTCAACAAGACACTTACTGCTCAGTTGATACGTATACATGATGACGCATTTATCATAATTGGGTCATCTGCTTGTCAATATGAAGCAAGAAAAGGAACCGATGTTGTAACTTTAAACGAACTTTAAGATACCAAAAATCGCGCCGTTTTACTGTTTTACTTTTCTTTTTTCTTCTTCTTCTTTCCCCCCATTTTTTTTCTTACTTGGCATGCCAAGGGGGGGGGGGGTTAAACCGCCGAACCGCCTAGATCCGCCCCTGGATACATCTCTCTTGTTTTGTTTGTATATCTTTACACCAGGTTTGCCTATCAACGCTCTATACGTCCAGCCCTCCGTAACACCTCGTCAAACACCGGCTCCTCGGAATCCTAGCTTCCGTATGGTGACCTACGACCGCGATACAGGCGACATCATTGACATCCATCAATACTACCTCGACATCAGCATGGACAAACCGACCTGGGAACTAGAGTACCGCGCCACCGAGGCTTACAACATCGCCGATCTTAGCCCCGTATCCCTTGACCAACTCGTCGACAAGTTTTCGAGTGAGGAGTCGAGTCCGGATGCCTTTGAGCGGTATTACTTGTACAACACAGTAATGGCTTCTGCGGGCGAGTGCGACGAGGACTGTAGGAAGTTACACATTTGCGCCATCACTAAACTGGATATTCCTGAATATGAAGATTGTATAGCTGGAAGTGGAAACGTTGTCAGAGGAAGCCTTCGTACTGTCATTTTGTTGTTTATTGTCCGACTGTGGCAATCGTTGATGTCATGATCTCAAGCAACTATTTATGTGGTTTTGATACTCAGCCTAAACGAATTAGTGGAAAGTAATCAAAATTATTTGTTTTATAAAAAAAAATTAGAGTTCCCTATAAACATCTATATGCCTGGCTATGTATCCCAATCACTTCATTCTCTGAACTATTCTGATTTTAAACTTTTTATTGATATTATATTTCATTGGGTCTCTTTTATTCATTTATTTATTGCGTTTTATTTAAACAGGGTAGCCCGTCATTGTAATCAAAGTACTGTTTTCCGGTCCCCCCCCCCCTCAAGTTTTTTTTAATTAAAAAAAAAAAATTGTGGAAATGGGCGATCAAAAAAGGTGACCTTACCCCCCCCCCCCCCCCCCCCCCTGAACGAAATATCGACCCACCTCCCCCCCCCCCCCCCCCCCCCCCGCTTATTCAGCGGCTGTCTGAGTCATTAAAATTTTTGGGACAAAAAAAATAAAAGATATGTCCTCAGTCTTACCCCCCCCCCCCCCCCCTCCCCTTCGAAAAAAATCTGATAAAACATCGATAATTCTCGGTTTCGTTTTTTCTGGGACGCACTGTATATTTTTAAACCGGTATGATACTTTTGGTAATTCTAAATGAATACAGTTATTACAGTAGTAAAGTGGAAACTGTATTTGCTATTCAAATAATTATAATGGGACGCATGATCAGATTGGAGAAGATATTAGGCACAAATCGGCACGTTATTATACTTTCAAAATATTATTGAGAGGCCAAACATTGGTTCGTCATACACGCCCTGTCTGTTTGGATCGGCTTCTGTATACCAGAGAGAGAGAGAAAGAGGGAGAGAGAGAGAGAGAGAGAGAGAGAGAGAGAGGGGGGGAGAGAGGGGGAGAGAGAGAGAGAGAGAGAGACAAATAGGGCAGAGAAAAAGACAGAGACAGAAAGACAGAGACCTAGAGATAAAGAGAGGCATATAGAGAGATAGACAGAGAGACAGATATGGCGAGACAAAGAAAAAGAAAGAAAGGGAAGGGAAAAAGACAGAGAGAGAGAGAGAGAGAGAGAGAGATACTTTTTATACATGACACAAGTCGAGCCCAAAACTATAGATTATCAAACGTTTTGTACTACCATTACTCAGGTTCACAGGATATAATACACAGTCATGTTACCATAACTGTGTGCAACATATTATCGTCAATGTATTTATTCAAGCATAACAGATTCCGATTTCCTTTGTGTCTTCTGATTTCTATATTTAAATTGTTGTTATCTGGAAAACCCCAGCTCTCCCTCTATCTCTCTGTCTCCTCACACTCTTTTCCTCCCTCCTTCTGCCTCTCTCTCTCTCTATTTTTGTCTTTGTGTCTCACCCCAAGCTCTCCCTCCATCTCCCTGTCCCCTCATAATTTTCCTCCCTTTTCTTTGCCTCCCCCCTTCTCTCTCTCTCTCTCTGTTCCTCTCATCTCTGCAGTTCTCAAACAATGTATCTCCTACCTGTGTTCTCATCTTATTCCCATTTTTTTTTTAATCCAAGAATCTTCATTCTATACTAAGACTGCTCTGGCAACACTGTATCCAATAAATAAATATGCTCTATCTGAAACCATTTCACATAATAACAAAAGGCAATATACCTGCCATTGTTCTTTGCAAGTTTATCATTTAATTAATTGTTATAACACAGGGCCCCGAATACAAGCAGAATTCTGCTTCCTAGGGGTTCTAATCATTATACTGTATATTGTCTTTGTAAATTGTTATATAAAGGTTGAATAAAGTTGTACAACAACATTTGCTCCTGTGATAATTGTTCCAGGCATTATGTCATGAAAGGTACAGGGTTAGGGTAAGGTGTAGTGTTAGGGTAGGGTGTAGTGTTAGGGTAAGGTGTAGGGTTAGGGTAAGGTGTAGGGTAAGGTGTAGGGTTAGTGTTAGGGTAAGGTGTAGTGTTAGGGTAAGGTGTAGTGTTAGGGTAAGGTGTAGTGTTAGGGTAAGGTGTAGTGTTAGGGTAAGGTGTAGTGTTAGGGTAAGGTGTAGTGTTAGGGTAAGGTGTAGGGTTAGGGTAAGGTGTAGGGTTAGGGTAAGGTGTAGGGTTAGGGTAAGGTGTAGTGTTAGGGTAAGGTGTAGGGTTAGGGTAAGGTGTAGGGTTAGGGTAAGGTGTAGTGTTAGGGTAAGGTACAGGGTTAGGGTAAGGTGTAGGGTTAGGGTAAGGTGTAGGGTTAGGGTAAGGTGTAGGGTTAGGGTAAGGTGTAGTGTTAGGTCCGGGCGGAAGTTAAAACTGAAGCAGAGCAATTGTCGGAAGAGCAAGTGTGGTATAACCCTTACAATGTGTGGTTAGGGAGCACTGAATATAAATCAACCATAGATCTCGGATGCAAATACTTATATTATTTACCTGAGGGGTACAAATATTATATTGTATATTGTCTCTGTAAATTGTTTTACAAAGGTTGAATAAAGATTTTAATTGAACGATATGAATTGAATGTAATTGAAAACAAATATGTAACCTTTTTCATTACATGATTTAATATTATTTCTTTTCAACGATTTGTATATACACATACATGTACTTAACTCACTAGTGTATGATTTGTGAATACAAAGATTATTATAAATTTGGCAATAAATTTCCATAAACCTAACAGATATTTTTGACTTTCTGTGCATTAGAAGTGTCGATACACACATGTAGATGAGCTTTAATAATCCTATACAATGCATCATATATCTTAAACAAAGTGTTCTGCTATACATCCTGAGAAACAGAAGAAAATAACAAACTGCACTATCTGCAGCCTTCATAGTTCATACAAACATTGCACATGTTCCTCAATACATGGACACCGGTGAAAGGAATACATTAAAAAAAAATGTATACCAAGCAAAAATTACTTACATTACTTTCCTTAATACATGTACAGTACTTTACTTCATATCACATTTTGGTGTTGCATACTACATGATGCTATACTTTTGTCTTCATAACATGTAAGGATCACAAGCAAATAAAGGTAGATAAAAAAAATAACCCTTATTTGGAAATAAAATCATACTTTCATTTTTACTTTGAAATACAATAAGAGCAGAAGCAAGGAGATAAGAAATACAAAAAACTGATATTTTTTACGTTTCCAAAAATTCTAGATAAATGTTAAAAACATAAAAAAATATGATTAATATTCATGATCATTGGTAATCTTGATAATTGAATAAAGAATGCTTTGGAGTAGTACTGTTTTTGAGATTAACTTAAAAACTAGTTGACTATATATTCCAGATGGTTTCCACTTCACCCTTCTGCATTTGAAGCAATTGTAGGAGTAGACCTGCACAGTTTTCAACATCCTGCATGATGTAATCATTTAGGGGATCTCTTGGTTTGGCTTCAAGACTGAGCATAATACGCTGTGCATACCTCACCAACACCAGATAATACAGCAGCTTCTTCTCAATGTCTGGTATACTGTTCAGCGAGAGGTATCCCTGAAGGAAACGTCCGGCGGCGGACGTCCCGTTGACCAGCACGAGTTCTGATAGACCCACCGCAAGGTCAAAGATGAGGCAGGAGTATGCTGCCTCACCAAAGTCAATGATCCCAGACACAATGAATCGTTTGTTGGAGGGTTGGTGAGACTCGAGCTGCTTGGAGATGATCACATTATCATTATTGATGTCTCCATGAATGATTCCTTCAAGATAAACGGGATAAGAATGGTTATGCAGTTCTTTCAAAAACACTAGTGATAAACATATATTTGACATGTCAAACAATCCTTCAATTTTGCAGATATTAAGCTTTTATCTACTCCTGTGGACTTTCTACAGCCATTGGCCCAACCCAATGCCAAGCTGTAATAGGAATATTCATTTTACTTTTTCAGTAATTCTATTTCAGCAAAGAAACAATGGAAAACCACTGATAAGTCCTCTACACCCTATGGAGAAAAGAAACCACATTTTTTTCCAGTAGGAAGGAATTCCTTGAATGCTGCGAGCGCCAAAATCGGCTGCCTTAAGCTCATGCACGCCAGCTATTCTCCACTCCTGACGACAGATAGTCAACCTGTTCGAAACGTCGAGCCACTCCCGCCACTCATCCTCTCCAAGCGCTATAGTTCTCCTTAGAACTATAAGCTAAGAAAGATAACCAACAGTCTTTTTCAAGACTATACCAACAGTCCTTTTCAGGACTACAACCCTCAAGAAAGATTACAGAGAGTCCTTTTCAGGACTCCTCAATCCCCCCTCTCTCTCACATGGTGCACCCGCAAGCCTACTGTATAAGTGTACACTTGTTTTCCCGCTTTTAAGTACACCTACCTTTCTTGAAAAGATGCCGGACAGGTTCAACGTGTTCCTCGTAGAGGTCAATGACCTTTGCGATGGCAGCTCTAAGCCGAGTATCGTCCACTAGGTCCAGTAGATGCCTCTGACCGGTCACTCTCTCCAGTGACCACTCTCCACTGCAGTAGGTAGATGGTTTCTCGCGGTTGTAATCCTCAAAGTCCTGGTACAGAAAGCATGGGCCAAAATACTACTGTATTAAGTTGTTGTATGAACTTAAGAGGGGGACAGACAAGCAGACAAGTAGGACAGGTTTTATAAAGAGATACAAGTCCTGGTAAGCACTGAGATATGCTTAAAGGGATAGTTGAGTTCTGTTGCAGAGTTCTGTTTGATCAAAATCGGTTTGGAGGCGGCTGAAATATCCATAAACTAGACATAATACTTGTTTTGAACAAGTATAGGTGGGCTGGTCAACTAAAATTTGAGACAAAATAGAGCAAAAATAAGCGAGACACTGCTAAAAAACAATGTCATTGATGTAATGATGTAAACGAAATTCACCTTCCATAGGCATAACACGCAACGTAAGAAATTTCTGATATGTGCCCTATAATTGTAATTTTCACTATGATGAAGCATCAAAATGAAAAATGGTGTTGACTGAGCTTGTAGAGAATTGTCTCAGCTACATCATATCGAAATTTGGAAGAAAATCGATCAATATTTACAGAGATACAATCAATGTTAAATAAATACGCTGACGTCATTATATGCAAATTTGTATTTTGAGTTCCAAGGCCATTATGATGATGTAACGATACACTTAATGGCCAAATGAGACATGGAATCATATTTCCGACTCATACTCTATCTAAATATGAAAAAACATTGAAGGTCACGGTTCATTCCAAAGAGCTATAATGGATTTTGTATAGAGCTCGCGCGCACGGACATTTATCTTGAATTGACGCTCATCTTGTTATTAATGGTCATAAAGAGATAAACATGGTATCAAATTCCTTGAAAAAATATGAGAAATATCATGAAAGAAAAAAAAATGTTGATTCTGTGTTTTTTAATGATTTTACACACAAAAACGCGCGTGCATGCGCGTGTGCGCAATTTTTTTATTAAATGCTTAAAATGACCTGAAACGTATGCAAACAAAATTTGAGAAGATTTTGAGCATTTAAAAATTTTGCGCGTGCATTGACGCGCGGAAGTACGCGCACGCGTGCGTTTTTTGACATGAAATTAACCGGACTGATATTGACCTTGATCATGGAAAATATGAATGAGAAATGACTTACCGTTATGAAAATATGATCATAAGTAAATTTTCAGCAAATTTCACATAATGGCGCCTAGATGACGTCATCAGTCAAGGTCAAGGTTGAAAACCTTACTTTGTTTTGTCCATATGGCTATACATATGTGTGCTAAATATCAAATCATTTGATTGAGCCATTTTCAACTTATCTTGCTAACAAAAAAGTGGGTCGAAATAAGAAAAATAAATAAATAAATAAATAAATAAATAAAGGCAATTTTAACAAAAATATAAGGTGGTCTGTATTAGATACAGCCCACCTGATGAAACGATTTCTAATACTTGTGTACCACCACAAATATTAGACAATTTGAAAAAAATGTTGAAAAAACAAAATAGCGCCTTTTACGTCGTATTTCAGCCAATGCCGTTGTTAGCTTTTATGTTGGTATTTTTGTGTTGGTTATATTACGCACAACCAGCCGGCCCATGTATTGTTATTTTGAATTAAATAATTAATTAACGGTCACCATATTTTTTTTAAAGTGGAGCTGAATTGGTACATTGTATGATCGTAATGGCTAAATTTCACACATTTTGGGGGTCTAAAATTACCTTCATAGCACTTTTAGGTTCTAAAATGGCACTAGAAATGTAATAGATAAGAATAAGAGCAATTAACCATGCACTTTGAAGGCATATGCGGTCTGAAAAACAGAACTCAACTATCCCTTTAACCAAGTATCATGCTTTTACATGAAATTTTAAGTCTAGCATCAATTACGAAAATGGAGCACCAGGAGTGGCAATGTGCCAAACATGAGTGCTGTTATTGTTATTATTATTGTCATTACATACAAAAAGATATATATACTTTCAAAATACTCAATAATTTGGCACCTGAATATCTTAATGAGACCCTCTAAATACAAAACACCACCTCGTAATCTTTGCTCAGCAACCGACAAATGTAAACTTATCATTCCCAAATCTAAACTCTAAACAGCTGAAAAACATTTAGCAGTAGCTGCAACAAAGACTTGGAACAGCATCCCTCTTTCCATAAGGGAAATTACCTGTCTTGCCACCATCAAAAGATCCCTAAAACTCACCTTTTTCCCCAATGATTTATGTGATCTACTTCATGTGAGACTGTACATTTTTTGTCCTCTTTTCATATATTTGTATTTGTAAGCGCTATGGTACTTATGGTTTTTAGAGCTCCTAAATATTAAATATTATTATTATTATTATTACATAATTGTGGGATTTGTCTCTGTTTGCCTATTCTCAAGATTGTGATATCAATAGAAAAGATTAGTAATACCTTTACCAACCTTTGAAGGTTACAATCTTTGTCAGCTGATCCAACCAGGGATGCCTGATGATTGAAAGGACGAGTCAAAATTATAGAACAATATGAACCAAAGATTAGCTTAAGATAATGCATGGTGTACAACAACATTTGCTCCTGCGACAATTGTTCCAGGCTTTATTTCCTTATACTGTAGTTAAAAGGTTAGGGTAAGGTGTAGTGTTAAGTGCGGGGCTAAAACCAGTTTAAACAAGTTTTAAATAAGTTTAGAATAGGAAAAACCTGAAGCAGAACAATTGTCGGAAGAGCAAGTGTAGTATAACCTGTACAATGTGTATGTTAGTGGGCACTGAATATAAATCAACCACTATTTACCCATATTTCCTTTCTTCTCAGACAAGAATATAATAATCATAATGTAAATAATTTATTTCCAATGCTGCAGTTGACATACTACATTATTATTTCAGCTTTTAGCTACAAAGCCTACGATACATCACAGATGGAGAGTGGGTAAGATGGAAATCAAATGTACAATCAGAGATTCTATACATCTATTGTTCATTGATATTAACATTTAAAACAATTTAACATAATATAACTTTTCCACAGAAAGAAAGAAAGCTTATGAAAAAACAAAGCCAAAAATAAAACTTGTTACTCTCCATTAGTCAAATAATGACAGGGAAAGCTAAAAAAAAAAGTGGTACAAGTTATGTTCTTAAAGTGATAAAAAATCATGAAAATAGAGAATAGACACAGGCTATACTAGCTTCAATCATACTTGTCAGGATCAATCCATCGAAGTAAAGTTGAGCATAAAGAGAAAAAAAAGATACCGGTAGTTATAATATAGTTATTAGTCAATATGTGTATATATATATATATATATATATATATATATATATATATATATATATATCAATGATGACTTAGTACTGGAACAAAGTTCCTTGAAGGTTTGGGAGTAGGATTATTTCATGTAAAACCTTTTTTTTTAAATCTGCCTAAAGGGACATTTTGGACAAGTTTGAGATTAAAGCCCCACTGCACTACTTATAGCTACTTGCGCCCTCTATACAGCCAACAACGCCTTGGCGGTATACCCGTTGATCCCCCATGATGCCCTTTTTTTTGAGAGAGAGCTGATTTGATGAGATAGCCACCTGCCAGTGACCTCGCAGGGAGGTCTAATCCCTCCATGCCAAACTAGTGCAGAGGGGCTTTAACATCAGAAAAACTAGACATACACTGTACAGGAAAACCAGTTAAGTGCACAGATGAAAAATGAAAAATGAAAAATTTTGCAAAGTTGGCCATTTCTTTTAGTATTAGAAAATTCAATGTTGTTTAATATCAGTTATTTCTGCTTTGTGAAGAGACCTGCTTTTACAGTCTGTCTCAAAAATGTCCACTATACCTCTAAGATCTTGTGCAGTTGAGCAAGTTTTCTGCCGATACATACTATGACCTCTTTTGGCATAGGGTCTAGTGAACTCAAAAGCTGACCGGGCATGAATGACAGAAGCACAACCAGGAATAAACCGTGCTTTCCGTTATTACCTGAAATCATCAAAACAAAGCTTAATTTTTATAATCTAATGCCTCAGTCACACTGCCAAACAGACTCCAAACCGATCAATTTTTCGCCATTGGTGGTAATGTTATTGTTTGGTCTGGTGTTGGTCTCATTGGTGTGTCTGGGGTATAAAGATTAAATCATCACAATAACTGTAATTGTAATCAAAAACACAACTTGATGACTGCCATTTTCTTTCTGTGTTTGAGACTTTTTTGTTGTTGAGAAGGCGACGTTGAAGAACAACAAACTGACTTGTTTTTTATCAATTATGCAGTCAACAGGTACTGTTGTAGATTTAGAGGACTTATCAGTGGTAATCCATTATTTCTTTGGTGAAATAGAATGACAAAAGTGGAAGAATGAAGATTCCCTTTTACAGCTTGGCACTGGGCTGGGCCAACAGGAGGGAAATACAGGTACTGTGTTGGGCTGACATTTAAACATCCATTCCTGCTTATAATTATTTCTTCCTTTTTCTCCATGATGAAAAGTGGCTGACATGCTTAAGCGGTTAAGTTGCAGTAAGGATATCTTCTGCTTTGTAATTCTTATGATAGGCATATACATTGTATCAATACCATCTCCGTATCAAATACTTGTCATGAATTTATCACAATGATTACATATCTCCAAGGCCAGCTGACGTACCTTCCACACCTGTATTTCCTTCATCGCAGGAGACCTTCTCTAGATGCACAAGTTTGCCATGTTTATTGCAGACTGGTTGAGGGCAGCAAAACTCTTTATTGGACAGGTATGCCATGGTGTTTACCGCTAACTCTACCCTGTTCCCATCAGTAGAATCTTTAGAGTTGTACAGCTGTAAACAAAATAAAAAAATTAAAAAAATAAAAGCAAATGTATAGCAATTGTTAGGCACCTCCTTTTGAGCTCTTCCAGGAAAATGTAATGTAATGTTATAAAATTTCACTCTTAGACACTTAGCAAATTGCTTATACCACCAAAACAGAGGCTTTGGGAAACTAAGATCCCATTAACTATCTCTTCCTTTCTTTATAATGATCAACTGTAAAATTGGATTGTTTTTAGGAAAGTTCTAGATTCAGGTTGTTAAAAGTATTAGTAAAAGAAAATTTCAGAGAACTTATTTGATGTGAAAGTTATATCAAGTTTTCATAACTTTTTCAAAAGAACTTGCAATACATAGTTATGTTTTGAAAATTCATGTAGTACTACCTACTAAAATGAGGTCTACATGTAAGTCTCCTCCAAAAAGCTATGACAAAACCAATAAAGCGTTTTTTATATGTTTCTCTAAAATCTTTCTTTGGGAATATTCTCTCCATCTCAATAGAAGATAACCAAAGGAGATCCTGTGCAAAAACAAACAAAAAAATCAATTAGATGTATTGCACACAATGTTATTATAACAAATCTTACCTTTAGAACAAACTGATCAGATCTCTCGTTACCACTGCAACCTACTGTAATGGGAATATCTAATTTGATGTGGAAGTTTTGATCTGTAAAACTTTTCATCTCTTCTATGTCTGCAGCTTTCACTTCATAAAGCTTCATAAGGAGATCAGCGGCTGCTCTAAGGTCCAAGAATGGCCTATTTATGAGTTCTGCTCCTTCTTCCATCATAACCTTTTCTCAGTCCTAGGCGTCTGGGAACAAATATTAAAGTTAGAACGAGCTTTAGTCTACAAATTATGCAGGTTGGACTATTAAAACAATAACAGATCATGGTTGTATTAGCCAACAGTTGGAATTGCAGTTAAAAGATTTATAGTAGAGAGAATATAAATGGTAAAATAATCAACATTTAAATGACAGACTGGAGTAATTGTGACACCAAGTATCATACTTTTAATTTCATATTTTAAATCTTTTGATTCTATTACAAACTATTTATTTTCATTTAAAAAAAATCAAAAAAAAAAAATGGATTTGCCACTTTGAGGACCAGTCCGTCAATGAGTGCAGCTTGGAGATATTTGCGTTAATAGGATATAGACTAGACTAGGGATACATGCAAAGTAGCTACTCAAGTCAGGGGCAATTAAGTGACAGAAATTAGCGTCACCCACAATTCCACACTTTAAACACAAGAGTTTGCAGTAGATTTATCCATAATGAATCAAAGATGATTCCACTAATCATAGTTTTGCAAGGCAAATACTATTCAAATCTGTACTCGGTTTACTTTCTCTGGACTAGATCTAGTTATAGATCTATAGAGTCAGGCACAGACATGGCGATTGGCAGACTTTCAACCTGGAAATCGACAATTTTTTTCTTCTTCCAAATAATTACTGCGAGTTAGATTTAGACTGTTTGAGTCTACCTTTTTAAGTAAATCAAAAGGCAAAACTAACTACATGTAGACTATATATTATATGTTAACATTTGTATACACACACACACACATAAAAAGCCAAATGATTGTATTTTAAAATTAAAGTGTCGAGACTCGAGACTCGATTGAGTTGGTCAACACAGGAAAAAGTGCCCAACCCACTTGCAGATGCAGTCGTGATTTGGACGCCTGATAGCTCATCACATCAAAAAAGTCATAACTCGATATCAACACTATATCCAAAATACACATGAGCAACATTATAGGTAACAAAAACATCATGGACTACTAATATCTTAACAAAATGAAAGCTAGCTATAATGATTTATCAATACTTCGAACATTCGTCAAGGTAACTTTTCTACTCACCTCAAGTTCGGGACAGCTGATAAAGTTAAATGCCCCAATTCAGGATTACTCGATTAGGATATGGGGTATGCTATAATCTTGGAAGAGATGGAAGGAATAACAAAGAGTAAACGCAGTATGAATTCTTATAATAAGTGACCAAAACAAATTTAAAAAAATTTAAAAAATGCTTTATGGCTCTTTTTTATCATAGATTTGAGCTATAATGTCATATTTTCCTAATAATCACGGTCTTTTTTCATGCTACTCCCTACAATAGATTAGAAATTCCCGGAAGTAATTGTCTGGTCGCCGCGAAATATTTTGCCCTTAGTCACGTGACTCCGGCTTTGTGAACCATCGGATCTCAATTTTGTGAGAAAGGTAAGGTGAACCTCAAAAGTATTGCGAGATAAGTTATTAAAAAGTTCCTTTTTGTGAATGTTTGTGATGATGATACAATCAATCCGTATAATGGCACATTTGAAGCATTAATTGCTGTAGTTGAAAATGATATTCGGATTGTATTTGATTGAGAAAATAGCATTTTATTTTTGTGGTACACGCGACATTTTTGGTCACATTGTTATTGTTCCTTGTGTGTGCAGTGTGTGTGTGACTGAGCTGAGCGTTCCAAGAAGTGTGCGTGCATACAGCGACGTGCATATGATCCTATCCATGTTGATGTTGATGACATTCGACGTGTAGAATGCAGCCGAATGAGTCATGAGCGTATCTTTCATATCTTTCGCAATTTCTAGGGTAATTAAGGGTTGTGCACCAATTAATGCAGATCATCCTTGAAATGTAGAAAGATGTCTCTAAATTTGTATTTGTACATTCTCTCATCTCTGAGTCTGAACTTGAAGTAGACCCTAGGGTCTATGATTCTGCACATGTGTGACTGTCAGCAGTAGGGGCGCTGGTCCGAGGATAAGGATCGTCCTCAAAAACGAGGATCGTCTTCGTAAATGCGGACCTATGCGTCCTCAAGAATAAGGATCGTCTGCATTTTTCGCAGACGTTTCATATTATTGATTGGCGCATTGGAGATGCGAAAAAAGGATTCCCGATGATTTTCTTGAAGTATTTTACATTGACTTTGTACAGAGACTTTCACATTATGAGCAATAAATCCTTGGGAAGACGGACGACCCATAAAAGTAGACAGTGAACTAGGGTTATATTCCGGCCCACAGGGAATCTATTTTTTCCATCGCCAGCGGGCGGTTCGGTAACCCAAAACCCGCAGAGCGCTGATGAAAAAAAACGTCCTCAAAAATGCAGACGGTCCTTAATTTTGAGGACGCATTTTGTCTTCGTTTATGAGGACGATCCTCATTCTCGGACCAGCGCGCCCCTACTGGTCAGTGACTCGATGTGTCTACCGGTATGTCTACATTAGCATGTAGCAGTAGGCGCTGGTCTGAGGAATAAGGATCGTCTCTGTAAATGCAGATAGACGCGTATGCAAAAATCAGGATCGTCCACATTTTCACAGACGTTTCATATTTCCGATCTGCGTGTTGGCGATGTGAAAAGGTGATTCTGCAATGATTTTCTTGATGCATTTTTCATTGACTTTGTACAGATACTTTCACGTTATGAGCGATAAATACTCGGGAAGACCCATAAAAGTAGACAGTGAAAACAGGTTTTTTTTCTTACGCGGAATCCGTTTTCCGCATCCCAAACGCACGGTTGGGGAACTCGTAACCCGCAGAGCGCCGATGAAAAAAAATTTGGGACACAATTTGTCCGTGTTAACAATTATATCCTCGTTTATATGGACGATCCTCATTCTCAGACCAACGCCCCTACTGATTAGGCCTGAGTCATTACGTATTTTGTACGTTTAACCGTTAAATGTATGCAGGCGGTTTTGTTTAACCTTTATGAAAATACACGTATTTGTACATGTATGTAAATTCTTAAGTATTCAGTCATTTTGATGAAGACATGTTCATGAAAAATGCTTAATATGGAACACCAAAAACAAGCACACAAACACTAAAAAAACAATCTGTCATGATTTTTAAAATGAACTTCGTTGTCTCCAAACTCGAGATTAGAAAATAATAATTATTAGCGAGACTTCGTTGCCAAAACGGAGATCTAAAAACAATAATTATTGCAAGACATTGTTGCTGGTACAGAGATCTGAAAACAATAATTATTGGCGAGACATCGTTGCCGATACAGAGATCTAAAAACAATAATTATTGGCAAGACTTCATTGCCGATTCATAGATCTAAAAACAATCAGTGGCGAGAATTAATTTCCAATACGGAGATCTGAAAACAATAATTATTGGCGAGCCTTTATTGGTAATACAGAGATCTGAAAACAAAAATTATTGGTGAGACTTTGTTGCCGATACAGAGATCTGAAAACAATATTTATTGGCGAGACTTCGTTGCCCGATACAGAGATCCACGAATAATAATTATTAGCGAGACTTTGTTGCTGATACAAAGGTCTGAAAACAATAATTATTGGCGAGACAATTTTCAAAATCGCTGCAGGGCAATCACACTCACAACCCATTCAAAGCACTTATTATAGAAATGCTCACATTGAAAAATATTAACCAGAATTCAATGGAATTAATATAACCACGCAATAAACATCCAGGAGGATGAATTAAAGTTACTAAGTTTTAGAGAAAAGGCGAAAGAGAAAATAGAAAGCGATCTGAAATACTAAATAAAGACGAAATATAAGAGAAAATTAAGACGGGTTGGGTAGCTGTTACTTGAATATGGAATAGAGTATCTCGATAGCTGTTATCGGTTTACCCAAAGCGCGGAAAAATGCCCTTGTTGCTAGGCAGCATTGACGGTAAACAATAACAACTATTAATATTCATGTAGGTTCGTAAGGTTTTTGACTGAAACAACCAATAATGGGTCTTCTAAAATTCATAACTCTGGCTAGTTTTTTTGACATGATAGAATAAAGAGTGCTATGATTGGCAAATATTATTTTTGCAGAGTCTGATGAACTCTGAGGTTTTTCTTGTAAACACGGCAAACCACACGATGTAATAAATTGTCGCGAATGAGTTAATTCATTACCAGTTCTTGTCCAGTCATGCATTTTCAATAGATTTTTTTTATTTAACTTATATTCTTTTTCTTCTTCTTTTTTTACTTGTATGCCATACCATCTTAAACTGTAGAAACCTCTTCAAAATCGGAAATTATTCCAATCTTCAAGAATACTAATGTCCTCTCTCCTCATGGTGGCCGTAATCAGTTATTTTCACCTATTTGATTGAATAACTGTACAGTCGCCATCTAGCTACATGTAGCTAGCCTGCTGTAATGTGACATGATCTGTAGCTTTCCCCTACCATCCTCTAGGGATAATGGGGTATTGGATTGCCTCAGTCATCTCATATTTGTATGTCTCTGAACATGACCTTATATGCATGTTCTTGTCAAAACACCCCAGGGTTAGAAAAGCAAGCTTCCGCCCCTCTACTGTTTGCTTAAAGGGGGTAGTCAGACAAAATGCAGAGAGATCAGACCTTTCGTGTAATTAAAAGACAAATGTGTATACAATTTACACATGTCCAAACATGCATCATTACAATTCACTATTAAAGATGAAGTTGAGTTCTGGTCATGCGATTGCATTGTGAAAGAAACGGTGTGGAATCGACCAGAAAAGGTTGATCATCTAGCATATAATAATTTGTGTGTATTGCAAGGTTCTGAAATCATCAAAATGATAAGAAATTTGGCCAAGTCTTGGTAAAGTTACAAACACTGTACACAGAAAGATGTATATGGGACTACACGAACACGTGGCGTAAAAAACCTACCCCCGAGTTTTACGATGAACATGACATATTTAGAATATGAAGGCATTTGAAGAGCCATGCTTTTCAGGGAACCTGTCTCCGATGTTCTTCCACACTTGCATAATAAGAATGATAAAGTTCATAAATTATTTTTCACCTCTTCCCAGAACTCAACCTTCTCTTTAATGTTATACATGTACTGTACATGTACATACAATTTATGTGATCATAAATGTGATGTGTCTTTCTGTGTAATAAAATAAAGGGGACGTTAGTTTGAGGCCCAGAGTCAAACCCTCAACCCTTTGATTGAGAGGCAATTTAATGAACAATTGAATGAGCCATTAGACCATGACACCTTCACGATGGTACAATAAACTAAGTGCCTCTATATGATTTATTTCATTCAACTGTTACCGTACTAATAATCGTATTTCAATAGTCAGAATGTATAGTTTACGTGTTGTTCGATAGGGCGAGCCATAAGCTCGAATTCACAAAGGAGGTTTAAATTTAACCCAGGGTTTAAACCGTCATTTACATAACCCATGCTTTAAAATTAGCGCAAATAAAGCGAACCTTGTTGAGCGCATCTTTTATTGGACCTCTGACTGTGTCACGCTTATTTGGTGCTAATTTTAGACCATGAGCTATGTAAATTAAGATTTAAGGCTCCTTTGTGTTGTGGATTCCATCCTAGAATGTTTGTCCTACCTACAGTGTACATGTATACACTGTACATTGTACTGTAGTAACAACTTATGTATGCAATTTGAATTCTTACTATTGAGATTGTCACGGGTGAATGAAATAATTTATATAAGGGTACTTCATGAAGGCAAATGCATAAATTTGGTCCATTACAAAAATGGCCCATTGATTTGTTAAAGGTGAAATTCAAAGAAAATCACAAATATGTCAACTAATGTATCACTAGAAACTGGTAAGCTAACAGATGGCCATCGTACAAGTTTGAGGTCAGCTACATATCGGGTGATTTATAAAAATAAAAATACAACCACCTCCATAGCAGCTGGGATATACGAGAGATTCGCCAGAAAAATAACGATGTTTTAATGACGTCACAACAGGGACCAATACTGCCCAAGCAGACGACATCCCATAAAGAATGAACATAATTGCAAAGCTATTATTTGTCAAATTATAATGAGTTTAGTGTATATAAATGTACTGGCACATCAAACCGATCAAAAGGGGACATGACCCGATTCTGATAACTAAAATCTTTTGCTTGTAAATACACAGGATAGGGGTTAATTAACAATCAAAGAAACCAGACTTTCAAATTGAAAAGCCCCCGGATTGATATTAAGGACGGCATTTGTTCCCTCTTAAAACCCTGAACATACCGCGGTGTCTGCAGCTGAATATACAATGGCGTCTTATTTTGTTTACAAGCGACAGATTCCTTTATTTTTGTATCGCTGCATTTGTCATCAAAATAAAACCATGTGCGGGGTTTAGAGTGAGGCAATAGATTATACATTTAGCCTGACGGTAGTGAAGTAAGAGAAAGAACTCAAGAGAAGATGAAAACACAGGCACTGAAAATGTGTGAGATGTCATGGGACATCGTCTGCTTGAGCAAATCATGTCCCTGTTGTGACCTCACACATCTCAGCAGCGTTCGGAGAGCTATTCAGGTGCTATGCCGGGGCTGTATTTAAGCGTTTTGTAATTTATAATAATCATTGCTTCAAATGTTTCCAAGCATTGAATTTTGATAACCTTGTCGAATCAAAGTTTGCAATAATGAAAATAAAGCTAGATTTAAAATCAATGAATATCTACTTTAAATACTGGTAATAGGCCAACCGTACATGTAATGAGCTCATTTTCTGTTTGTTCTCTCTCTCTCTGCTTCTCCAGACTATAATAAGCTATTTGTATATACCTGCATTGTATATACCTGTATATGATGTCCTCTATGGGGTCCTCAAGGGGCAATACACGGTCTGGAGGGAGGTCCGACAAGTCCTCTTCTTCTCAGAAGACCTCTGCACAGAATGCCACAGCCAAATCTACACCAACAGAGCCACAGCAACCCGTCGGTAAAAAGGTAAGTTCACCTCGCCATCGATGGTTTATTTATTTTTACTTAGTTACTTATTTATTTATATACAGTTCAAGAACTTCTGATTGATGTACTGAATAATTTAAGTGAAACGATGATGTCGAAATTTTTAGATCAATTCAAATATATGGAGAAAGTGTGTTTTTTTAGATTTTTTTTTCTTCAATATCAATTATGATATTGATGCTGCCTGGTCTTTGAAATTCTGTAGGTGGCGTTTAAGGTGGTCAAAGGTACCCGGGCAACTGCCAATTTTAGATGAATAATCAATGTTGGTTTGTTACTTTCAGGCAACCCAAGAACAGTTACGACTTGCCCAGATAATATCTGATCCTCGCACAGAAGATAATGACATGGTCAAAGAGAAAGTCAAACAGGTAAGCATTCACTCCTTATTCTTATTTATTTCTAATATTTCATATCTCTTTGCGGTTTTAGAAATTGTATGGGGGGTGTAGTTAGTTGTCTTGTTGAATACACTGCATACATGGCCTGTTAAGCGTGTATAGTGGACAGCATTGTAGCACGCTTTCGCTATTTTGGCCCCTTTTACTTATGATTTGAGTTGCATACTTAACTATTCTATGGAACAAACATTGATGTGCTACAAAAATTGATGTGCTACATTGTACTACAAAAAGGTTAATATTGTTATGACATCACTACAGTTAACACAATGGCACTTATGGCAGTACCAGGGAAAACATTAATATTTATTTTTCGGGGGCTACTTTTCAAGCTTGCATGTATGAAAATAACAATCTAAAATTTGTTTTGCATTGAACTCTATGCAAATTTACAGGGGCTATTTTCTGATTTTCGGGGGCTATTTTGGGCATTTCGGGGGCTAATTCGCCCGAGCCCCCGTGTATTTTTTTCACTGGGCAGTACTTCATTATAATCTTCAATGGAGTACATACCAGCTATACTTGTACAACTTACAACCATTATCTCTACTTGTTTTTTAACTTCCAAATCAAAAATAGCAATAGATACTTGATCATGTTGACATTGAAATACAATACAAATATATTTCCTGGATTTCAAACTAATAAAAAAAAAGCAATAAATGTGGTTTAAATGTCATTGGTTTAATGTGAACCATATGTGCTGGCATGTATCATGTAATGTAAAGGACTGTTCAAGGAGGAGATGAATGAAAGTACTATTGTATTTCCTTGAAATTAAAAAAACAAAAGGGTCCCATTACACTGCATGTATGTATAATGAATTTACGTGTTTTGAAGAGCTTTTCATAGAAACTCAATATTATCAGGGATAAGAATTAGTATCCCTGCTGATATTTTTTCATTTTATTCATTGTTTACCATTAAAAACCTTTTTAAACAAAACATTTAACATGTACATCTGCATGTAGTGTCAATATGCATTCAGTTAGTGGAAAAGGATGCATTATAGTAAATTTATATTCTAATAAGTTTAATAGAGTGATACTGTAGATGGAAACAGATCTACCTAAGTCACTCCCAACAAGAAGGAAAATTAAGACGATTTAAGGCAGTAATGATATGATATTTTCATGCATTTCTAAAAGCATAAGAAATTTTTGAAAAGGCATTCTTTTAGTAGAAAAAAAAAGGATGAAACCTTAATCCTATGAAAATTTGCAAGTTTGCACATGTAGATACATTCAACAAGATCGCGGTGCTACTCCGTGGCAAGACTCGTGTCAGAACAAATATGCCCAATTATCACTTTCTCATGCCTCCTTGACAATTTCGTGGTTGTGTAACCAACCCGTCAAGTCCGCATGCAAGTGATACATTCTCTGTTCATACTCCAAGATGAGATGCACGTTTTCATTAGATCACCATTCCCCTAGGGTGTAGGGGTGGGGGATAGGAGGCTATGTTTGAACTCGACATGGATGCAAAAAGGCCGGTTGGCGATGCATGCCACTACACAGCTTGACTTAGTGGGAAACGATGGATTGTGTTTGTTTTTGAATAATTTCATGCAGACTGATGTAGCATGGGAAGGAAAAAATGATGAAATTCAATGCTTGCTGTCATAGTTGGATCCTACGTAGCTCTATGTGTGTATGCATTGATGAAAGATCCAACATCTTAACTGCTGCCTCTACTACATGTAGCTATTCAAACTCATTTACAAGTCATGACCACTTATATTGTGCGATTGTAAACAATAGCCAGTTCAGGTATCAACAAATAATTGTTGATATGTAGCTGGTCACACCCTCAGTCCCAAAGGGGCCAATCAAATTAAAAATCACCTGATAATACATGGAAATTTGAGTTTCGCTATCTAAAATAATGCCAGTTGTTACAGAGGGCATCTTTTCCTTTATTGTAGGCAAATAGCCAGTCAACCTTCATATTTTCACATTTATTTTAATAGCCCAGTGTCAATGATATGTACAGATATTAGTTAGGAGTTGCCTCTGATTAGCCAGTTTTTAGATAAACAATGGATCTTGAGGTGAGGGATGTTATTTTAATTCATCAGTAATGGCAAAAAAATCTGACGTACATTGTATTCAGTGAATAGTTTCCTACACCATGAAGCACTCTTACATACAAGTCTAAATTTCTGTATGCAGTCATGTGGTGCATTTTGCAATACCAAGTTCCTGTTATGTTAATGTGGGATTTATTGCACAGTCTGCCCTGGCCGACCCCCAGTAAGGGGAATTCCCTACAAAGCAATGCAATGTACATTTACTATGCATGTACTTGTGTATGCATATTCTGTGCATCTGATATACATGAAGTGCATTATGAATGCGTATTGATATTGTGAATACATATTCATTTTCTGGTGATGGGTTTGTGTTTAATTTCTCAATTTGCGGTGGGGGGGGGGGGGGGGGGGGGTCCTGACCTGCGGCACCTAGATCTGTACACATACATAGAAGTAACCACATTGTCTGTGTAACCTACATGTACTTATAATACACAGTGCGAATATTATTTCATAAATTTGCAAATCATGTTGGTCAATCAAGCATTTGTGTTCCATGCACACATCTTTACTATTACATGTACATTCAGTTTGGTTCCCTCCCATCAATACTTTCTATATTTGGATGTAAACTGCACTCGATGCTTTGAAGTCTTTTCAAGTGATAAATAGCCCTTTCTGCTGTATCTGAGACAGTGTAAAGTAACTCCACATGTATGTACATATATCATGCTATGGTTCTTTAAGCACTGTTCTAAAATCTCAATGGTGAGGGCATATTGCTAAAAAAATCCATTAGCTGATGAACACTACGCAAGAGCTCAAGGCCAAGTATTTCTGCATCATTAATGGAGTGTCATAAATTTGTGTCGTTTTATTGTAAACATTGATGTTTACTGCACTGACATTTAGTACTTTTGATCTTTGCTCATAAGTATTCATGAGAGTTATGACTCTGCGCTCGGTTTTAATATGCTCTATTGGGTTTGAATACATTCATTCCAATTTATTGAAATTGTGAATAATGTACATTTACTTGGAAACGGCGCATTGTATAATTATACATGTATATCTATCCATTTATGCCAATTGATTGTCTTTTGTAGACAGTGCCTTGTTCTGTATATTGAAAGGAACACTGCAAAATCGCTAAAAATGGGTGTGTCAATGCATTTATTGATGCTCAGTGTCATTCTTTTATTCTCTCTCTGTCTCTTTCTCTCTATCTCTCTTTGTACTTCGCTATTTTCTCTGTTCTCTTTCTTTTTGTGCATGCTAAGATAATTGTGCCCAGATTAGTGACTGTATGAAAACCATAATAAGCCTGCCAATCAATACTTACAAAATAATTGGCTTAAGTCTGCTAGGGAGCTGTCTTAAATTTGGGGTATAATACTTGGCCAGAAGCATCAACTGAATACTGAAGTTGGCTAAGTATTTTATCTAAGCCGGAAGACTGAGTAAAATACTCCTATTTTTTAAGTATTGAGTTGAATACCGGTCCAGGGCCCATATTCAATTCAATACTTAGTACAAAATTTAAGCTTTTTACTTAGTATTTGGTTTACATAAAATACTTAGCCAATTTTGGTATTCAATTCACACTTTTGTGTAAGTATTTTACTTTCAACTAAGCCAACTGCATACCAGACTTAAGCCAATTATTTGGTGGCCTTGATTGGCAGGCATATGGTTTTCTTACGCAGTATTATATCCCGCGCACAATTATATCAGCGCGCATTTATTGCAATGCATCAATTGCGCATTACTTTTGATTGACCGTGTGACGTCACAATGCTTATCAGTAAGTATTTTACTTAAATTTTGACTAACGTAAGTACTAAACGTAAGTATAAGTCTATAATGCGATTTGAATACGAGATAAGTAAATTACTTAACTTAGCCATTTACTTGGTAAATTTACTTAGTAAATTTCTTACTTATGCTGAGTATTGAATTGAATACCGGCCCAGGTGCTTACCTTCGAATCCCAATGTAAGTTACATGTACACTAGTACTGTACCTTGTTGACATGTTGACCATAGTAAGTCTTCTTTTTCTTGCAGGTGCATGAACTGACCAACAGATCCGAAGATGAGATCATGGTGGCACTCCACGACAGTAATTACGACACAGAACAAGCCATCATTCTCCTGCTCGAGAGAGAGGAAGGAAATCAGGTACGTCAGCAAGCAACAATGTTTAGTTCTCAGTAATGCATTTAAAACCTTGCTATCGCAATATCTAAACATGGTGATGTTATTACTATATGAAGATGATCTAATTAAATTTCTGGGCTAGTAGGTCAAGATCAAAGTTGTTGATTGACAATTATTTATAGGCTTTTTTTATTCATCGTGATAAATCCATCTACTTCCTTAGGGTGGAGGATATTATGCTGTCATGTTTTATAACTTGTTTTTTTAAATTATTGCTTAAATGTTAATTTGACCGACTAGGTGGTGGACCATTCCCTGATAAGTTTTTCAAGATGCTTCCATGTGCCAACTTAATTTTATTACCTAAGAACCCGAGATATTCTTCTTGTCTTCGCAGAAGGATGAATGGGAAACCATCAGTAAGAAGAGCAAAGTTCGTGGAATGGCACCATCGATGCGTAGCACAGATTCATTCAACAATCACCAAGACAAAGACCACAAGAATCATGACGACGATCGCAGAGACAGGGGCGGGCGGGGCCGTAACCGTGACAACAGAGATAGCAGAGACGGGCACGACGGGAGAGGGGATAGAGGAGACAGAGAGGGAAGCTACAGTAGGGGACGAGGAAGAGGAGGGAGGGGTAATCTTCCACCCAGAATGACCAGAGGTAAGTCTTTAAGCTTATCTTGAGCTCTTGGGGGGTGTTTCACAAAGATAAGTTGAACTTATCTCTAAATTGGACTAAACAATTATGGAAAGCTGTTGGCATCTTTGAAAATATTTTGTAAAAGTTATTTTAAAAGGCATAAAATATAGATAAAAATTATTCATATTTTCTAGTATCAAGGAGATTTCATGTTCTTGATGTGGAATTTATGAAAAGTCTAAAATACTCCAATTTTTGCCTTTGAATAAATTCTATTTTAAGGCTTAGAGTTAACTTAGAGTTAAATTTGACTTTGTATCTTTGTCAAATACCCCCTGGTATGGGAAACGTATTTTGAGAGAAAATTGCTATGATTTATTCTTGATTGTTTATCCTGCAGTAGATTGGTTGTTTGAACCGGTGAAATAAAAACAGAACTCAAAAACACAAAAATACGGTGGGCATCATCTTCAATAAAAACCAAAACTACCTTTTGCACATAGTGACCTGTGTAAAGCACATGGTGTCAGTCTACTTACCGGTACCCGGATTTACTTATCTTTCTATGCTCAATACTCAGCCACTGTACATTTTCTACCTAAATTGTTTGGTTATTTGTAATCTTGAACATTCAGTGTGAGTTGTTGGATTCTGTGAGATTTTTTTTTCTGTCTCATCCTGTGATCGATGATGAATGGTTCAAGATAAGGCTGTGCACAACAGTGTAATGAGGTACCCGAGTACACTCCTATGTTTACAAGCGAATACTCGAGTATTCGGACGCCATGTTTGTTGTTTTTTTGTTGTTTTTTTTTTTTTTTTTTTTTTTTTTTAATTTTTAATTTTTTTTTTTTTTTTAATTTTTTATTTTTTTTAATTTTTTGCCACCACCATACATACCACTGGAGCAGTATCCCAGTTCTGTCGCCGAAAACGCATGCAATTTTACTTTGAGTTGCAGTTGAAGGCGCCGATTTAATAATAATAATAACAGTGAACAATGCTGTTTTAAACACCAAGGATGGCAGAATAATCCATTTTCCTCCAAGTCCAAGCAGAAATCCAGACATTTGGTCCCAGTTTCTGAGTGGTGAGTTTGACAGTGCTTGAGTTGGGAAACATTTTTACCGACGGCACCATGCCAGCGGCCGCCGCTCACCCAGGAACGGGTAAGCGGCCGAATATTCGGGTACGAGAAATCGTACCCGAGTAGTTGTCAACCGTGCGGGTACTCGAGCATTCGACTACCCTTCACAGCCTTAGTTCAAGATGTCTCTTTTGTTTCTTACAGGTCGAGGAAGGGATAGGGAGAACGACTATGATCGAGATCGTAATGATCGTAACGAGTCAGGTCGTGGGCGTGGCAGACGGAATGCAGGTACTGTACAGAGAACATTAGCAACTCTTGAGTCACTGTATTAGTCCACTTCTCTATATATTTCTCCAGTAAAGTTGTGATGATCGAAATTAATCAGGAGATCTCTTTCTGTTAACTTAGATATCTTATTGAATTTGAAAATAATTGTACTACCGGTTGGTAATCTGATTCTCTTATTTTCGTGAGACAAGTTGATGACAGTGAACAAATTAAAAGGAAAACAAAATTACGTAAAGACTAGAACGAGGCAAAATTTGCTAATTCTTATGTATGCACTTCATATTGGATAAAAGCTTGTCCTGTACATGAATGGTTGAACCTATTCTCATTATTTGAAATGCATGTTACTAACAGTTAATTACACTAGGTAGAATATTTTAAGAATCGTAAGTTGTAAACTACAAACATTTGCGATCAAGTTTAATGGCCTTTTTCTTGGCAAGAAAATTGAGAATCTGGACTGCTTCTGAAAATTGTTGCCTGTCTGCAAATGTTTTGTAACTTTACAACACATATTCCTCAGATGGGGAAGAGGGAAAAGAGTGAAAGTATTGCGTAACATATCATTTCAACCTCATACTTATTTATCTTTTCAGAAATGAACGGTCCATCTCGGCGATCAAATCGCGGAGGTGCCGGTGGTGGTGGTGGTGCTGGTGGTGGTGCTCCTCAAAGGTCGTTCACAAATTCTAAATTTGGGTAAGTTCACTCTCTCGCTGTATGTTCTATACTGTAAATGTGTTATTGTGTATGGATATTGAGTGTAGGTTTCATTATACAATACAATACAATACAATGAACATTTAGGGCGCCATTCCCATAAGGCTCAGAGCGCTAACATCAAATAATATTATTGGTCTTTACTACATGTAGTAATTAAAGGCTACAATTAGATATTCCATATAAAATATTAAATTCAATTGATTAAATTAAATAATTAAACATAGAGGAGAATTCATGTAAAGAGATGAGTTTTCAGAGCCTTCTTAAAAATATCGATAGAGGCAGATTGTCTGATGGACATGGGGAGATTATTCCACCCTTTGGATGCTGCTACCGTGAAAGTCTTATCCCCGGCTTGGACACGTGTAATTGGATAATTTAGACGGAGGTTATCATTTGAAGATCTGAGATTTCTGCTTGGTGTATATAAAGTTAAACAATTAGACAGGTAATTAGGAGCTAGGTGGTGCAATGATTTATAGACATATAAGAGTATCTTAAAAATGATTCGCTGTTGAATTGGAAGCCAGTGAAGGGAATTAATTAATGGTTGAGCTGAATGACTTCTACCGACCTCAAACACAAGACGTGCTGCCCAGTTTTGTAGGCGCTGGAGACGGTTTACATGTAACTTTGGAAGAGAGGAAAGAAGTCCATTACAATAATCAAGTCTAGAGAGAATTAAAGACCTTACAGCATGATGACAAGTTGATTGATCAATATATCTACGAATTCGTGATATGTTCCTTAAGTGAAAAGTGACCGTTCTACTAACATTGTTAATATGTGAATTCATACTCATATGAACATCAAAGAATGCGCCCAAGTTTTTAATTGTGTCTGTAGGTTTTACGGAAATATTTCCTATGGTGAGAGTTATGTCTGGCAATTTTCTGAAATTGTGTGGTGAAGCAGCAATAAAAAACTCTGTCTTACTGGCGTTCAATTTCAACTTGTTGATGGACATCCAATTCTTTATATCACAGATGCAGTTTTGCAGTGACAACAATGCACAATCTAATTCACCACGTATTTTGGGATCAAATGAAACATATAACTGTATATCATCCGCATATACATGGTATGACACATTATGATGCTGAGTAATATCACTAACCGGGAGGGTGTAAATTGTAAAACCAACAGGACCTACTACAGAACCTTGTGGCAGACCAAACTTGGAAATGATGGGCGCAGAAACTTTTAGGAATTCGTTCTGTGACGCATCCAAAAGGTCGAAAAATCTCTTTCTGATAACTTAGATTCTTGTTGAATTTGAGAAAAAATGTACAACCAGTGAATAATCTGATTCTCAACCTCTGACAGTTTCAAGGTGAGCAGCTTAGACGCCTGGGAAAGTGATGTCGAAGTTAGCTATCAGAAGATGCCGAACGGTTTTTGAAGACCAACACAACTGTCGTGTGACAGTCTTTATCATAAAAAATCCAGTGTTAACACATTGAGTGATTTCAAGTTGGGTGTTAGTGTTAGTGTTAAGAGCAGTCAAGAGCTCTTAAATCTAGCGAAAATTTTGCTGATGAAATTAATAGCCCGATACCGATATCAAAATCGATAGCTTAACACTAGCTGTGACGTCACCATATACTTGATTTCACGACGATGATTTAAAAATAGTACATCAAAACTAAAGATGTCATGAAAAGTACAGAATAACTTTACACCTATTTCTCTGGTCTTATAAAATAACTCATTTTACACAAACGAATATATGAATTACCTGTTTCACATATTCTTATTTGATCGTCAGACAATAAATTGGCGTCGTTCGTGCCTTGACTGTTGTGCCGGTATAACACTAACACCGAACTGGAAATCAACATTTGCTTAATCCCTAGGGGCTAGTGTTAGTGAATAGGACATTTGTTTGTAAAATATTAACACCAGCCACAAAGGTCGGTTCAGCAGACGACGATTTTGCAAAATCGATAACACTAGCTACCGGAAGTTGACGATATTCAGAGGTCAAAGCCTTAACACCAGCTGATTTCCATTTCGGTGTTTAGGCTGGTGTTAGTGTTTATTAAACACTAACACCAGCATTAAACACCTAACTTGAAATCACTCATTGTCTCTTTAAGAGCCAAAAGGACGTTAACCCATGTACTCTAACACAGAGATAACACCCTTCTAGTTCTTAACAGATGATACACTCTAGTAACAAAGGCACATCTTTAAGATGTTAGATTATACCTTTACAACAACTTCCTAATTGGATTGACTATGTTTTTCATTGTTTTAGGAATTACCAAGAAGAAGACGCGTTCAAGTCCACAGACAACGTTTGGAGGAATCCTCCTTCAACGGAATGTAAGTTGTTCAGTATTTATGTAATTCCATAATAAAAAACAGTAACATCAAAATACTACTTGTACATAATAATTATTAACATAGTACAATATTGACAGTAAAAAAATAGGAATTAGGTTGCTGTATAAAAACCTTAGAGGGTTTGTCTGGACAGCCACCAGAAACAGTAAAACTAGTGAAGGAATCATACAAAATGATATATGATATTTGAATAAATAATAACAAAAACAACAAAATAAAAGAACCAAAACAGAACAAAGTAGAACATAATCAAAAACAAAAACATGGTAGTTGGACGATCTACATGTTTGTGTGGTAGAAGGGAATAGGGTTAGGGTGTTTTCCTATGAAACGATACATGTCTATCATATCATTAAGATAGGAACTGCAAGCCCATGCCAGCAGCCTAATCCAGAATTGTAGAAAATCTCTTTATCTTTTCTGAGAAGGTATGCTTGGCATTTACCGGGGGATAAATAAAAAGAAGTTACACTGAAAAAAATTACTTTCAAAGGGATATCTAAAGATAGAAATTAACCGTTTTCTTCAAATTTGTCCATGATACGAACGTGACAAAATGGATTTTACTTGATGTTATCTTTATGATATATGCATGTAGAGGTGTATGCTGTATTTTGTCTAAAGGGATCGTTTAACAATGTTAAATCCGAGATACACGGCCCTATGTGTTATCAGTGTCTGTGATATGGTGTAATATTGAAGCCCTAAAAAAATTGTGCTTCAAAATATCAAGAAGTGCCTTAGAAAAGTAAAAATCTTTGAGTGACCGGTTTTACCATACTCGTTTTCCCCAATAGACTGTAGTGTTATGAAAGCCGTCAGGCGAACGGTTTTCAAAATTTGTAATTCCAATCATAAGTTTCTTGATAATCAGACAGGCAATCGGCTTGTAAAAGTTATGGGGTTCCTGACTGACCTAAAGGTTTATAATTATCATTGCATCATGAGCTAAATCCAGGATTTTGTTTCAGAATCTGAGACAAAGTTACCGGATCCCTTTAACCCTATGTTAACTGGGGGGGGGGGGGGGTCAATTTGACCCCCCCCCCTGTAGAAATTTCGCGACTACTCCGAAACCGCGGCAGATATAAAATTTTCCTTTCATGACTTTTTACTTTCGAGTCTTACGCATCTTTTAAAACAATTTTTTCGAAAATCAGACCTACGGTTACAAGGTCACGTGACCTTTTGTCTTTGCATGTCAGCCCGAAAATCGCTCATTTTCGTGATTTGTGTACAAAACATACGTAAATGTCATTTTTCCTAAAAATAGATAAAACATTGGTTATTCAGTCTTGTTTAAAGTTTAGATGTTTGTTTTGGGGTCAAAATAGTCGAATTTTAGTTATAAATGAAATAAAACAACAAAAACAATAAAATACATAAGTTAAAAAAACAATGAAATACATAAGAAATTATAAAAACAAGAGATAACATAAGAAATAACCTGGCTCTTCCAATTTTTTGTGTTGTTTTATTATTCCAAATGGTGTAATAAATATATGTAGTGAAAAAGAATACTTAAAACATGAATAATCTATGATTTATGGGCAGAAATGTGAATTTGATGACCTTATTTGCATAAATTACCATAAATATGCAAATGAGTGAATATTTCAAAAATTTGAAATTACCATAGTATTCTATACACTTCACTTGACGTGCATGTAAATTTTCGCGGCGATCGGCGGTGAAACGGCCGAGATCTTAGGGGGGGGTCAAATCGACCCCCCCCCCCCCCCCCCAGTAAAAACCTGGTCTGAAATAGCCCAGTTAAAATAGGGTTAAGACGTATTGTTGTATGCCTTGCATTTACCAGTCATTTGGTTTGTCAGGGATATTATGTGTCCTGTGTTTGGGTATGATCAGTAAAGTGATTTTTCAAAAGAAAATGTGTGATCATCCTTCATGATGTATTTTGTTTCTTATATCTTACAGCTTGGGATAATGCAGCGAATTCCAACGCCCAGCCCACTAAGACAGGAGAGTGGGGTACAGAGGATTGGGGGGCTGAGGATTGGACTGGGGATGTAAGTAGCACCTCTTACCATCCTTAATCTAAGCTTAACTTAGCTTAATCCCTTGGTGTAATCCTTGGTCAAGTGAGGAATAGTCCTGCTTTTCATTTCCAAACATGTATCAAGAGAATTTGACTTGATTGACTTTGAAATGTGAAAAATACCAGAGTCATATGAGAGTCATCAGCATTATTTGTATTACGTTTTAACCTCTGTGATTGTCCTTTTGAATGAATATTACAAATATCCATGCTTGATTCATTTGTCTTATGTTATAACTTATGAACTTACTTTGTGAATGCAAAAGGTATGAAGATGAATCCAAAATTTCAGTTATTCCTGCTACCGAAACATACATTTCATCAGCATTGAGTGATTGACAACTATGCCCCAGATAATGTTTATCACACAAAGTTGGACCATATTCATTAAGTTTTAGAAATATCGACTTTCCTCACTTTTGTAATACGGTCAAACCTGTCTATAGCAACATCTGAAGGGAAACACAAAAAGTGGTCTTTATAGACAGGTTCCTTTAGTACATGTTTCAATGAGTAACCATTTTGAAGGGATTAAAAAATGCGGTTTTGTAGACTAAAGCAGGATTGACTGTATTTATAATAAAGTGGTGTTTTGATTTGATACAATTTATAATGCCATCTTTATCTTTGCCTTGTACAGCTGGCTGAAAGTCAAGTATTCACAGCAACCAATCCTGTCCCGCCCATGCCCCTGGATCCCATCTCCGCAAGCCCCTCATCCCAGATGCAAGCACCTGTAGGTCAGCCCCCATCATCGGGTCTCTCTAACCAAGGCATGCCCCAGCAGCAGCAGCAACACTCCATGGATGTACAGTCCTCGTTAGCCGGTCCCCCTGGGATGTCGAGTGGAGGTGGTGGGATGCCAGCCGGTGGAAGCAGGCAACCTGTAGGAGGAAGCATCGGACAGTCGCCCGCCGGTAACATAGGGCAACCTCCTGCTGGCAGCATAGGTCAACAACATCCCCCTGGTATGATGCAAGGGATGGTGGGACAACCCCAAGGGGGTATGCCTCCGGGTATGCCTCCAGGTATACCTCCCAGTAGCATGCCTGGTGGTGGTGGTATGTCCGCGGGAAGCATCGGTCAACCGCCCGGTGTTATGGCCGTAGGTGGATCTGTGATTGGACAAGGAGGAATGAATTCTAACATGCAGGGTAATACCACCATGCCTGACATGAGTAGAAGGTGAGTCAAACTGGGAGAATATTTTATTTTTCCTTTTCATGCTAAAAAAATGAATAGGTGTTAATGCTACGAACTTATCTTTAAAAAGAGTGATCTTTACCACTCAGAATCTTTGGCTAAATGCTACGAGTGTGACAAAGGTCTGTTCTGGTAAAGTGTGTTCTTAGGGGAATCCTATTGTCTTAGTTATATTTTCAACCAGGCATTTTATCAACATTGATATCAGACAGCACAAATGATAATTTCTGGTTGGTGGAGATCCGTTGAATACTTTGGTCCCTTAATGGTACCTGAGCTCAAATCATTGTAAGAATGGACTCCCAGGGGGTGTTTCACAAAGACCCTTAGTCGAACTTAACGCTAAGTTAGACTTGGGGGTGCTAAGTAGCCTTAAAATAAAATCTATTAAAAAGTGAAATTTTAATTATTTTAGACTTTTTATAAATTCCACATCGAGAACATGAAATTTCCTTGATAATGGAAGAAATGAATAACACATTTTCAGGGTGCTACAAGAATTTTTTTCACCACTTGCCCTGTCGGGCAAGTGGGTTTTCAATTTACTTGCCCAAACAATATTTCCACTTGCCCAAAACTTTAAAGCGAAAAAGGACTCTGATCTTGAGACCGCAGTAATAAATTGAAAACGAGACAAAAACATTCATCTGATTTATATGAGCAGCGAGTTTTAAATAATATGTTCACAATCATTAACAGTCATTATGAATAAATATCAAACATTTGACTTTTTGTACTTACTAGAAAATCCCTGTTGTTTATTCCATTCCGATTCGCACGTGTTCATTTCCCTAGAATAATGCAGGGCGCGACAAACCCGCTTGCCCGACGTCCCGGGGCAACCAAATTGAGCCGTCGGGCAAGTAAATCAAATTATCACTTGCCCGATTCGGGCAAGTGATACTTTTACAGTAATTTCCTAGTGTCCAAGAACTCTACCATTCACCCGTCAACTTCTTACCCGTCGTCAAAATCCAGAAGCAAAAAAGCGATCGTTCCGATTTCGAAAAAACTTCACAGACAGCTAGCCAGCTCAGCTAGCTCAGCGCGCATGCAACAGTGACACTTCAAGCCATGAATGCTATGCCGCTCCGCCTCCACGCACGGCCGGCCGTGAGCTAGCTAGAGACAGCTAGCGCGATCGTACCAGCTGCGAGCTTATTCGCGCTCTCTCTCTCTAGCTCTGCAGGCCGCACCGACAGGCCTTTGCTATTCTCTGATTGCCGATTGGTTGAATCACGCCAAATATGACGTCATTATTCTAGGGAAATGAACACGTGCGAATCGGAATGGAATAAACAACAGGGATTTTCTAGTAAGTACAAAAAGTCAAATGTTTGATATTTATTCATAATGACTGTTAATGATTGTGAACATATTATTTAAAACTCGCGGCTCATATAAATCAGATGAATGTTTTTGTCTCGTTTTCAATTTATTACTGCGGTCTCAAGATCCGACCGAGCGAGTCATTTTGATAATAGTATCGAGACCCCCAGAATATAAGCCGTTGTTGTTTTGTTTTCATGGTTTTAGCGACGTTGTTTAGTCTAGTTTTCGCATACTTATCCGAGATTTATCGTAAAATATCTTCAATATTATTATTTAGTAAGAATTTACAAATTTTGGCATGATATTTATAGCAGTGAATGATGAAATAAAAATGTCCGTACTTTATTTAAAATAGTTGATTACCCATTATTTACATGACGTATTAATTTGCTATCTAAAACACTAACTTATCATTACGAGATAATAAATGCTTTAACCTCGAGTCCTTTTTCGCTTTAAAGTTTTGGGCAAGTGGAAATATTGTTTGGGCAAGTAAATTGAAAACCCACTTGCCCGACAGGGCAAGTGGTGAAAAAAATTCTTGTAGCACCCTGAATAATGACGTCATATTTGGCGTGATTCAACCAATCGGCAATCAGAGAATAGCAAAGGCCTGTCGGTGCGGCCTGCAGAGCTAGAGAGAGAGAGCGCGAATAAGCTCGCAGCTGGTACGATCGCGCTAGCTGTCTCTAGCTAGCTCACGGCCGGCCGTGCGTGGAGGCGGAGCGGCATAGCATTCATGGCTTGAAGTGTCACTGTTGCATGCGCGCTGAGCTAGCTGAGCTGGCTAGCTGTCTGTGAAGTTTTTTCGAAATCGGAACGATCGCTTTTTTGCTTCTGGATTTTGACGACGGGTAAGAAGTTGACGGGTGAATGGTAGAGTTCTTGGACACTAGGAAATTACTGTAAAAGTATCACTTGCCCGAATCGGGCAAGTGATAATTTGATTTACTTGCCCGACGGCTCAATTTGGTTGCCCCGGGACGTCGGGCAAGCGGGTTTGTCGCGCCCTGGATATGCATTTTAAACTAACTTTTACAAAACAAGTTCAACTTAGGATCTTCGTGAAACACTCCCCAGGACCCATAGACATGAGCACTGTAGATTAAACAATATTACTGTCATGAGATACTAATAGCATATATATTTTCTCCCCATGTGCTTACAGCATTGACCTTGCAGCGTTGTTTGGCAAGCCTGTCCAGGCCCCTGTAACCTCCCACGGAGTGAGTGACCCAGCAGCAGGTGGGAGAGATAGTAGCAGTGTCTTCAGCCAGTTCAGAGACCCAAGCAAAGCTCAGAACATGAACTCTATGGCAGACCAACAGAGCAAACAAGTACAGGTCAGTGCAAAATCGCTGTTCGATGATGTCTTCAAGACAGGGAGGGAGCACGGTATTGTGGGAAACCGTGATAGGGTAAAAATAAGCCTGTATAGCTTGTTTTCGCTAGAGGGAACTTATAAACCTCCATGACAATATTGTTATACTTTTGTATTTTGATGTTTGTATTATAATGTAAATATCTGATTCCTCTGTAAAAACGATAACATGAGTCTTGAGCTACATGTCATGTTGTTTTTGATAAACCAATTCAATTCAAGTTGCTTTTAGTGAGAAAAAAAGAGAGAGGGAGATACTTATTTGACAAAATAGTGGAATTGTAGTCAAATACTAGAAGATTTGTATGTTTAGAAGTCAACACCATCAAATGGGTATCATAGATTGACATAATGCTTACATGTGTTACAAGTAATCATGGTTATCTGTGAAAATTGCTTTGGTTAAGAAGACACCGTGAGGGTCCACTTTGCTTGAGTAACCCCTTTTGCCTTTCATAACACGCTTGAGAGGGACCATACAAACCAGTCATGGAGATGGGAGGTTTGTTTATTACACTGGAAGGCTCCAAGTAGATGGAATGGCTATCATCAAGACTTCTACAGTCAATCCTGTCTGTAGCGACCGCCCCAGGGAAACACAATTTGTGGTCTTTGTAGACAGGTTCCTTTAGTACATGTTTCAATGAGAAATCCTTTTCAAGGGAAACAACAGACAGGTGCTCACTAAATCAGGTTTTACTGTATCATGGAACACAGTTGTGACAGGATTAGCACTTCCAAACATGGAGCATGTCCAATCATGTTTTCATTTCCTCTCTCTCTCTTCTTCTAGATGGGTATGGACCAATCACAAGGAGGACAGCTGCCGCCCTCGTCAAGAGCCCCCACGCAATCCAGGCCTACCCGTAAGAAGCTGCCCCCTCCCTCTACCAAGATCCCTGCTTCGGCCGTAGAGATGCCCAACTCGGCCCGTGGTCTGGGCGCTCTGGACGTCCAGTTTGGAGCCATGGACATCACTATGGATCCAGCAGTGTCTGACTTTGGGCTGTCCCAATCCAGCTCGATGCCTTCATCAATGTCGTCCACGCTCTCAACGACCGGTGGACTTTCCAATAGTGCTTTCAGGTAAACCTTTTATCATCAGCTTACACTTATTAGAAGAGCACTACTATATGAAAGACCATTATTTCCTCGTGTTGTATAACAGATTATATACCTCTCTTTAGAAATCTAGCCATCTGATGGGTCGAAATTGAAGTCATGATTTTGGATATTCCCTTAAAGAGACAAAAAAAAATGGTCAATAATTCATGAGTAATATCCGTTACCCCGCGTAAGAGGCCGCATAAATCAATTGTGCTCAGATCCCCATTGGTTTACGTGTTAAAATTATCTTTGTCCAAGCGCAGTCACCTTCCAGTGCTTTTGTCTGCGATTCCTAAATGATTGAAATTTTCAGTCATTTTTCAAGTGAGGATAAACAGACAGTTTCTCAGATTTTTTGGTGATGTTATAACCAATCTTTGGAGCCACCCAGGCGCGCCTCGGGTCATGGCAAGATGCGCACTCGTTCCCTTGAGCATATAAAATGGCCAGGCCTCTCAAAGCAGTCGATATCTCTATACTATTGCAGCCTGGAGACAGAACTGTTAATCCCTTTAAAAAAAAAGAAATTGTCGAAGAAATTTTATCAGAAAAATATCAGACCGAAATTTGTTACAGGTCAAAAAGTTGCTGAATATATTTTCAAAATGTATGCCCTTTTTGTCCAGGAAAACAATGGGATTACTACTTCATTCCAAAGGTTAAGTGGTAGGATTATTCCTTAAAATGCTCTGTGTGCTGATAACGGCTGCCGGGGCTAAAGCTAGGGTAATCATTTGGAAGCGCATAGAGACGTTATATAATGTGGTATGCGCTATACAAGAATCGAATATTATTATCATTATTCCTCCAATGTTTCCTTAACAGTGTTAACAGTCCAGGGACCAGTGCAAACCATCTATCATACAGCAAGAGTAATGAACCCTCATACCCAGTATCAACGGGCATGAACCCAGTGGGGATGAACACAAATACAGCAGCAAACACGGCGCCCTCTAGTATCTCGCAACAACAGTCCTTAGATCCATCGCAGCAAAGAGGACCACCACACTATGGGCAGAGTGCTCAGCAGAAACAGGTATGGCCATATGTCTTGCTCTGCCAGTTTGTTGAAATTCCATTCTAGAATGTATGTGTGTATCTTGCAAAGCTATGAACTGTTTAGATTTTGGGGTCACAAGGTCAAAGGTCACAGGGCTCATAATGTAGGCAAAAATAGCTTGTGATCACATAATCATTAGAACCGATGGACAGATTACTATCAAACTCAGGACATGTATGTATCTTGCAGAGCTATTGAACTGATTAGATTTTAAGGTCATGAGGTCAAAGATTAAAGGGTCATACATGTATATGTATATGAAAAATAGCTTGTAATCATGATATTCTGAGAAACTGTCAATGGATTACAATCAAACATGAATTTTAAAAAGTGCTTCAGTTTTAGTTTGTAAAATTGCTCTATGGCGGACGCATCATTTTGTTTCATCTAGTTTCTCATGTTTTAACCCTTACTGTACTGGGCTATTTCGAGCACTCTCTGACTGGGGGGGGAGGGGGGGGCCTGGGAGGCCCCCCCCCTATGATCGCGGCTGTCGAATGTCCGATGAAGGCGAAAATTTGCATGTTTGTAGATATTAACGTAAGGAACAAGATGGTATAATTAGTTTTTTCCTAATATGCAAATTTTTGTCGTTATAGCCTAATTAATTATGCAAAATGCTAATTTTATGCATTTTACAGAAAACTCTACATATTTGTCCTTAGACTTGTGAAGAATCTTGAAAATGTATTGAATAAATGTTTCCTTCATCTCAAATTCATGAGGTTTCATTATTTTTATGATATTTGAAAATGCATAGGTTAATTTGCATAAATTATGAATACGCTTTCATGAATATGAAATCTGGAAATATACATAGATATATACATTTCTGCTTGTACATGAATATATGCAATTATAGCACTTTTTTGATGACATGCGCATACTAATTGTTATGTAACACCTTACAGGTATATCCGATTTCGCCGAAAATGGTATCAAAATGTGCGTAAGACTTGAGGATAAAAAGTCATGAAACGACAATTCAAAATTCCGAGCGGTTGCGGCGCAATCTCCGAAAATGTCGAGGGGGGGCCTCCCAGGCCCCCCCCCCCCAGTACAGTAAGGGTTAATTGGCTGAAATGATGTTTAATGACTAATACTTTCGTTCTTCAGAATATATTCTGGTGACATCTCTAAAAGTCCCTGATCAGCCACACATTGAATATTTTATGCACTGACATAGCATCTCTAAATCATTATTGTATATGGTTAATCGGGATGTAGCTCTAGAGTGTACATCTAGTCTGTCATTCAGTTCAAATGGGAATCTTCATGTATTATCTTAATCAGCAGACTAACAGCATGGTAATTAATCTCCACAAAAACAATAGCTATTCTGACATAGGATAAGTGGTTACCCACCTATATATAGGCTGACTTGATTTGTTTTGATTTTTTAACTGACAATAGTTAAATAGGTACGAGGTAATTTTCTAGAATTTTGTTCTTGTCACTTGTGCTTTGTGAAAGAAATATAATTCAATGAATAATTAAATGTATGGAGATACTTGTTCTTGATATGAAAAAATTGTTTTTAAAAACAATAGTTTTGTTATGAAGGGAAATATATTATGCCTTTGATTATTGTTCTGTGATTTTGATTTTAGATGACACCAGATCCTATTCCTCTACCAAACCAAAATGATATGAAGACCAACGCATACCTCGCATCACAGAAACCCTCCTCAGTACAATCATTAGAAAGTAAGTAAACTCTCTCTTGAAGCCGTTCTTAAATGGCTTCTTAACCCTGCTTGGGCCGTGTATGGTAGTGTTACATTCAATTAAATGAGGAAATGACTACCTAGTAGAAAAAAAGACTTTGAATAACATAATGGTAGCTGAGTTAAATCCATTGTAAATTTGTAGCTCAAGGATTTTTCTCTGTTTGACTTCCAGTTGTAATCCTCAAGAGGTCACAGTGCTCATTATGTATGCAAAAATTGCTTGTGATCACATCATTAGAATTGACAGATTACGATCAAACTAGGACACGTTTTTCTCATGTTTTAATTGGCTGAAATGATGTTTAATGACTAATACTTTCGTTCTTCAGAATATATTCTGGTGACATCTCTTTAAGTCCCTGATCAGCCTGCTAGTCACCTGCTAGCATAGCGATAGCTGCCCGATTGCTGCCTTCAATTTTGCTCCCACATTCACAAATTTCCATTTGAGTTCTAACAACTTCCAGAATCGTTTCAGTTATGAGTGTTGAGTCCATGTGTGTTTCAAGCGTGAAATTGTAAGGATATATTGACTGCTTTGAGAGGCATAGTGGTTTCTATAGGGTCAAGGGAAACTCACAACCTGCTATGACCCCAAGGCACTTGCGCCGCGGGGTCATAGCAGGTTGTGAGTTTCCCGAGACCCTATAGAAACCACTATGCCTCGAATATTAAAAGCAGTCAATATATATTTTATATACCGAAAAAAAGGAAAATGTTGACTCACCCATTTAGGTTTCCATCTCTTTGAAGTCATGAATATTAACACCAACAATAACTTGTGTACAGTATGAAATCCAACAAGCTGTGCTCCAGTAGAACAGGGAATACCAAACACGTTTACACGAACAGTAACTTTTGTACAGGATGATATCACCAACAAGCTGTGCTCCAGTAGAACAGTAGAACATGAACAGTAACTTTATAAATTCACAAATTCGCAACATATTTACACAGACTGTGCGTCTGCCTGCAACCCGCATAGAATTTTTGAAGGATCTTGTCCAGGTCTGCATTCGGAAGTCTGTTTACATCTCCGAGGTCCGTGTTGACATTTCGCAAGAACTCTTCAAATATTTTAATGCCGTATTTTACTGCATACTTCGTATTTTTGCTATCAGCAGAATCGATTAAGTCTTGCAGCTGAATGTCATCCATAAGTTGAAATCTTGGCATAGCTGTGTCCTCCATTTTGCCTCTTTATTGACAAAAAATTGGAAACAAAAAACCCCAGTATTTTGCGATCGAGACTAGTACACAAAATGGCGATCGGTCGTCTGCGCTGCGTGGATTGGTAGATTCGTCGCCTGAATGCAGCGACCAAAATCGAATTGCACTCAAACATTGTTAACGGTATTGCGCATCGGTCATCGCACAAAAGAAACTTATACGGTAACACGTAAACCAAAATGGGGATCGCAGCAAAATGACGTCACGTTTCACAGCCATGGAAAAAGTGCTATGAAAAATGGATATAAACCGGTAGAGCCGGGAAAAATGACTATGAATTTCAATTAGCGGGCATGGTTAAGAACATGACTGCATTTTCAACCAATCAGAAGACAGGATTAGTAAAGAATCTTAAAATGAGGTATATAATGTTATATATTTACAGATAAAGACAAGACATCATCCCAGTTGTCCCAGCTTGCCAGTCTCTCATCCTCCACAGGCTTTGGACTCTCAACGAGTCAGTCTATCGGTGGAAACAGACAGGTAACAAATCCACTCTTACATCGTCTTTGTGTTACATTTTCCATGAGATATATCAACCACTTGATATTATAGTACTTTTTCAGTAGTATTTTCAGTGTTCTATTTACGCCATATTTACACTTTTATTTTGATAGAAAAAGATGAATCTATACTAATCTTTTATTGTCGTTGGAAGACTCGTTCACTTTGTTGCCAAGTTGAAATGAGTTTGATTGATTATTTGTTACTGTTCAAATTTGTTCCATATATCCTAAGGTTTGTACGGAGTCAGTTTCACAATGATTAAATAGTCATAACATAATTTCATTTTGTTGGTAGAGGTACAACATTATCAAGAATGTGTATACAAATAGTATGAGGTGGGTTCAATAAACATTGATAATGAAAATCTATGAATGTTGGCTTTCATAGTGATATGTTTTGTTGTTGTCATGTAGGTACCCAATTCATACGGTTCACCGGGCATGTCCGGAACATCCAGCATCCCCGCATCGTCCAACTCCCAATACCAGACATCGGACCTATCCAGTGCATTCTCAACCCCCATGGGGTCCTCAGGCCTTTCATCAGGAGGGCTATCCTCCGGTCCGAGCACCATCGGTTACTCCTCACCATCTCAGGCAGCAGGCAGCCTGAGCAGCGGGGGCGGCGGTACGAGTGGTGGGCCAGGAGGAGGGGGTGGTCTGTCCGGTTCTGGTCATTTGTCCAGCGGGTTAAGTGCAAGCAGCAGTGTGTCGCAGGCGACTACCACGTTGTCCAGTTCCAAGCTGGCTGGTCTAGATGCCAGGCAGGGACAGGTGAGTTACCATGACCTTTAAACCCCCATTCATGTAAGTGTGTCTGTAGAGAAGCAGAGACTATTTAACTGAATTCTGAAGCCTTTGAAAATGATTCCTTTTTAGTCCCTTGATCTGAATACAAGCTAAGAATTTTTACTAAGCTAAGCCAAATTCTAAGTCAAAGTTTACTTCAGCAAAGTATCAAATTGAAAACAGGCCCAGGATTCTTGGAAATAACTGCTGCATTGTGGGCCAGAAGTTTTATCAAGACTCCTAATGAATATGCTGATTTTAATTTGTCTGATTGAGAAAGATACGTGTTTGATATTCCCCTGATTGAATGATTTTGATACCTCTGGCATGATTGGGGAAGAATTGTTGCAAGTTCATTAAAAGTCATGCCTCATTCTTAAATGCATTTTTGTTGTATTTTGTTCTTCCAGTCTTCATTAGGTTCCAGTAATCTTGTTTCGGGAAATCTCAACAATGCATCGTCATCGTTAGGGTACACAACGACCACAGCGGGACTTACGGGATCAAAATCAGTTTCACAGGGATCAGGTAAGAAAGCTAAGGGCAAAGGTTACATTGTCGAGATTAACTTTTGGTTTTCTGTCTCAGCTAGAATCCCATGTTAGTTATGCTCATGTGATAAGCATTTCTCAATACCCAATACTCTTTAACCCTATTTAGCCCGGGCTATTTTGAAACTGCATAGCCCGGGGGGGGCTTCTCAGGCCCCCCCCCCTATGATCTCGGCCGTGAAACGCCCGATCGCCGCGAAAATTTGCATACATGTCAAGTGAAGTGTATAGAATACTATGGTAATTTCAATTTTTTTGAAAAATTCACTCATTTGCATATTTATGGTAATTTATGCAAATAAGGTCATTAAATTCACATTTTTGCCCATAAATCAGACATTATTCATATTTAAGCATTCTTTCTCACTACATATATTTGTTAGACCATTTGGAATAATAATACAACACAAAAATTTGAAAAACCAGGGTTATTCCTTATGTTATCTATTGTTTTGATAATTTCTTATGTATTTCTTTGTTTTTTTAACTTATGTATTTTATTGTTTTTGTTGTTTTATTTCATTTCCAACTATAATTCAACTATTTTGACCCCAAAATAAACACCTAAAATCTAAACAAGACCAAATAACCAATGTTTTACCTCTTTATTTAAAAAATGAGATTTCCATATGTTTTGTACACAAATCACAAAAATGAGCGATTTTCGGGCTGACATGCGAAGACAAAAGGACACGTGACTTTGTAATGGTAGGTCCGATTTTCGAAAAATTTCTTTCAAAAGTTGCGCAAGACTCGAAAGAAAAAAGTCACAAAATTTCAGTGCAAGATTTTCTTGCGTTAAAAAATTATCGCGAAAAATGTCGAGGGGGGGGGGCTTCTCAAGCCCCCCCCCCCGGGCTAAATAGGGTTAAGGAAATTTCATGGAAAAAAGGGAGTAATATTGTCTAATGATGATAATAATAATAATAGGCATTTCTATAGCGCCGTCTATCTAGATAATTCTATTCCGAGGCACATTATTATTACCCCGGCTTAAGCCTAGCTGCCGTTTATACAGCATTTCAAGGAATTAATTCCTGCCAGGTACCCATTTACATCACCTGGGTTGAGTGTGGCACATGTAGATCAATGTCTTGCCAAAGGACATTAGTGCAGTGGCGGGACTCGAACTGCGGACCTTGTGATCGACAGTCCGGCGACGTATCCACTCGACCACAACACCTTTAAGTCATTATGTGCATTGAAGACCAACATGATGTTAAACTTTTTTCAACTTTCGTTCTACTGAAGTCTGATGATTCTTGTGGAAATACTGATTGGTCTTCATGTCGGTCATAATCTCGATAATGAGCATATCCAATTAAAGATGCCAAGCTGTGTGTAGATGCAGTTACAGTTTTGTACAAAGCTGCCTTTGATGATGTTGCATTCATTAAACATGCGCTTGTTTAGTGGACAAAATATGAGAATCCGCAGAAAAGTAATATAATTGATTTTAGGTTATCGACAATGTAATTCCAAGATGCAGTAAAAACATTGGTCTGCTCACTGAGCAGTTTCATGACTTAGTTCGGCATGGTTTTCTGATGCCAAATGCCCCCATGAATACATCAGAAATTCTCATGATCCTTATGTCTCTGAAGAATTCTTCTAGAAAACATTCAGAATTAGAGTGAGAGATACATGTATACTAGGTTAAATGTTTCTTTATTTTCTCTTGTATTGGGCAAACATTCACATTTTTTGTTAAAGGGAGTTGGTAACATTGTTAGTGGTAGTGACTTCAATTCTAGATGTACAATTAAAGATAATCTGAAAGTTTGTGTGAAAACTGACCATTATTATTGATAAAAATTGGGGAAAACTGATCTGATCGATTCCTCAATTCTCCCAACTATATTATTACAATTTCATTTCATTTTAAGGTGAATGTAAATTGCCACAAAGCAATGAATTGGCTCTATATACCATTCCAAATATTCAAGTGTTGAAAGATTTTTAAAGGCCTGTCTTAATAATTTTCTTGTCCTTTTTCTTATTTAGCCAAACAGCTACCGAACTTGCCACCAGGGATGCCCTTCATGTACCATCCAAACCTCATTGGTGCAGGATTCCCACTTGTCAATCCTATTGTAAGTTTATCCCAGTCTCCTTATCATGTATAAGAATATTGAAATTTTGTGGCTGAAATGCTCTTATGAACTATGCATTCATGAGATGATTCATGAGTTAATGCTGAATGTTCCTAATGAAGAATAAACAGTGCGTGCCATTCATAGAGCTGCCCACCAGTACGATTTTCTGACAAAAAAATACAAATAAATCTGAAAATTAGAATGTGCTTGTGTATTTTGTGTGTGTGTGTGCCATTTTCAAATAATACAAAAATAAGATTTTTTTTTTTGGGGGGGGGGCAAAGAATAGGATTTTTGTTTAGTTGGGGTTGGCAGCTCTGCATTCATCCGCATGTAGCATACACAGAAAATAACATAAATTGATATACGTTTGTGCTAAAATATGTGCTAAAATGTTTTTCTCAATGACAATGATTATAAATTATCTATATCATGCCAGGTAAACAAAAATTACACATAGAAACTGACACTGATACTGGAGTAAAAAGGAAATAATTAAATGTTACTACGGTACACTTCTTTCAATAATTTTGATCATTCTCTCTTTTTGTCCGTACAGCCAACACACCAACCGTACATGTATGAAGATTTCCAAATGCAAATGGGAAGATTACCCATGGTGAGTACTCTGCTCGTGATCATTTTATTTAGAATGCTGCCTCGTAATATAAGTTTCTCTAATTTGGGTCTTCTCTCTCTCTCTCTCTCTCTCTCTTTCTCTTTTTGTCAGATTGGCTGATATGATGTTCAATGACTAATACTTTTGTTGTTCTGAATATATTACCAGAATATATTTATAATAACATCCTATGTAGTAATGATTAGGTATTCTGACTATTTCAATTCATTATTACAATAATGATGATTGATTGTCAGTTTGGCGAGATAATGTGAAGTTGGGATTAAGTATCTTTCATTATTTTTAATTTTTAGAAAAGACTCCATTCATTTCAGATCAATTAAATGTCTTATTTGGGACATGAAATGACAAAATAGCTAATTGTATTCTTAGATGATCATAATATTCGATATTTTGGGGTGCCAAAATGATAATTACAATTTGCTCGCTTACTCAACAGTTTGGAAAGGAAACAAACAGCAGAAAAATATCAAATAAGGTTTACATTACCAGAGTTTGTGAGAGTTAAAGGCTAAAACAAGATCATAATTTCTTTTTCAGCCATTCCAGCAGCTGGCTACGACAACGTTGAACACAGGTCGGGATACAAACTCGCTAGGTAACACACCCTACTCTGTCACAGAGGCTAGTAAGTTTCCAAGAAATGATGCCGCTTCACCCGTAGCTTCGTCCCTCTCAACCCAACAACATCAACAAACAGCAGGCTCAGCGTTAGGTAAATATTCTCTTCATCGAGTTGCGTCTTTCTCTGCATGTTCTTCTGCCATCAATCGTTTGATGATGCGTTTTTCTTCAAGTGAGAACTCAACCCCATCTATGAGGAATGCTCATTGCTATTTCATAGTTACCGTGAACTGAGTCGTCGCTTTCCTTTTACCAGTTCAAAATGTTGATAGTGACTACATTGTCGTAGACCCTTCCCCAACGTCTGTGCTATAAAAGCAATCCCCGTGATAGACTCAATATCAGGATTCTTGTGCCTGTGTAATACACTACTTGAGGGAATGAATACAAAAAATAATTCTCCCAAACAGGGCTCTGACAAGCAAAATGAATATGCCAGCGCCTTCTTTTCAGCTTACTGAGAACTATAGTCATTAAAGAAAATTCCCCTGGGATCTGGCAAATCCAGTGTATTCAATTAGGGAGCTGTCGTACAAGCTGAGATACCATTTTCTGATGTAGGAATTCTAAATTCTGATATTTCATTTTTTTAATTGGCTGAAATGATGTTTGATGACTAATACTTTCGTTCTTCAGAATACATTCTGGTGACATCTTTTTTTAAGTCCCTGATCAGCCAAATAATGAACATTTGATTTACCTACATAGCCTCTCTACATCATTATTGTATATTAAAAATCAGAAAGTAACTCTTAGAGTGTCCTGTAGAAATAGGGTGTCTAACCCTGGTCAACAGATGCGGAGTAGCAGAGAGCGGCTTGATTTCACTCCTTGTATGACAGCTCCCCGATTCAATTTAAACCAAGGGTAAACCAATAGCTGCTGAGAATTCTACTCGATACAAGTCATTTCTAGTAAAAATGTCTTGAAATCCACTCTTAAAGCCCCTCTCTACTACTTGTAGCAACGTGCTCCCTCTATGTAGAAAACAATGTATAAGTGGTGCCTGTTCGTCCCCCATGATCCCCTTTTTCTTATGTTAATTGAGAGCTGATTTGATGAGTTAACCACCTGTCAGTGACCTTGCAGGGAGGTCTAATCCCCCCTGGCTAAACTAGTAGAGACGGGCTTTAAACCAAGGGTAAACCATTATCTACTGAGAACCCTACTCGATACATACAAGTCGTTGCTAGTAAAACTATCTTGAAATCCAATCTAAAGTGATTTTCTGTTCTTGTCATTACCAGCCGGTCAAGGAGCGCATCACCAGACGCAAACCCAACAGCAGACGCCTTTCTTGAACACCACGCTGCCGCCAGGGTATCCAGGTTACAGCACTCTACCTTACTACGCAGCAGGACCGGGACTAATGCCTCCTGGTCTGCAGTATCCTGCGGTCTTCCCTGCTGTAAGTAGTGTAAGTGCTGTGCTTCCCTTCTTTAAAGTCAGTCAATACTTAAAGCCTGTCTGCACTACTTATAGCTACTTGCGCCCTCTATATAGCCAACAATGCCTAAGTGGTGACCGTTGATCCCCCATGGTCCCCTTTTTCTTATGTTAATTGAGAGCTGGTTTGATGAGATAACCACCTGCCAGTGACCAGCAGGGAGTTCTAATCCCTCCTGGCCAAACTAGTGCAGTCAGGCGTTAAAGGTCAATCCAACCCTTGGAATAGGTTTGTTCGAATGAAAGCAGAAAAATCAGAGAAACGGACTGTAGGAAAGTACCGTGCAGTGATCCATTTTGGATTTTCTCATGTTTTAATTGGCTGAAAAGATGTTTGATGACTAATACTTTCATTCTTCAGAATGTATTCTGGTGACATCTTTTTTTAAGTCCCTGATCAGCCACATAGTGAACATTTTGTTTACCTACATAGCATCTCTACATCATTATTGTATATTGTTAATCAGGAAGCCACTCTAGAGTGTGTTGTAATTAGGATTGGGTTTCTCCGGTATAATTGTACCGGAGTGTTGGCTCAGTCAGTAGAGCGTCCGCCTCACAACCGGGAGGTCGTGGGTTCGATCCCTGGCCGCGTCATACCAAAAGACGTTAAAAGATGGGAGTTGCTGCTACCTTGTTTGGCGTTCAACAATATGGGATAGAGGAACGTCGATCTGGCGCTGCTCAGTGGCTGCCGGGCTCACGATCAATTGGGCAAAAAGAATTCATTTCGGTTTAATAAAATTTGGAGTGGACTAAAAGATTATTATTATTATATTATTATCCTATCATTCTACTATCATCTTAGTTTTACATCTTGTCAATGATTTCTTCTAATTACCTTGTAATCAGACCAATAATAACAATTAAAAAGTTATGAATGTTTGAAATATGAGATCATTGTTCAAGTGGTAACAAAGAAAAGGGCCTTTCAAAATGGGTAGTTGTTCTTACAGAGGTTCCCTTTCATACCAATGGCATTCAGGGAAACTCCCTCCCATAGTGCACTCTTTATAGACATGCAGTTTTTCTATGACGGTTTCCACCAAATCAAGTTTGATTGCATCATCCCTGTGGTTATTTCCCTTGTAGGTGCAGCCAACGGGCCGAGCCCAAACAGGAACGACGCCCCATTCTGCCTTCCAGCAGAGTGGATACACACAACCAGCGTCGCATAATGCTTATGGTACAGGTAAGATCAACCTCACGCAAGCCCTGGTTTAGAAATGAGTAAACCGCTTCGAAAACTGCCCCTCCAAACATCTGGGGGAGTGAATGTTAGCAAGAGGGGATAAGTCAAAGATAAACTTGAGTTCTGGTATGCGATTGCATTGTGAAAGAAAAGGTGTGGAATGGATCAGCAAAGTTGATCATATAGCATGTAAGTAATGGTGTGTAATGCAAGGTTCTGGAGTCATCAAAATCATCATAAATTTGGCAGAGTCTTGGTAAAGTAACAATCACTTACACAGAAAGATGTATATGGGACAACACACATGGTGTCGGGGCTAGTACTACCCTGATTTCCTTATCTTTCTATGCTCATTACTCAGCCAGTATACATTTTCTTCCAAAATTGTTTGGCCCATGACGTTTATTTGTAATCTTGAACATTCAGTGTAAGTTTCGTTAGATTCTGTGAGAATTCATTTTCTTTTTTTACCGGAACTCAAGTTTATCTTTAAGGATTTGAAAGCCCCACTGCACTACTTATAGCTACTTGCGCCCTCTGTATAGCAATCGATGCTTAATCTGTGCCTGTTGGTCCCCCATGATCCTCTTTTTCTTATGTTAATTGAAAGCTGATTTGATGAGATAACCACCTGTCAGTGACCTTGCAGGGAGGTCTAATCCCCCTGGCCAAACTAGTGCAGACTGGCGTTAAAAACAATAATGAACCGTAAGCATAACTCCTTGATCTGGTATTATAAGATGCAGACGTGAAGCACACAATGTTTTTAAAGGTAAAGACCAGTATTGGAAACGCCCCAATTTCAAAAAATGAAATCCAAGCTCTAATTACCAATCATGTGAAAGAATATGTTTTGACTAATACATGATGATAAAAAATTTGCCGGGAAACCGCCTACTAATTCATATATTTGGTAAATTTGTTTCTCTCATGGTCTGTGAGAGATATAGGGTAGTCCCATATACATCTTTCTGTGTATAGTGCTTGTAACTTTACGAAGAATGGGCCAAATTTCTTATCATTTTGATGATTCCAGAACCTTGCAGATGCTAGATGCTAGATGATCAACCTTTTCTGATCGATTCCACAATGTTTCTTTCACAATGCAATCGCATGACCATAACTGGTCTTTACCTTTAACTTTCCTACACATGTTTTTGAAGTGGTTTATTGTCTTATGTCTTAACTCATGGTCTATATTGGTAAGGGCAAGGAGTGGTAATCATTTCATCTCAATACAACTTCACTTGTGGTTCCATTAGCTGGTATTTGTTTGTAAGTTTCGTAACACTGGTCCTGGGACTGCACTTTGTTTTAGTGGTTTAAGATTATCCATTGATGGATGGATGGACATAGATATAAGTTCACATACTTCTGCAACTAAACGATGTGAATGTTTAAAAAGGTTCTACCATGTAATGTAAGTTTTCTCCGGTGTCTTGTAGTATTAGTACCTTGTGGTGTACAGTTTTGGATTTTCTCATGTTTTAAATGGCTGAAATGATGTTTGATGACTAATACTTTCGTTCTTCAGAATATATTCTGGTGACATCTTTATAAGTCCCTGATCAGCCTCATATTGAATGTCTTATTCACCCACACAGCATCTCTACATCATTATTGTAATATATTTTCTATGGTTAATAAGGATGTAACTCTTTATGGTGTTGTAATTAGGATTGGGTTTCTATCATTCTAAAGAGTGGTCAAGTGTGATGTCATCAAAATACATTTTTAGATTTTCCAAATTTGAACTTCATTTTCCGAAAGTGCATCAAAAATAATGTGAAATGTCGGAAACCAATTGAATATGTTAAAGTATTGGCTGAGATATGACCATCCGAATAAATAGATTTCAATAGGAAAGTATTCTATTGTTATTTTGCTCTGGTTCATATTGTTATGAACCAGATGGTCATATCTCAGCCAATACTCAATTTGTTTTCAACATTTGGACATTATTTTTGATGCACTTTCGGAAAATGAAGTTCAAATTGAGAAATTGTAAAAATTGATTTTTATGATTTCATAGCTTCGGTACTCTATGAACTCCATTCTATCTCTTATCACTGATTTCTTCTAACACCCCTGTACGATTCGTTGTGTTACTCCACCCAGGTTATGATGAACTAACCCCAACACCAGACTTCACTAAGGGAGGGTACAACAGTGTGTCCCAATCACAGTCTAAAGGCTCAGGGGTTACAGGTAATCTTCATTACATAATCTTTGCTGTGTTTTTATATACACCTCGTAATCTTGTACCTTCATTGATATCTTTATCTTCATGAATATATCATATTAACTGCTTGCTTGAATATCTAATAACTTTTGGTGTAGTTTAACAGATTGGTGTAATAGATTGGATGGTAGATGAGTGTAGGGAGCATGACGAGCCTGAATGGTCCTATCCTGTAGGCATATCACACACTCAAACTTTGTAACAGGTGCTGTTTCAAGACACCATAGCTTTTGATAATAATAATAGGTCCATTTATATAGCGCAGCCACTATATGAATATACTCTATTTCGCTTGATACAAGGGATCATATTATTACCCCGGCTGTAGCTGAGCTGCCATGATGTGCTAAAGCATTCAAGGGATTTCTTCCTACCGGGTACCCATTTACTTCACCTGGGTGGAGAGCGGCAAATGTAGATTAATGTCTTGCCAAAGGACACGAGTGCCACGGTACGGCTCAAACTGCAGACCCTTTGATCATTTAGGCTCTTCTGTCCGTTCAGAATGATATTGCCTCGTGCTGAGTAGTTGAGTGAAGAAAACATTCTGTCCATGGAGTAGTCATCCTGTAAATACCAACTGAAAATTAAACAACCAGAACAGGAGGAATCCACATTCAAGGGTTTGGCTGATTTAGCATGACCACAATTTGACCTAAATTTTGAGAGAACCATTGATTGGAGTATCGCTTATCTGCCGTTTCATAATCTAGCTTCTAATTATTGCGTAACTACCGAGACCCACTGATGACTTCTCCTTTATATGTCGCTTCATTTCGCTTGTTCTAGAATCACAACTTGTAGTCAATATAATAACCTTCCAGACAATGCCATTCGTTACATAATCTAGCTTCTAATTAACGCTTTACTACTTAGAGTCAGTGATGACTTTTCATTTAGACGTCGCTTCATTTCGCTTGTCTTAGAATAACAATTTGTAGTCAATATAATAACTTTCCAGACAATGCCAGTCGTATTAGTATATGTAGCAAGTTTTGAATACTTCAGCAGGGTTGTTTGATTTAAATCATGTCGATTTAAATCATGATTTAAATCGCGATTTAAATCACTTGATTTTTTTCAAAAAAATCACTGATTTAAATCAACTTTTATGAAAAAAATTAGTTTTCTCTATTTTCTCTTCTTCTTAACAGATACTTTCAATGTAATCATTTTCATTTCTGTTCCACATGCTTTAGAGATACTTTAAAAGAATGATACACCCTCATGGAGTCTGATTTAACACCACTGTTTTATTTTCAAATTGTAAAACAAGCAAAACTGATGAAAACAACAAGTTTCTAACGAAGTAATGATAAATAACTCTCTGTATGTACACCAAACTGTTAAATCTTCAATAAAATAATATATAAAATCTACAAAGGTGCTCAAAGTCCACAACTTGGATACTTTTACAAAACAGCTGAACTACTTGTATGTACCTCCTTCTTGTTACTATTAATACCCATTCTTTCAATTACTTAAGTTGAAGGCATATGTGTACATTTGATAAGAATTACATGTATATTTGCATGCTTGTGTATTTTCTTATCAATACCCATACATTCAATTACACAATTTCAAAGTACACATGTATACTTAATAAGTAAGAATTTAAAAATGGGAAAGTTGCTGGGCAAGTGTTACTGTATGCAGCAATACAACTGCTGTGCTTGCTTGTTCATGTAATAGTTTGAAAAAACAGCACATCAATGATGTGGTGGACAGTGGTGCTTATCCTGCATCTTGCAACGAAATTTATTGAAGTTTTATTTGGAACTGAGGTTACACTGTAATGAAAACATAAAATGTGTATTTTGTTACAAGCATATCAGGAAGTGCCTATTGCAAATCTGGTTAAATATTACATTCAAATTAGATGTTAACGTACAGACTGATATAAAAATTTCAAGAGTTTAAATGTATACATAATACATAACATTACTTGGGCTTCCATAAAATGTCCCTCTCTATAATGCAAATAAATAAAAAAAAAATAAAAAAAATTACCTGTATATAAGTGGATTATTGTGTCAAATAGTACAATACACAATGTTCAAAAGACTACTTGACCACTATTATTGGTGTAAAACAGTTTAAATATAGTCTAAAACTTGTTAAGTGTGACCATTATTTTTCGTTGGAAAAAAATCAAAAAAATCTGATTTAAATCATAAAAATCCGATTTAAATAAAAAAAAATCAGATTTTTTTTATTTAAAAAAAAAAAAAAAAAAAAAAATCAACAACCCTGTACTTAAGTTTGCTCCAAGTTGAAACTAATTATTGCTTATGCCATCTTGCCTGTAATATTTTAACAATTAGTTATAGATTTTTGCTCACATTTGAGTGTTTCCCTTATTATAATAACTAAATGTGTTGACTAATCCTGTCTTCTTTTCCCATCACTTCCTCTCTTCCCATTTCTTTCTTTTCCTATTTTCGTCCCTTTCCATATTTTCTTTGGTATTCCCCTTATTTTTTACTTTTCTCATTTTCTTTTTTTCATGTATTGATTTCTCCTTATTTTCTTGTCTTTTTGTTTTCATCATCTTTTTTTTGCATGTGATTATATTAATTTATTGCATCACTGTGTGTTACATGGGTCATATCACCCTCCATAACCATCACTCTCCTCCTTCTCATCCTTCTCATCCCTTTCTCTTCCCGTTCTCACCCCTTTCTCCTCCCTGCCCTCTCATCCCTTTCTCCTCCTTCTCCTCCCTTTCTCCTCCCCTTCTCCCCTTCTCCTCCCCTTCTCCATTTCTCTCATCAATTCCTCTCTTTCCTCTCATCCATTTCTCCACCCTTTCCTCTTCTCCCCTTCTCATCCCTTTCCTCTCCTCCCTTTCTCCTCCCTTTCTCCTCCCTTTCTCCTCCCTTTCTCCTCCCTTTCTCCTCCCTTTCTCCTCCCTGCCCTCTCACCCCTTTCTCCTCCTCCTCCTCCTCCTCCCTTTCTCCTCCCTTTCTCCTCCCGTTCCCCTCCTCCCTTTCTCCTCCCTTTCTCCTCCCTTTCTCCTCCCTTTCTCCTCCCTTTCTCCTCCCTTTCTCCTCCCTGCCCTCTCACCCCTTTCTCCTCCTCCTCCTCCCTTTCTCCTCCCTTTCTCCTCCCTTTCCCCTCCCTTTCCCCTCCCTTTCCCCTCCCTTTCCCCTAATCCCTTTCCTCCCCTCACCTCCCCCTCTCATCCTACTGGTATGGCTTGCTACATCTGGTATGCATCTACCATCCTATGACTGGTGTGATGTGCACAAACTAACAGGCAGAGTAACAGGTACATTCACATTCTTAGTTTACGTTGCACCTTTCTTATTCATCATCCATAGTTGATGAATACGAATATATTATACCTTAAAACTTGCATCATGGTGAAATAAATATTTAATTTAGCCATTTATGGGCAATATAATATTCAGTCTACTCTCACTGTCTTTGATTAGTGCATGCCCAAGATATGTATTCTTTAGTTGAGATGAAGTGCTTGTTCCATACCAATTGTTTCTTCACCTTTTGTGTGGTTAAGAAAGACTTCAATATCTAGGTTTTGTTAAAAGGGCGCTGCTGGAATTTTCACAGTTAAAATCTCAAATCTTGTAAAAGTATGGTGCCAAAATTTCTTTCGAAAATTGAAATTTTGCATCTGGCAGCGTTTTATCACCCCATTTGTTGTGTAAAAAATGAGTGCTTCGTTTTTAATCATAGAGAAAACCTTGAACCTTTTGATCTAAAATTTTTTGCACATACTTTCAATAACTCATCTTTGCTACTAGATATACATTTTGAGATAAGTTTTTGAGGACTTGCAAATCCTTGATAGGGGCTTTTCTAGGAAAGCTTATAATTAAGAAACTGTAATTGATCGATTGTGGAACCACTGTCAGTTCACCTTCTTCATGATAGGAATAGAACAAGCTGATACCATTTTATTCATCTTCTTCCTCTTCAATCTCGCAGCTTCAGTGAGTTCAGCATCAACGGGACCAGCCGACCTGGCGGGTTCATCGTATTCCAGCAAGTCACACACCCAGCCGTTTGAAAACAAGGGAGGCTTTCACACGGGCACCCCGCCCCCGTTCAACTACCCCCTCACAGCGGTGACCCAAGCAGGTGCATTGAACCCGGCGGCGGCCGCAGGAGCAGCCCAGCAGGCCCACTACGCCCCCTTCGTGCCCATCCTACCACACCACTCTGCTGCAGCCATGCTAGCTCATCAGCTACCGGGAGATACCCAAGGGGCGGGGTCGACGGGACGATCGCAGGTCGGAGCCTCTCAGAGCTCGAAGACCAGTAAACCATCCTACGGTACCAACTACTGGCCAAACTAAGACCCTTATCCACCACTATCACCACTACCACCTGCATACACCAGGTTTCACGGAGAGTGCCTGACAGTGTATACTAATACACTGGTCTTCTATCAATCGTTTAACATTTAACATCCTTACCATCGATCTTCTATTTCGGTTTGCCTTTGGAAACTGTTATTGATATACAAACGTATTTCGGACATAGGCTCGTATTTTGTGTGATACTCTGAATATGGTGTGTGCTGGGGTGGTGGTGTAGCGGACACTGTCGATATGCGATATGAATTTAAACCTTAATTTTAGATTGTGCTCTACATTTAATGCAATTAATTCAGTTCAAATCCATGTGTATACTATGTTATAACTTAAAAACATTGTAGTTGTGTCTCTATGGAGCTTTGTGTCGTGTGAAATAGATAAAAATCTGATATAGAGTATTAGCTATCTCTCTTCATCCTTTTCATATCAACCAAAGAATTAGTCACTAACTTTCTGCAATATTCCATTAACATAGCGGTGGTGGCATGTTTGATGATTCTGCTTCTTACGTAATAAATGAATTCTATGTTGCAGCCTTTCACAAGCGGAGAATCGTTAATCATTCTTGCTTGTTTCAGCCTGTAATTATTCAGATTCCGTTATATTGCAAGGACATACAATGCTACATAAGACCGAGCTACTGTGTAGGATCTCCATAAACCTGTATGACTTGATTTGGTTGGGAATGTTTCATGAATAACGTGCTGCATTAGAGTATAGCTGAAACATTGCATGATTGCTTCAAGTCTGAACTGAAATAATCACCCGATACGTCCTCGAATTCCACAGTAAAGAACTCACTAAGATCCCAAACTAGAAACCTTGATATATTTCTTTCACTATAGAACCCTATTTGACAGGAAGATTGCACCCCAGTCACGCTTTCAACAACATCCTTTTCAAACCAAAATTCTAGTTTATATTATTAAACTGTTGAGAGGGTTTCAAACTAAAGTCGCCAGCCACAATATTTCCTTACGCACTATGAACTTCTAGTCAAAGTCACTATGCCTCTACCATGCTTCATGAAAATAGGCATGGCCCCTCTATTCCTAAAATCAATTAATTGCTTAGTGATCGAAACATCACTCTGTGACCACCATAGAACCATGGTTCATTAATGTTTTAGCCTGCTGTGGATATATACACATTTGTTTTTTATTTCCTATGGAAATACGTTAACAGCTGTCAATTAAGCTATTTTCCTGTATTATAATACTACCCATTTCTCTTAATCAATAGACTTTGCTTGAAACCACCACACAAGAAATATTTCTGTAATGAGGATTATGCAGACCTGGTGGGTGTTTCACAAAGATCTTATCTTTAAGTTGGACTTAACAATTATGGAAAGCCGTTATTATCTTTGAAATTTTTTAAAAGGCATACATTTTGATTCAAATCATTCATATTTTCTATTATTGAAGAGATTTCATTTTCTTGATATAGAATTTATGAAAAGTCTAAAATACTTGAATTTTTGCTTTTGAATGTATTTTATTTTAAGGCTACAAATTGCTCTCCATAATATTTAAGACCAACTTAGACTTAAGTTCGACTTGGATCTTTGTGAAACACCCCCCCCCCCCCAGGTGCTTGATTTCAATCATTGGTTTTTTAGGGCTAGGGTGTTTGCCTAGCTCTGCTGGTATATTGAATGATTTCAAGTTGGGTGTTAGTGTTAGTGTTAGTGTTTAGAGCATTCACGAGCTCTTAAATCGAGCGAAAAATTTGCTGATGAAATTAAGAGCCCGATACCGATATCAAAATCGATAGTTTAACACCAGCTGTGACGTCACCACATACTTGATTTCACGACGATGATTTAAAAATAGTACATCAAAACTAAAGATATCATGAAAAATACAGAATAAATTTACACCTATTTCTCTGGTCTTATAAAATAACTCACGTTATACAAAAGACTATATAAATTACCTGTTTCACATAATTTCATCTGATCGTCAGACAATAAATTGGCGTCGTTCGTACGTTGACTGTGTGCGGGTACAACACTAACACCGAACTGGAAATCAACATGTGCTTAATCCCTAGGGGCTAGTGTTAGTGAATAGGAAATGTGTACGTAAAATATTAACACCAGCCACAAAGGTCGGTTCAGCAGACGACAATTTTGCAAAATCGATAACACTAGCTACCGGAAGTTGACGATATTCAGAGGTCAAAGCCTTAACACCAGCTGATTTCCATTTCGGTGTTAAGGCTGGTGTTAGTGTTTATTAAACACTAACACCAACCTTAAACACCCAACTTGAAATCACTCATTGTATTCATATGACACGGTACCAGTTGGAGCCATAAGACACCTTTCATTGTGAACAGAATGCTTCCGGTTTGTGGCTTAGACTTTATGGCAGAAGGATGTTAAAGATGATTTCTGTACTGCAAATGTCCTGTCTGGTTTAAACAAAACATTTAAAGATTAATCTTTAGGGATAAGAGAGACCTTCAGTAATTGTTTACGTTTTAGGTTTGAAGGTGAAACGGGGGGAAAAGGGGACTGGTTTGAGGTATTATGTGTCTACACTTCTTTACATGTATGTATCCAAAGGAAAGATTTCTTTCTGACACACGGATTGGTTATGAGTTTAGTTGTGCATTTTCTCTTTCGAGATACCATAGTGTGATTCATCTTTGTGATTGATATTCTGTCTAGTCGCTGCTTTATTTGACCGTTTATTGCTTCCATATCATCGTGTGAACATTGTCATTTGGTGCAAAGGGGTTAGTAGAATGGGGGCGGGGAGGGTGGGGGGATAGATCTTAACCGCCTTATAACAGGTTAGCTCAACTGAATGAGGTAGGGGTAGATAGATGATGTAGGTTCTCAAACACTCTAAAAACCTAGAGACACGGACAGACAGCATTTGTGCGGTGGTCCGTGGTTAGTTTCTAGAGCATTATTTATGACTGATCTGTGTAAGTATCGTATCAGGAGGCTTTATTTTTACCCTTGTAAGCATAGTAGGGATATTTGTACATGTATCAGACGCCTGTAGAGACAATTTACAATAATTTCTTTTTTTCGCTCCTCTGGTGTAATTTGTGAAGTGGATTTGATTGTGTATAGCATCTAGAATTATAAAGTCTATGTTGTGTATGAGGAAGGGGGTCATCTCCACAAAGCTTGCCTTTTTGGACATGCTGAGTAGACCATTTCCCTTTTTTTTCTTCATTTTTTATTATTATTATTATTATTATGAAGAAACGTTTCTACTCTACGGTTGGCAGTTGTACATTGAAACTTTGACAGAGTGTAATATTATACATGATGGTAAATACCTAGTTGTTATAGTGTGTAGCAATGTAAACACAGAAGATGTTTCTATTTTGCGTTCAGGTGTTTTTTCTGATATGTAATAATGCCCTGTAAATGAGATTTTAAAAGTCTTGGCTGTAAAGAAAAAAATTGCTACTTGGTTTCAGTCGTGTCCTTAAATGAGTATATTTTCTTGTCGGATTGGTAGTTTTCTGCATGGATAAAATATACCGGTAGGCATTTTATGATACTGTATATCATAAATAGAGAGAGGGAGAGAATGAATATCACAGACAGAAGAGAGTAAGGAAGAGCGTGTGTTGTGTGTAATTTTAGTTTTTCCAGACATGTATGAATCGGATAGAGAGAGAGAGACGGAGCGATGGGTACATACAAAGAAAGAGAGCAAGAGAGGGGGAGGGGGTGGAGAGATGCACAGACAAGAATAATTTGGATTAGAAAGGAAGACGGCTGCAAGAGAGAGGTGAAAAATTTAGATAAGAAAGGAAGAGATGGTAGTGAGAAATGGTAAATAACTAATGATGCAGCGTATTTATAATGAACCAACTTTGAATGAATTCTCTGCCAAAGGCGCAAAAGAAAAGTAAGAACATGAAAAAATGCATACCGGTAAGTAAGACTAGTTGGATCTACTGGAAAGCAGTTTTGCAAGGATGTCGGTCACTCGATAGTGTCTGACGGGGAATTCAAGAAAGTAAACGGGGGGGGGGGGGGGGGGGGGGGGGGTTCCTTGCATAATTTGAATACTAGGACATTGGTAATGTTTACATTTCACAGATGGGACATATTCATAATTCCTGCAATGTTCTACAGAATTCCATATTGGCTGCAAATGGGGCATAGTAAAGTCTGGTTTTTACAAGAAAGAAAGAAAAAACTTTGCTACAAAGATTTTTTCTTTCTTGTCAAAACCAGACTTTATAATTATACATACTGGTACACGTTTGAAATGTATATTACACTGAAGATAAAGTAATAAAATCAGAATAGGATGAAGATGGACAATGATAAAAGGGAATTTTCTTCTACACATCTAATTTTACTGACGACTCGTAAATAATACAAATGAACAAGATTTTGTTTTTATTCATCCTCTCTATTACTACTCCACAAATGCATACAAAAATACAAATTAATGTTGCTGCACAAAAGAATAAATAATGACAACTCGAGGTGCGACACATGCAACTGTTTAAACCATGGCAGAAGTCATCACCGAGTTACACAAAAAGAAGTCCTTTGACCGGTGAATTTCTGTTTGGTCTACAACTAGTTTTTCTACTACCCAATTATTCTATCCCCATATGGTGTACACCCAGCCAGTCTACTATCCATATGGTCTGGTAACAATAATTTAATCTTGAATAATAATCATCAAATGATTATCATCAAATTATTATTACCCGTAGACCTAATGGATGGTAGACGAAATGGGCATAAGACAAACTGAATTAAACTAGATGATTATGGATAGTAGACCAATTGGGTAGTAGACGAACTAGTTGTAGACGAAATGGCTAATAACCTTCTGATCAAAAAATTATACTTTAATTTGGTCTGTTTTAATAGTGAACTAAAAATTCTGGACTTTTTCGACATGTTTTTGTAGAGTATTTGATTGCACACAAGTCAATTAATGATTATCAAAACAATCTTGCTTCTATCTACAATAAATTGTGACCTCTATAACACGAGTGATAACTTACAGGACAACACTTTACTTCTATCCCTTTTATCCATCATAATATTCCTCCAGCCTACATCTTATATGAACTCTGTCCCCTCCTTGACAAAACTTCCCTTTTCCCCCGCTTGTTCAGTGTACGCAACCACCAAAATCTAAACTAAACCGGCATTTTGCTTTCTGAGAGTGAGTTATGTCCTTTATGTACAAGGCAGAACACATTGGTGAAGATTCACGCAGCACATACGCTATCAGCAATTAACAAATGTACATGTACGCATAAGTACATGTGTACAGAGTAACCCATGATCACAATCTGACAGTTTGTCCTTCATTAATATCTTTATGAAAATAAAGATAATAGTTAATAACACACGCAACTTCACGAGGAGATATATGACTGATTCTGACACATAAATTGCACATAATTTTTTTCATTGTCAATTATCATAAATTAAGTTTTTTCAGATATACATTTAAATATATCTATATACCGGTATGTAATCGTCTTACTCCACATCATAAACCTTTGGAATGTACATATACATTAAAATAAATTCTAAACATTGGCACATCGATAATTCAAATAAATATTTATACATGTATGACAATAAGTACCTTTGGACAAACGCAAGTGCGACAATATACAATCATCATAAAACTATCTATCACTTAAATACACTTGACAAAGTACCTATACATTTGTGAGTACTTTCCACACAATAAGTACCTAATTCATTTTCCTGTGTAACAAACTGCAGTACTGCATTGCATTGCTAACATTGCTCATGGTGCATATATAATCATGTACAAGTAACTTTTGAAGATCCTTATCATAATCAACATCACATTGATATGTCACTTAATGTACACAATGTTTCTAAACACTTGACATGAATATACATACAGTATCTCTACCAAACTGGCAGGTTTGGTATAGTTAGTGAACATAGAAACATAGATTTATTCATGCTTATGTACAATAATATCATATACTTTGCAGATAAATAGTTACTGGCAAGCTCAACGGCTATTTCCTCGTCTGTTCATGACCTGTACACATACTCACAAGGGAAGCTGAATGCCCTAGGGCAACAACATCTTCATTCACTTTTTTCAGCTCCTTTAACATTTTGTAGAATGTATTACATCTTGTGCATTTGACAATCGACACATATTAACAACATCAATTTAGTTTCGTTAGTGCGCATACGCCTACATTAAATCACATGTACACACTTTTGTATTTAGGAGAAGATTCTTCATCGTGTCCCATTATTATGGCATTTCGAAAGGTGGTCATGAATTAAACACTTCAATTTGTTCAGATATGTACAGGTGTTTCTATCTTGGCCATCAGGCCAGCAGTTCATCAAGGGATCATGACTTTACACACATCGCTTGGGGATCTTGATTCGATCTTCCAGGGGTAGTGAATGGGGTGCAGACATCTCATGAGCAATATAAATCAAACTAGTAAATTCTTCAGATCATTCACATGATTTGTAAATATCAAAATTTGCATTGCACAAAAAAAAGAAGAGGGATTTGAGCCATTCCATTCCAGGGTGGGCCCTATTGGCAGACACATTTTCATGAATCTGTTTCCTGTTCTTGAATATTTGTTTCGGAGTCCAGGTACCGATCAAAATTATTAGAAGGAATCATGGAGCCGAAAGGGTAAACACCACTAATGGATCCAATCTTTTGAGTTACAAATTACAATCTTGCTTTGTCCTATGATGCAAATTATCTGATTTTCACAACTAGTAATAAAGACCTAGGGCTCGATAACACACAGCTTAACGCTTGATTTATAATAACAGCAATTGATTGCACATACCGTAGTGATTAATACACCATTTTTGTACTGGAATCAAATTCAATACACAAGTCTTTGTTAAGTGCCTCATAACAAATTATTACATTCACATGTTACAAATAAATGTAAATCAGTTGTCAGAATGCAAATTGCATACATTTGTTGTTGCTAGGTAGGAAAAACATTATGGTTTGCCCTACTGAACAACATGTAATGTATGCAATCCGCATTCTGAATATTGAAATACAATTATCCATAATAATGAATGAAATAATTTGTAAAGAGGCACTTAACAAAGTTTTATGTTTTAAATTTGATCACATTATGAAAATGGCCTATTGCAAACTAGCAGTCAACTGCTAATTTATAACTGTGTTACTACGGTACGCTATTGACAAGTCAATGCAACTTTCAGCAAAGGATTCAGACCAGATCCCCTTTATCCAAGTCAAACTTTGACCTGAGCACGCGGACTGGTTTCCGTTCCCCCTCTTCCAGGTTAGCATCCTCCTGCATCTCAAAGCGATGAGAGAGAAGGGAACGGAAACCAGCTTCACTCAGCCCCAGATCAGCCAGCAGGAGCTTGGCCCAGTCGTAGGGAAACTCAGCGATGGTCTCGTGAGTGAACGGAGAATCATCCAGCCGGTCGAAGGAGGAGAGGGGGTTGAAGGATGACGGTGAGGGGGTGTCGGAGGGTGTGGTAGGGGCGGTATCGGGGTTGAAGATGGGTATGGTAGGGGTCTCGTCCGTCTGCAGGAGTGGGGGGATGTCTAGATGATGCTGAAACCATGCCTGTAAGATTAAAGTTAATTACATTTGTGTACAACAATGTTATTAAATTAAAGGCTTATACATCTTAGTAATGATCCATATATACAAGTGCATTGCAACTGTTTAATAAAAGCTAGGAGCCTGACATTTCATAGACAGAATTTCATTGACTGTCTGCAATACACCTATTTCTGCAATTCAAAATACAACCTTGCTGCAGGCATACAGAAATTTCTTTTTTAATAGGTCATAGAAGTAGTAGGCATCCCCCTTAACTTTAGACATGTTATCTATCATTTTCATTCATTTAAATGACAATTTCTTTAACATTTTCATTTATATTAACTATCAATGCAAAGTGCAGAGAAGAAAAAAATAATGCTCAGAAAGTAATTGGAATATTTTTATGAATTCCATTATGAAGTAACCTGGTCCAAAACATAGAAAACGGATCAATTCATCCTATACATCAAGATTTGGCACAGCAGCCATGGGAGATGCTTTGTCTCCAATATTCATTAATACTGACTTCTATTAATGTACATGACAACTCTTTATTGTTCAAGAAGGTATAACTTACCAGGTTATTCCTGAAGAGGATGCTGATTTTCCTCAGTCCAGCAGCACCTAATAGGAAATAGGATAAAGATTTTGGAATTTAGTTGATTCTGAAACTACTTGAAACTGACACAAATCAACTCCCAACGCTTGTTTAGGATATTACACAGACTTATCATAGATCGAAGAAGGTAAATCATATCTATATTATAAAAATAATGAAAACAACTTGTACACACATTAATGGTATTTCCACCATACATAAATTTACTACGCATAACACTAGAATCATCTAGTACATACCATCCTTCGTCCTGGTCACATGGTCTGCCTGTACAGTGAAGTAATCTTCTACGAAGTCTAGACTAGATTCATCCCAGTTGTAGTTGGCTAGCTCACCTAGGGATCTGACCAAACCAAATCAACAATATGATAACTATTTTACATCATGATCATGAGGAACAAAAGGAATCATCTACATGTACATGTATAAAATAATAATAATTAAATTTATAGGGCGCTTAACAAAATGCACAGGTGGTATTGTCTAACTCAGTATAATTATGCAACATATTCAATAGCTTAAAATGAATAGCTGTATTAAATAGAACAGACATACATGTACAGGAGCTTTTGGTCTTGCATAATCTATCAGGTAATAGTATATTTGTAAAGCGCTTAGAGTCATTTGTATTAAGCGCTATATAAAAGCTAAATATTATTATTATTTTTATCAGAGTGAAACTAAAATTTTAAAAATTAAGAGCAAGATATTGAAGACAAAAGATTCTGCCTCGAAAGCTAATCTTTATTTTTAATAGCACTAATCATCACTTTACTCGTTTAGACTTTTAGATTAGAGAGGGAGATGAACATTTAAATGAATAATAGATTCATAATTAAATAAACAAGGTATAATGAAGGATCAGAATGGACTGGGCACCTGATTCACCATGTCACACATCACATGTAAAGCATAATGGCACTCAAAAGATACCCACAGATGTTACGAGCTAAAAGAGCATTAACTTACTTGTTAGAATAATAATAATAATAGCAATAATGGTGGAGTTTTGTATAGCACTCATGTCTGGCGCATTGCCACACCATTATTATTACCCTGGCTTTACAGCACTCAAGCATTTCAAGGAACTAATTCCTGCCAAGTACTCATTTACCTAACCTGGGTGGAGTGTGGCAAATGTAGATTAATGTCTATACATATGTTATTCATACATGTAGGGTGTATCAGCGCTCAAAATACACGGGGGCGGTGGGCGATTCGCCCCCGTGGGCTACATAATCGCCCCCGTCAGGTTGCTCACGGGGGCGATTGCAAAATTAAAAATCGCCCCCGTGGAATTATAAAATAAAGATTATCTTTTCTGTTATAACTTTAACACAATGTTGAGTTTCAATTTTCAAACCTTAAACCAATTAAATGGAACTTAGATTAGCGTGCAAGATTTCTCGTTTTATGAGTAGGCCTACACTCTTATTTCCACGGAGTCAAATTTCACTCTGAATGGCGTCAGCTGGGAGTCAACTCTATTCCTAGTTAAAGTGACACGGAAAAGGAGTCATCTTGACTCTGAATTGAGTCAATTCTCAGCTGATGGAAATAAGAGTGAAAGTTAATTATTACCGATTCAGCTCGCAGTGCAGTGCTGCCGTCATCAGTGGTTATAGGCCTACTGCGCCGTTAGTAGCGGTACGTGTGCACGCTGCCGCGCCATGTCTGCTGGAGCTGGAGGCGATCGCGCAAGGGCAGAAACATGGTCATGGAGAAGTTTTTCGTTCTGGTGATTTCAAATGACCAGCAAATAATGAAACTCGACCAGTAAATCAATATTAGGGACTTTTAGATTTGAACGATGAGAACGTGGACTGCAACGTGTGACCTCCTTTTAAGGCAGTGCCAGTGCTTAAAAGGACGTGACGTGTGGCTGCCAGTGCCTTAAAAGGACGTAAAACGTCCACGTCCACGCAAATCTAAAAGTCCGTATTGAGAAGAAGAGGAAGACCAAGATGTCGTGGAATGATATGGTAACATGGGCAGATCTAGGGGGGGGGGGGGTTAGGGGGTTTAACCCCCTCCTCCTGGCTCCCTTGGGCTGCCAAGTGAAAATGTGATATTAAAGCGGGGGGGGGGGAGATGCTGGAGAGGAGGACTACTAATCTATTTTATTTTTTTCAGGGGGGGGGGGAGTGAAGCGCCGTTTCAGCATGACTTTCTTATTAACTCTTACTTTCACCTATCTCAGATAACCCTAAGTTTTTGGTTGCTGCTTTATATGTAGTTGATAATGCATGATTAAAATAAAGAGAGAGAGAGAGAGAGAGAGAGAGAACCACCATCATTTTGCAATGGTTCAGGGTTCGTGTAATGTACATTTGAAACCATTTCTCAGCGTCTCAACTCTAAAAAAATAGCAAAACTATTTTTAAGGAAAAGCATTATACTGAATTAAATAAAGATTAATAGCTTTATATTGGATCATACTAATACTCATACATGCTAAAGACAATGTGGTATTTGTATAGAGGTATTCCAAAATGACATTCTGATAATCAACATTTTGTTTTGTTGTCATAATTATATACGCGTAATACAACTGATCTTTTTGATTTCTGAACGTGACATAGCTTCTTCTCTCCCTGCAAACAAAAAAGAAAATAAGGTTATGATTTAATAAAAGGATCATGCGACAAAATGATCATTATGATTCAAATTGATGCAAGGATTTTTTTTTTGAATAAGCAATGCTTTTCACCAGAATCTTCTTTGTAAAAACGACTTTTACAAATCTCAGCCATGCAAATCTGCCACTGTGTTGTAAGATCACTTTCAGATTAGGAGAAGTGTATTCTATAATGAGTATTTTACATTGAATATGGAACGTCTCAACTCAGAAAGCATGGATGAGATTTGTAAAAGTTGTTTTTACAAAGAAGATTCGGGTGAATAGCAGTGCTTATTGAAACAAATATTCGCATCAATTTGAATCACAATCATTATTTGTCGCTTAATCCCTTTTCATGACCTTGTTTTCTTTCTCGTTTGCAAGGGGAGAGGAAGATTATGTCACATTAAAGACATTATAAAGATCAGTGTTGTATGCGTATATATTATATACACATGCCAGTAACAGTAGCTTGTAAATTTGTAAGAGGGAAAATGCTGATTGAAATGATAATGATGAAATAGCAAATAATTGAGGAGTATCGTAGGTACCAATTCAATGGATATTTGTATAAAAAAGAGCCCCCGTCAGTACTAAAAGAGCCCCCGTGAGAAGGCTCACGGGGGCTCTTTTTTGGGGGGAAGAGCCCCCGTGGACAAAAAATTAATTTGAGCCCTGTTATACACAGGTTGTTCGAGCTCCCTGCAGAAGATATTAATGCCTTCCTTCATTACTTACATTCCGTTCAAGGAGTTTCAATGAAGTGTCAATCATTTACACACCCCATGGCTAAGACCATGAGGGACATCTTATTCACTTTAATATCCCACTCGTCATCTGCCTAAAAGTGGGAGTGACTTACTCGTTTCCAAGGTGATCTATGATGATGTCAATCTGTTCTTGTAGCCAATCAGAGTTGAGATTGATGAAGGTATGCAGAGCATTTGGTAGCTTCTCTTGGGTTCCTTCATAAAGCAAGCAATTGAATCAACTTCAGTAATCATGCATTATTCTACGATTTATTTTGCACAAACCAAATCACAAAAACAATATGTGTCCTAGGGGGTTGAAATCAAATTTTAAGAAATGGGTAGGAATCGGATCATATTTTCATGTGCAGGACCGATCTTTAATGTTGCTATCTGAAAGACGATTCTCTGTCAGACTCTTTTATAGGTAGAAAAGAGAGTTGGAAACTTTTAAAGATAAAGTTCAGTTCTGGTCATGCAATTGCATTGTGAAAGAAATGGTGTGGAATCGATTAGAAAAAGTTGATCATATTAGACTACACAAACATGTGGCATAAAAATTGGGCCTTTTTGAGCTGTTACTTGTCATATTTGAAGAGCCTTGCTTTTCAGGGAATTTTTTTTTCTTTGATGTTCTTCCACACTTGCATAATAACAATGATAATGCTCACAAATTATTTTGCACCTCTCCCCAGAACTTAATCTTCTCTTTTGAACCAAGTCACGGCTCACAATACCTCAACAGGTACTCCAATGCTTCATCAGCCTTTACATTGTTTAACACATCTTGAATGGAATGAAATTAGAACATTAAAACCACATCATTACTTTGGAATTATTTCCAAAAAAAAATCATAAAAGCGTTGAAAGGTATGTTAATTATGCACTCTCTGACAGAAACTGGAAAGAAACAGAGTATTAGCAAGCTCTCCTATATCTTTGTCAAGGTGCCCCTTTCCTAGTTTTCCATTTCTCTTCTTTTTAATCCTTGTCTCTTTCTTTTAAAGCAACAGACATAATGCCTGAAAAGTCTATTAAGATTATGTGATACACCAGCCTCAATGTTCTTACTGATCATCTATATCCTAAATTGAGGATCAGGAACAGAACAGTGGCGTGTTTCATAAAACTTTTTATCTATAACAAATGCTAAATGTCTATGACAAATTTGCTCTCAGCCAATCAGATGTCTTGATTTCAGTAGCTTATAACAGTAGCTTGTAACTTGTTATTGATGTCAATTTTTATGAAACAGGGTCCTGATTGAGGTGCCTTACCATGATTACATGTAGCAGTCAGTGAGAGGAAGGTAAAGTCTCCAAGCTGAGCGAACTTCTTGATAGTACCTTCAGGTACAGCGTCTCCCACAATCCTCCTCACTTCCTGCTCGTCAGTCAATGTGGCATACACGCAGCTTCCAATGATCTGAATTAAGGTTGAATACAAGAAAATGATTTCAAGAACAAGTAATAAAGACAGACCAGAGCCCTGTCTTATAAAGAGTTACGATCGATCCAAATCAATCATAAGTCCTCCAATCAATCGCAAGTTTGCAATCTCCTATCTCTTATGTACATGGTTACGATTGATATCAATAGAAAATTAGTTACGATTGATATCAACTCTTTGTAAGACAGGCCAGAAATGCGAATGATGCGTATCAGTCACAAATCCTCTAATCAATCGCAAGTTTGCAATCCTCTTTTTCTTATGTGCATAGTTGCGATTGATATCAATGTAAGTTGCGATTGATCGCAACTCTTTATAAAATGGGGCCCAGAACAAGAGGGGTTTAGGGAAAGAATGACGGATTGTAATACCAAGAAATAGAAAAGGAGAAATGAAGAGAGATGTGACAGAAAGAACAGGAAAATGAGACGGATAAAGGTCTAATGAACACAGATTGTATCAAAATTTAGACTTATTTCAACTACATAAAATCCACAGATTTCAGCCTGTGTTTTTTACAGGCTCAGGATAAAAATTGATATTGTAGAATAGGCAAAACAGAAGGGAAATGAAAAACAAGTTCAAATGTATGAAAGGAAATATACTACAAATAAGACTGCCGGAAATTTCGAAAATGTAGAAGAGCTGGTGGCATAGCAGGAACACAGAAGAAGGGAAAGAAGGGAAAGGGAAAGGGAAAACCAATTGAAATGTATGAAAGGGAAATATACTACAAAAAAGACAGAAATTACAAAGATATAGAAGAGCTGGATCGCATTACCTGTAGAGCCACACAGTTATGGCAGGATCTGATACTGTTGCTCTGGAGTCTTTCTTGCAGAGAGAAGAAGAAGACTTTGAGAGTGGTCGGTAGAGCGATGAGATCCTCGGAGATGCATCTCAGCATCGCTTTCAAAGCTCCAGACATGGCATCCTTCTCTGTAGAAAGAAAACAAAACATGATATGAAATACTAGAACTTTGGATAAGCAGGAACCATACAGTGATTAAAAATTATTAAAGCCACAATTATTAAAGCCGGCAATAGCAGAGGGTCTCGATAAGATCCACTCCATCAGTAGTCCCTTCACCAGATACTAGAGTTGCCTAGGCCGAGAAAACTGTGCAACGTAATGCGCTCTTCCGGCAAGGTAGTGTCCACTATCAGTGATCTGGCCTGATATGGACCTATATATATGTGTATTAACAACAACAAATGTTATCATACAAAATTAATAAAATGTTAAAGGCGTCAATATTCGTAATGAATGAACGCTGAATCACAAAAACAACAACAGTGTAATTATGCACTTGTTGTCCATCACAAAGTAAAGACACCTTACATCTCAGAGAGCACAATGTCTAGATAGGCAGAGAGGTGTACAAATGCCATCAGACCTTACTTTGTGGCAGCAGTACGTGAGGGAATAGCGAGTACAAGTGTGCGGGTGGTTAGGTGTTTGTGTTTGTGGTTGTAACTCTGTTGTCTGCCTTTATGTCGGAGCATACATCATAAGTGATAATCAGTACCATTTCAGAAAATTAAAGGCAGTGCAATATTTTTCATCTGTAAGATGACATCCGCCTTCCCCCCCCCCCCCCCCCTATACCCCATCTAGCGGGCTTTGGTACTCAGCTGCACGGTTGTTCGACACCTACTTGTACACCAACCCGGATTCGGATGGTAATATTTATATAATATTGACTGGCATTGAGGGGTATATCAGAAATATTGACCAAGCTCAGATCATATTGCCCCGAGTCGAAAGACGAGGGCAATATGGTCTTAGCGCGGTCAATATTTCTGATTTCCCCCGAAAGTAAAGCCAGTCAATATTTTTATTGTTATCCAAATCAGACATCTAGAGCAAATACAGAAATCCACCATGACAATCTCAAGAACTGAACAAACTTTGTCAAACCAACACTGTGCATCCAGTGCTTGACAAAATTTTCGATACACTGCAAACAGTGTGTATTTGGTGTGATTATTACGTCACAATAGAGTGCACGCAAAGTGCGCAGGTTCTCGTACGCATAATAGATGCGCAATGAAAATGCGACGCGGTCAATACAAGATGCCCGATTGCGAGACCGTGGAAAATACCAAGGTATATTTTCACTCGTCTCTACACGCAAAGTCAAAACGCGCAGGGAGACCAAGGAAAATACAAAAAATATACCCCTCCGTTCCTACTGCTTGTGAAAACTAGGGCAATACGGTTTTGTAAATGACCAGCTCAGATGTCTGATACAGGTAATAATAAAGATTATTTCTCGTCATGAAAATCAGATCCACTCAATGCACATATGTGAGATCAGGGCCCTGTTCCATAAAACTTGTATCAATAACAAACTATGATAATTGTTAAAGACTACTGAAATCCTTGCAATTGATTGGCTGTGAACAGAACCTTTGTTATTGATTACAAGCTTTATGAAACAGGGCCCAGAAGTGTCACACCCACTTCATGCTATACAAATCTCGACCTTCCTACCTTGTTTGTGAGCAGCTGCACCTGTAGACCTGTGCTTCGGGCGACATCCACAAGGGAGTTCCCCTAGTGTCTCCAGGAAGCCGCTGGTCTCACTGTGAGCCCTTGGTTTCATGAGGACTTCACCAGCCTCCAATACTCCTCTGCATCAAAACCATCATAAAAAATAGCAAAATGTCTATAAACATCAGAGAATAAACATGTATTCAATCAAATCAATCAAACTTTTAAACAATGGAAAACAGAGGTCATGTGCATTCTTTGCATAATATAATTCATCTTCATATACACTTTATAAAGAGGTTAAAAGGTGAATGCATATCATACCGTAATACTGTTTTTGAAGAAATATCTGACATATGTAACTCCAAGCCCATTACAGAGAACCAATATGAATTTAAGAAAAAAACATTAAGATAAAGAAGGAAGCTGCAAGCTATGCGTGATCACCATGTACAAACCACTTACTATCAATAGCATACATGTATATCTTAGTATGCCTGAGAGTATAATTTTGGTTTATAAGGAAACTATACATGACATGTAAGAAATTATGAATGTTCTTTTCTACTTAATCTCTTACCAATCTACAGCGTCAGTTGTACCTACATGTATCTTGTTGTCTTACCTGAGTATAAATGGTCTGAGAACTTTAAAGAGGCACGATAGCCAATCAGGTACTGATGTCGTCTTCCCTGGCAGGCTGTCATATCGGAACATTGGCCAGTTATCTTGTCTGAAACAAAAACAAAACAATAATAATAATCCGCTCTTGTATAGTGCATAATACATTATATAGTAATACTAATAATATTATAATACATAGCTTTGGATATTATTACTTTAGCCCCGGCAGCTGTTATCAGCGCACAATGCATTTCAAGGAATAATCCTACCAGCTACCCATTAATCTCACCTGGATGGAGTGTGGCAAATGTAGATTAACGTCTTGCAAAGGACGTTAGAGTTGTGGTAGGGATTCGAACCCTGTACCTTGTGGTTTACAGTCCGGAGACTTATCCACTGGACCACGACACCTCTACTATATTAAAACAATTACACTGTAGCTTTGTACTACACAGCTCGTATCAATTCACTATGGAAATAATCCAGTACTCGTTAATAGTCCATTTTTGGCTTGCACTCAAATTGCTGTATCATATCCCCTGCCGTTATGTTGTCTGTTCAATGCCAGAAAGGCGTTAATTATCTGTACAAATATCTATTGCCCTTCTGGCATTGAACAGACGATATATTCCATGGATGTTAAACTAGCACAGTAACACATCTAAAAGTATTTAACAAAGGCCCTTATTCAACCAGTCCACCCTTCATTATTGAGTTACGAAAAAAATAAAATCTACAAAAGGTATGAATAATTCTGTTGTTAACTGTATGATAATTCCACTTTTCAAAAATCCTATATTGAATGTCAATTTTGTCAAATATGGATGACTCATACCCGAACTTTGTCCTAGTCCATAAACACCGATTGTAGAAAGAACGACTTACTTCTCAATGACGGCCATGAGTACCGATCCTAGTGTTGTGTGATGATCAGAACAGAGTACCAGGATATCAATGAGAGGCTGTAGGATCGACGAGAGCTCGTATCTCACCGACGCACCAGTGTTTGACATCATCAGAGTAGCTAGGAGGGCATCTCGAGAGAGCAGAGTCTAGGATATACAAAGTCATTTCAAGCTTGAAGTTTATTAAAGATGTTCATGTGTGGGTATATAGTCGTTCGTGAAGTAGGAAACTTGGCGATCACTACATAACACTGAGCCCATGGGTATACGCTCTCATGCCTACGTCCATGTGCTGCCCTCTATATACCTCCGCCTGAGCAACAGCAAGAGAACATTTACTGATGAATTTTAGCCTAATTCATCCACAATGCAATGAATAAACCACATGAGACAGCTGCTACAGCCAAACTTTGAGTGTACATGAATAGGTAAAGGGAAACCTGTCTATTAAGACCTCCCAAGAAAGGTGGTCTTTATAGGCAGGTGGCCTTTATGTACAGGTTCCGTAAGTAGAAGTTTAAATGAGAACTGTTTTTCAAGGGAAACAAAAATTGTGGTCTTAGTGGACAGGTGGTCTCTCGATACAGGTGGTTACTTCTGCAGGTTTGACTGTAGTGAGAGCCATCCTTGCAAACTTCCCCATAGTACAAGTAAATAAGTCAGAAATCTGCTTTAATTTTCAATAAAAAGTTTTTGAAGAGCCTTAAAGGTACTATGTCCCATTTGCAGGCCAAAAAAATGAAAAGGTTAAATTCCAACGGCATTTGAAAGATAATACTAATTTAGAACTTCCCTAAAAAGGTGGGGCTTGAAAATGTCTTCAAGTGGGAAAATAATGACTATTAGTTGTCAAATCGACTTAGGAGCTATAGAGCCAATAAGTAATAATCTTGATTTTCAGACCATTTTACCGAATAGTCATACGTTTTATGCTGCGCAAAGATTCAATCAGTTTAATTTTGGCCATCACAAGAAGTGGGTTATTGATCTAGGCAAATTAATGCTCATGTACCCTTTGCAGCTCATTCTATGTATGTTATTACCAAAGAAGAAAAAAAAGCCAGACAGTCTCTCAATAGTGTCTGACAGTGAAGTCTAGCAAGTAAATGGGTTTCCTTCCTTGCATAATTTGAATATTAGGACACTGCTAACGTTTAAATTTCACAGATAGGACATACATGACATATTCATAATTCCTGCAAAGTTCTACAGAATTTGAGGTTGGCTGCAAAAGGGACATAGTACCTTTAAGATATTTACAGGGAATAAGTGGAATTACAAGATAACTGAATAAAGAATGTGTGAAGTTGTCATAAAAAAAACAGCTCTATTGCCTTTAAGAGTCTTTATATAGGAATATTATATCATTGAGTGAAATGATAACATACCTGCAGTGTAAGAACATCACTAGGAGCCGGTTGGTTAGCAAGGAGCTTCAGCAAGATAAATGATGCAATCTTGTCTGGTAGGAAATTCCATCTGGAAGATGACAAAATAGTCAACAGTAATCAATATCTTGATGTTATCTGTCCCTCTTTTTTCATCACCCATTCCCTTATCATTATGCTCCTAAGCCCCTTCTCCATCTTCTTACTTTGCTACTCCTACTCTTCATCTTGTTCATTATCTTCATTAGAACCCCATCCTCATCATTACCATCATCATATCACCTCCTTCAGTTACATTCACCTTTTTTTGGTACTATTTCTCTTTCTCTCTCAATCGAAGGTTCCAAATTTTAACACAAAATCAAAATCTTACCCTTGTTCTAGCTGTTCAAACAGGGCAGGTCTAATCCATGCTAACCACAGCCTCTGCTCACAGGCGACCGGCCCCGCCCCCGCCCCTTCCTGGTCCACCGTACCGCGATGGGCCACGCCCTTCTTCTGATACCCCTTCTTATAGACCTTGTAGAGGTCCGAGAGGGGTGAAGACACCACGGCCAGGGCTCCCAGTAGGCAGGAGGCAGAGTTGTGGATGTTGAGAGGGGATGAGTTGTGGGGGAAGTGAGGAGAAGAGGAGAGTAGGGAGGGGGGCGAGACCAGCTGTTGAGGGGTCTTACAGGCAGACCATAGATGAGTGAGGGTAGTCAACAGCACGGTGGTGATGTCAGCCCTACAGATTCAAAGCAAAACAATGCAAATTTAAAACAAAGCATGTTGCTCTTTGATATACAATTATTCTTCCATTTATTGATGATTAATTTGAAATATCTCAAGATTGATGAGTATTTAAAAATGCAGACATTTTCTAAAAATCTCTGACCATTACAAAATGCTAGTTTTGGAACAGTATCCAAAATAATACTACATATTTTTTAGTAATACCAAGTACATGAAAACATCAAAATTTTAAAACGCACAAATTCTTAGTAAGTAAACTGTTAGACCCTAATTCAAAAAGAAGGTTTAAATTGAACCCATAGTTCAAATCTTCATTTACATAACCCATGGTCTAAAATTAGCGCAAAATAAGCGCGATACGATTAGAGGTCTAATATTAGACCGCAAGGCAAGGTACGCTTAATTTGCACTAATTTTAAACCATGGGTTTAGTTTAAACCTCCTTTGTGAATTCAGGTCTTAGTGTTTGGTAGGCTATCAAAGTCATATTACAATGGAGAAAGAACTCATTGAAACAGGAATTTCCTTAAAGCAGAATCTACCAAAGCCGAGGAACCAACCTAAACTGACGAGTTCTCTTGTACGACGGCTGGGCTTTGTTGTAGCGATAGGAGAGTAGGGTGATGGATTCACTGAGGACCGAAGCAAAGATGGGTTGTGATTGAGAGGAAGGACACACAGTGAAGAGCTCATGCTGCAGACGCTGAAGGTAGAGGTGCCACATCTGTACAGAATAGGAGCATCGCTCATCCTGCAGAAAGAGAGAAGAAAGGTGGTTTTCTGGATAAATAGGGAATTTATTTATCAGGCAAAGAGGCATTACATCATACCAAGAAAATCTTCGTTTATACATCTCTTGTACACTTTCGTAATGAATGTTGTACTGTACATCAAAGGGCAGGAATACATCTCATTTTTCAGAATACCTACATTTATTGTTTGGGGTGAGGTTTCCTTTAACGATGGGGTTCTACAATGTATCTCTTTCTGATTAAATAATGATTTTCAACATGTTGCGTTCCAGATCCATCTTTGCACACCACCATGACATTTTATTAAGTAACATTGGAGAGGTTTGGATGGATTTGACATATCATCTCACCTCAAAGAAAGGTCTTTGGTCAGCCCAGTTGTGACTCTCAGCATCTTGTAAGATGACCGTTGACACCACCATGACGTGACTCGAGGTGATCTGCTGTTGCACCACTGTCTCTAACTGACTCAGTTGCTTCTCAACGCCACCAAAGAAACTCCTGAAATCAAAAGATTTTTTATTGCATATTATTCTTTTTCTTTTCCCAAAGTAATACATATTCTCATACCACCACCCCTCTCTCTCTTTGTTTCCTTATCATCTTCTCCTTTCTCCTCAATCTTATTCTTTTTTTTTCTTTCAAGTTTTTTCAACTCACAGCCACGCATTCCCAGGGAGATATCCTAATCCACTACCCCCAGTGTCCATCCAACCAAACCCAAATTTCAAAACTTGGAGAATATTTCACAATCTACAAGGGTTTTGTTCTTTCATGCGTTTAAAAGGACGAAAGACGATTCTGAACCGATTTATGATATGATAATTCAGATCCTCAGTCATTAAGATTTTACAAGTTTTAATTTTTATATCAAGTGCTATTTCAATTTTTTTTTTTAATTGGCTCGTAATCTGATCGTAAAGCGTGCGGTGGGGTTAAGACATACTTGGCCTCCTCCTCCCCCAGGAGTCTCTTGTATGAAGCAAGCTCCTGCTGGAGCCAGACGGTTGAAGACAGGAGCACACATAGATCCCTGGTGTGACCATGGATGGATCCACTCTCACTGGAGCTCTGGTTGAAGATCTCAAGTAACTGTAAGAATATGTCAGCATGAAAAAGATTGGTAAGTTCAATATCTTGACTTGACATGATATGAAGGGATTACTTGACCATATTATGCTGTCAGTACTTGGCAGACTCTCAATATTGCCTCATAAGATAAATTTGTCATTCCCTCTCTCTTACGCATACCGTTTTTATTTTAAATCTGCATACACATTCTCTTCTTCTCTGTGATTATTTGTTCTTCTCCTTCTCCTTTTTCTTTTATCTGTCTCTTCTCTCTTCTCTCTTCTCTCTCTCTTTCTCTTTCTCTCTCTCTCTCTCTCCCTCTTTCTCTCTCTCTCTCTCTCTCTCCCTCTCTCTTGTTCTCATTCTCTGTCTCTATCCCCACTCCCCCCTCCCCCTCTCTCTCCCTACATGTATCTCTTCTTCTCTGTGATTCTCTGTACTTCTCCTATCCTTTCTTTTTCTCCTCCTTTTTTTTTATCTCTCTTCTCTCTTCTCTTTTCTCCTCTTCTATCATTTCCTCCACTTCCCTTCGATCCCTTCCTTTTCTTCTCTTCTCTCCCTCTACCTTTCTTTCCATATATCTCTATCTCTTAACTTCAACCATCTATCTATTCAACCATCTCTAACCGATCCATTGTTATCACCTTCACTCCTTTACTATCCTCCCGGCAAAGTTCATCTAATTACTGGTATGTTTCACTTGAATGCTCTAAAGAGCGAAGACACTACAAAATTTTGATGCATGGACCTTGGCTGCATACTAATTGATCAATGTCCGTAACTTAGCTTATCCAAGCTGTTTAACGTAGGACCTTTGGCTATATATTGATTAAAAATATCTATAACAGCTTTGTAACCGCATGGAAACAGGGTAATTTATCTAAATACTACATGGATTGGAAAATATTGAATAGGGATAATGAGCGCAGTGTGCTACTTTTTCAAATTGCATAGAAGCACATGATGTGCATCATCCCTGTCATAGCATTACTTTCCTCTGGCAATGCATCGATCAACAATTTACCCCCTCCCCCCCCCCCCCAAACTGGAGAGAAACAAAAAATGTGAGCCAGTCTCAACAGTGCAGCGACCTCTTTACTTCATGCATGATCATTTTGTTAGTCTCATTTTGTTTATTTACTCTCAACAACAAAACAGACTTTGAGAGCAACTGTGAAATTGTATTATATTTCAATAAAGCATGCATCATATTCATAACCTTGAATAGGTTTGCACAGCACAAGTGATCACAAATTCTCCCTACCTTCTTCTATCAATAATGATTAACCGCTTTTGTACCGCTATACATGTACAATGTACATGAAAAGAAAAATGCTTTTAATTCACTTATTAGCCCTAAGTAGATTGGTATCATGAATAATAGACTGGAATTTAATTAGTCTCAGAAATTGACAGGTCACAAGCCATTGGGCACGTGTATATCAATGTACATGTAGGACAGCTGATTAAAATCCAATGAGCTGTCGTCGTGCAGCAACATCATGGGAAAGAAAACATGCATTCACACTTCAAAGGTTTTCATCACATCCTAAGCAATATCAAATGTAGTTTGATGGCTGCTTTTAAAGCTAATTAATCCAGAGTTCTAAATGGAATTGCTATTTCGAGAGAAACTGGCCAGACTTTCTTTGCGTACCAGAGCTTTCATGAATTATATAAGGGACTGGAACTGATCAACACAACCTGTTTTTCACCAGAATGATTAATTTTTTAAAGTTTAGGGATGCCTGTACTTTTCACTACACTTTAGAGCTTTTGTTCTCTCCTCCCTAGATGGATGGATTGATTTGTCAGAGGACTAATTTACTGATTCCTGGCAACAGAGCAGCTAGTCTGTTTGAATAGAGGCTTTTACTATTGCTTTCAAACTATTGGATACTTCTATAGCGCTCATATCAACAACACAAAATGCTCATGGGCGTTTCAATGTTACCTCTGCTCTATGACTATGCTACTCATTTTGGGTGCTCACAGCGGTCAGGGAATTTATTCCTATCAGGTACATATACACCTGGGGGGTGTTTCACAAAGATCCTAAGTTGAACTTACCTCTAAGTTGGACTTAAAAGTTATGGCAAGCCGTTAGCATCTATGAAGATATTTTGTAACAGTTATTTTTAAAGGCAAAAAATGTTGATTCAATTCATTCATATTTTCTATTATCAAAGAGATTTCACGTCCTTGATGTGGAATTTATAAAAAAAAAGGTCTAAAATACTTCAATTTTCGCTTTTGAATATATTTTATTTCATGGCTACACATGGCTCTCCTTAATTTTTAAGTCCAACTTAGAGTTAAGTTTGACTTAGAATCTTTGTGAAACACCCCCAGGTTGGAAGGTAAAACATGCAAATTGAAGTCTTGCCAAAGAACATAAGTGCCACAATGGGGCTTGAACCAACGACCTTCCCATATATGGTTAGGTGTTTAAACCACTATACTATTCTATAACATGTCTACATTTATCTGTGGTTTCTAATATCTACCCCAATCTATCAAATTGCCCTTTTTTTTACAGTTACAAAGTGCTGTACATGTCTTGTTTAGCACATGAAAATGTATAATTGGTGACATGGAGCGGTATTCCCTGAAATCTTTTGTCTTCCTTTCCCTCTTAAGCCATCCACTCCCAGATCCCACGCTCTTTTCATAGGTTTATCGATCATCTTCCCTTCTTAACACATGACTCATCCATCTCAATCCACTTCTCTTTACCACTTCGATCAGTTTCTCCACAGTTTCATTGTAGACATTAGCACACAGCCATGAATGATCAACAAGTTTGAAACGGGTTCATCATTACAATAATACATCATGCAGCACATGTAGAGTTTACGATCGCACCCACAGACAAATGCAGCCGCTCTTTTCTCATAATTTGTTTTTCACAAGGCTAACCTTGTCTTTCTATTAAAAGCAAACATAATACATACAGCCTAGTTGGCTAGTAAAGCATGAAGTACACATGTACCACACTAACCATTTTATCCCATGAAAATAATTTAAATTCTAAAAGTGATTTTTTTTCTTTCCCTTTGCTCCTCCTACACAAGTAAAAAAATGTTTGCTGTCATGGTAGGCTTTGTAGAGTACATCATACATTGTACATGTGACTTCTCTCTTTTTCTCTCCCTCCCCCTCTACCTATCTATCTTTATCTGTATCTCTTTCTTTCTCTTTCTTTATCTTTCCATTTTTTTTCCCCGTTATTTTTGCTTTCCGTCAAATCTGTTTTTTTATAGCAAGTCTGTCCATCTCTCTTTCTATCTCTCTCTATCTCTTTCAATATTTCTTGATATTTCAATTTCTTTCTTTTTCCTTTTTTGGTTCTCTGTCAAATCTGTGTTTTATTTAGCAAGTCTGTCTGTCTATCTTTCTTGCTCTCTCTCTCTCTCCCTCTCTCTCTCTCACACACACACATAACTAAACATCTTCCAATCCCTCTTTCTTATCCTTGTCTTTATTCCTTTAAAACGCATGGAAACTCATATTTTCTGCAATTTCATACTTCACATAATTCAGTCGCTCTTTTAATTATTTTTGACAATGCTAATCTGGTCTTTCTAAGCAAACATTATACTTACAACATAGTTGGCTAGTAAAGCATGAAATACACACATACCACAATAACAATTTTATCTAATAAAAATAATTTCAATTTAAAAAGTGATTTTTTTTTTTCTTCTTTTTTCCCCTTTTTTTCTCTTTTCTCCTCCTATACAGGTAAAAAATGCTTGCTGTCATGGTAGGCGCTGTAGAGTATGTATGTAGACATGTGGCCATCATACACACAAGGTTGGTTAGTAATTCATGTAACCACACTTACAATTTTATGCCATGAAAATATTTCTTTTTTCTTTTTTTTAAATTATTTTCCCCCTTTGCTTTCATAAATGAATGGGTAAGGTTAGCTCTATAGAGTACCATAATTGTATGTGTGACTTTATCTCTATCTCTCTTTATCCTTCACCTTTTTTTTTTTTTTTTTTTTTGCTTTCTGTCAAATCTATGTTTTGGGGGCAAGTCTGTCTAGATTTTTCGGTTTCTTTCTTGCTCTTGCTTTCTCTCTCTCTCTCTCTCCTCTCTCTCTCTCTCTCTCTCTCTCTCTCTCTCTCTCTCTCTCACACACACATAACTAAACATCTTCCAATCCCTTTTTTGATCCTTGTCTTTATTCCTTTTAAATGCATGGAATCTCATATTTTCTGCATTTTTCTACTTCACATAATCCAGACCCTCTTTTCTCATAATCATTTTTCACAATGCTATTTCATACTTCACATAATTCAGTCGCTCTTTTAATTATTTTTGACACTGCTAATCTGGTCTTTCTAAGCAAACATTATACATGCAAAATGGTTGGCTAGCCAAGCATGAAAAACCATACCATGCTAACAATTATCTCTATGAAAGCAATTTCAACTTCAATGAGTGATTTTTTGTTAACCTTTGCTCCTTTCAAAATTAAGATGTTTGCTTTCATGAATGAATGAGTATGCGCTATAGAGTACCATACACAGACATGTGACTTTTCTCTCTCTCTCTCTCTCTACCTCTTATTCTCTCTTTCTTTATCTATCTCTTTC